ATTTTTGACTCCAAGTTACCATGTTAAAAAGGCAGGTGATGCCAGGATAACAACTTCTCAAATGTTTTATTCCTTGGTTCTTGAACATTGAACCCTTAGGTAGGGTACTGGAGAAACATGGCGGCAGTGGTCAGAGAGGCCAGGGCGTCCTGTCTTAGCTTTCTCCAGGGTAAGCAAAGTATCCTGCAGACCTAAGCACAGAGAGTGCTTAATAAGAGCATATTACTGTCCATCTGTCTTCTGTCTGGAAGAGCAGAAAATAAGTGAAACCACTCAAGATGGAAAGGGACAGATAGCACATGGAAGAGAACAGAGTATGATTAATAGGAACAGGTCAACTTTTATCATCGTTTCCTACCTTGAGATTTGCCTTCTGGTTTGCTTTGCTTTGAGAATCTCACTGTTGTTTCTTGAGTAGGCTTTGCTATTTCTTTCTATCCTGAGTCTTTGCTTTTTGATTTGTGTGTGTAAGCGGGTGCGTGTGAGTATCCATTTTCCTTGTTTGCTTTTTTTTTTTTTTCCTTCCATATCTTTTAACTTCACTGAAGAAAGTTGGAGCAGGACACTCCGGAAATAGGATGAAGTTAACACTCTTCCTTGCATCTCTCTTGTTCTTGTTCCCCCAGTTTTGAAAGTAGGGTCTTCAGAATCTAAGTGGCTCGTCTTCAAAGATGGGTCTGCTTTAAGAATGAGCTCTTGGCACTTAAAAGAGGTTTTGATAACTTAGGGACCCTCTTACTTGCTTAGGTTTCTCCTTTCTAAGAACTAAGTTACAAACATGAAAGGTCTTTCATAAAAGACTCCTGGGCAGTTCCCAGAGTCTCTTGAAGAGAAGGTTACCTTGCACGAATGAGTGGACCTTTCATCATTCCCTTGAGACGTGGCCCAGAGACGACCCAAGAAGCGTGTCAGAGGAAAAGCAGGAACCAGGCTGGGGATGGCGAACAAGAAGACAGAAGGTGCTGAAGAAAAACCTCAAAGAGAAGGTGCAGAACACAAACAAGAAACAGGCTCTGTGGTATGAGAAGCCATCTTCCAGAGCCCTTATTTTCCCCATTTTTATAGAGCTACATCCCAGAAGATGAACTAATACTATCATTAATTAGCCATATTGCATGAATCTTTTATTTAAACAAGGTGGTAATGTAAACTTACTTTGGATTCATCTGTACTTGAAACTATGCCTGAGCTGGGGACCTGATTCTAAAATGGGGAAAAAAGGAAGCTAAAAGATATTTATGTAGCATATTTTATTGTAGCAATTCAGAAAGCTTTAGTGTTGAGTATCATGATTTACTCCTGTATTGTTTCTTTAAATTCATATATAGGCACTGCTCTCAATTTTTTTTTTTAATTTTGATTTTCTCCTATGAAGAATAGAGAGTGACAGGTCACGACTTTGCTTTTCCTGCCCATCATACAATATTACCCCAAACGGCTTTTATAAATCTTCTGGCTCTTTCACACATACATATACCACACAAAGTGCCTTTGATCTCACAGCGTTTTAAAAATGGTCCCACATAATGTGTCGTCCTTATTAGTTTGTGCACATTCAGAAGTGAGATTATCAGTAAAAGAGTTTTGACCAGAAGTTCTTACAAAATAAGCACTCTTTCTTTTTGCTGGGACTCAGCTGGTTAGAGGAGTCATGGATTCTAAGGCTGTAATGACGAGGTCAGGGCAGAGCCAGATCCACTGAACTCAAGAGTGGTGAGTGGCCCCAGCTCACCACAAGTGGCTTTTCGACATCTGTGAGGAACTGGTCTCTAAAAGCCAGTGGAAGCATTTGTTACATACATCATTATATGGTCACATGATGTGAGCAGGAAGTAAAATTATTGACTGGATAGTGAAACCTGTAAAATGTTTATGAATTAATCAGATGAAAGACTGCATGAGGGCAGGGTAAAAGTTTTTTTCTATCTTAAGTTGATTAAGAAGGGTTTTCAAATAATTCTCAGTGTTTACCCTTCTGATTTGAGTCTAGGTTAGATTTTTCCCACCCAAGACTGACATGTTTGCCTTTGCCCTATACAGTGGACCTAACCACAAAGAAGTGAGGGCTGGGCTGGGGTGTGTAGAGAGCCCAGGCCTTCTCCCAATTAGGCTGGTATGTCACTGTTCCTATGATATTGCTGGTAGAACCAGTCATCATTAGGTCTTAGCAGTGATCGCCTGTCTCTGGGAAAGCTGAGCTTTGGGGTCATCTCTGAGTTCTCTGGATTGAGATGTTGCAGTTCATTTGAAAGAGAGAGTGACAGTTACCAGGAGTGTTTGCCAGGAAGGTGTGTTAGAGAGGTGACTCTGTTGTAGGAATGTGGTCAGAGGCTAAGTGGTGTCCCGGGACGTGACCATCAAGAGTGAGGAGATTTCTACATGTTTAGGTCATTCTAAATGTGTAATTTTATTGGCAAGAAAACAACACACTAAAACAGCTACTGGTCTGAGGTTGGTGTCATGTATGGGAACATTCTCTCTGTATTTTTTTTTTTGTTGTTGTCGTTGTTGTTGTTGTTTGGGAATATAGTTCAGTTTGGAAAGTTGCATTTAAATTGATTTTTATGAGTCACCGACCTGGGAGGTGAAGTATGGCTCTGAAAAGCTTTATCCCATCCGTTAGCAGAATTCCAAATTATATGACATATTTGTAATCTGCCCTACCAAAATTTTGCATTTAAAAGATGACTAGTGGTCAACCTGGGCAAGTTAGCAAGACCCTGTCTCAAAAAAAAAAAAAAAAATTAAAGGGTTGGGGATGTAGCTCAGTGGTAGAGTGCCCTTGTGTTCAATCCCTAGTACTATGCAAAAAAAAAAAAAAAAAAGTTGATGTGTTTCTGGAATTTTCAGCAATGCATACATACTTTGAGTGTGTTGAGTATATTTCTGTCGTCACAGTGTCATGTGTGTCCAGGTGTAGAGAGCTTTTTCATTCTTGGTCTCTGTTATGAAGAACTGGTTCATATCACTAGTTTATCCTGTTAGCCTAAAAGCAAGTGATTTGATGAGAATGTTCTCAATCTCAAAGTAAATGGGATGTGGCACCTGCTACATCAAACAAAGACAAACACAGGCCGAGGTCACTTTCCATCTTTTATAGATGACTTTTGTCAACATCACCTGTGTATCCTGCTGTGTACACAAGGGTTTGCATCCAGGGACGTCTTTTGTGGGAATACATTCCAAGTATGTGTTTTTGAGTTTGTGTGTTCCTCTCTTCCCATGAACAGATATCAGTATTACCTGCAAGTCAAAAAAGACGTGCTTGAAGGCCGGTTGCGGTGTACCTTGGAACAGGTGATTCGACTGGCTGGCTTAGCTGTGCAAGGTAAGATGTAGTCACCACCAGTGTGTGAAATTCTGTTTTCTGTTGGATTTATGGTGTTGGTGTCTTCTTAGTGTGAAAAGATACACTGACCTAAATGATTCCTCATTAATACTCCCTTCTTATTTCAAGAGGTCTTAGGTTAATAAGAAGAAGAGCTAGTGATTTTTGATGGCAGGACAGTTTCTGTCTCAAAACTGTTTGCAAACTGCTCTTGCTTATTTCATTATAGTTTTATTCCAAGAAATAGTAGCTTTAAAGCTGTGTTTTAGAGTTGATGGGACATTCTGCTGCACAATGTGGTTGTATTCTGTGGCTTAAAGGACTATGTTACTGTTACAGCAACTTCCAGTGTAATAGCCTTAATCATTGTCATATGATTTATTCTAATATAGTTAAAGAGAGAAACTTAAAATCCAAGTTGGTAATGTGAAATAACCAACTTCTCTTGGAATAAATTTATCTTCAACCTATCTTATTTAGATGTATCAGACAGCTATTTTTTTTTACCTTCTCTACATTGTTATGTGTCAATTCTTTTAAAATACATTTTATTATATTATCTATTTAGTGGTATTAAAAACAAGAAGCTGGTAAATACAATTTTTGAAAGGAGAACTAATTTCCCTTTCAATCCTCCTTTTCCCTAAAAATCAGCTGGTGTCCAAGTATAACCCTGCCAGCAGCCAAGCTCTCGCTGTGTGGACTGTTGATTTAGAAGCCATGAACTGAACTTCCCAAACTTTGAACTGAATTTGAACCTTTTGGTTTCTAAATGTCTAGAGAAAGTGGCCTTTCCCTGACCTCTTTCATATCAGTGGCATAGCCATTTCTGTTAGACGTAGCTAACAGAGTTAGCTTCTGTTATTACTCTTTGGATGAAAATGCCCAAAATATGTTGTATTATACCTGTCTACATAGAGCCTGGAAGGGGAAGAAAGAATGACCAGTTATGGTAGGAGCAGTGGAAGCATCATTGAAATAATGGAGCAGGCACCCTTAATAGAGGGAGGAGTGAGTAGATCCTGGGGATTCTTACTGGGTTTTTAGAAAGATGCATCATCCAAAATATAAGTTGGGAAGGAAGGTGATAACTGATGATTGACCTTCAAAATAGGCAGAACAGATCATGTGCTACATTTGTCGATGGCTCTTTGGTATTTCAGCATCTTTGTTGTGTTGACCTTGTGTATATCTGTGTATTCTTTTATTCTGCATCTGTTGTTAAATATAATCTTAAATATATCTGAGTCCATTTCTATTGGCTGCTAAGTCTTTTACATGAAATCAAGATTTCACGCAGGTTTGGTTTTTGTGAAAGTGAGTGAGATAAGGAGCAAGACATACGTTCCTATATTGACGTTTATGGCATAGGCTGTGCATGTTCGTTTTGCATGTGCTCCAATATACCACTGAGAGATGAAAACATGACAGAACAGAATTTCTGACATCTTGTAACATGCAAAGTTGTTTAGGAGGTGTAAAGATTTTCTGAGGTTGCTTGCCAAGGGTGATCTGCAGTGGGAATTTCCAGCTGCAAATACGTGATCAGATGAAGATACATTTAGCTCTGTGGTTCTCCAAATTAACCTTGATTTAAAAAGTCCCCTTGGTAGATAGCCTAAAGATATGAACTGAGGCACATTTAACAGATAAATATAGTTCTTTCTTTTTTAAAAATAACTTTTATTTATTTCTGTATGTATGTACATACATACATGTTTATGAGGTGCTGAGGATCAAACCCAGTGCCTCACACATGCTAGGCAAATGCTCTACCACAGAGCCACAACCCCAGGCTATAGATTTGTTTTTAAATATTTAAATAACCTTTTAGGAATAGCTTTCACTATATATATTTTTTAAATTGTGCAGTGGTGCTCATGTGCTGATATTTAGAGTTGTTAGGTAAATGTAGTTACTATATCAAGCACCTCCTGGCACTATTTTCATTTAATAGTGGTGCAGAAAAAGGATACAGTAGGAAGAATAAATATAGTGACAAGTTTACAGTGTTTTATTCCATCTTTAATTTCACATAATAACTGCTCTCCCCATCTTCTTCTCAGCTGATTTTGGAGATTATAATCAGTTTGATTCTCAAGATTTCCTCCGAGAGTATGTGCTATTTCCTATGGTAAGTGCATTTTCTATTCTTCTTGCTTAATTTTCTACCTCCTTTGGGCATTTAATTCTTGCCTTTGAAAAGAGAATTCTTTCCTTAAAGAATTGGGCCTATACATGTTTTCAGGGGAGGAAAGCCTATGCATTAATAAAAGAGGGACAAGGTCTATAAAACACATTGAGACACTAAAGACATCCTTTTTGCCTCAAGACACTCCCTAATTTCTTTTTCAGATAGTTCCTTGTTGCTGTTTAGAAATACCACTGATTTTTGTATATCAATACTATAACCTACAATTTTCCTGAATTTGTTTATCAATTCTAACAGATTTTTGTGACTATAAATTATATAGTCACTAAATCAAGACACTTTTTTCCTATTTGGATACATCTATTTATTTATTTTCTTGACTGATTGTTCTCATCTGGGCTTCCAGGACTATGCTGAATAGAAATGGTGAGAGTGGGCAGAAACTAGTCACATATAGAGTAGCCTAAAACCAACCGACAGTCATTCAAACTTAGGGATTCATTTACTTAAGAAATTGAAAGATTTATGTACTGAAAACTATCAAACATTAATCAAAGAAATTAAAGGTAGCAAATGGAATGATATACTATGTTCATAGATCAGAAGAATCAATACTGTTTACATGTTCATGTTCCCCAAAGCAATCTACAGATTTAATGCAATCCTTATCAAATTTTCAGTGTCATTCTTAAAAGAAATAGAAAATTATCCTAAAATTTATATGGAACTACAAAAGAGACCCTGATAGCCAAAGCATTGTAGAGCAAAATGAACAAAGTTGGAGGTACTAAGCTACCTGACTTCAAACTATATTACCAAGCTATAGTCAATAAAGCAACATGGTCCTGGAAGAATAATAGACACACTGACCATTGGAATAAATTAGAGAGCCCAGAAGTAAATCCACACATCTGTGATCAATTGAGTTTTGACACAGGGGGCCAAAACACACAATGGAATAAGGACAATTTCTCCAATCCATGGTGTTGAGAAAGCTGGCAATCTACATGGAAAGGAACGAAACCGGGCCCTTATCTCACCCCTTACACGAGAATCAGCTCCAGGTGGATGACAGACTTTGTGTGATGAGAAACTGTAGAACTGCTCGAAGAAAACAGGAAAAGCTACAGAACATTGGTCTGGGCAACAATTTCTTGCAGACGACCCTCCAATTATATAGGCAGCAAAAGCCCAAATGAACATATAGATTGTAACAAGCTAGGAAGCTTTTGCCACAACAAAGGAAATAATTAACAGAGCAAAAAGACAATTCACAGACTGGGAGAAAGTGTTTACAAATCATTCATCAGATAAGGGGCTCATATTTAAAATACGCAAGAAACTTCCAACTACTCAATAGCAAGAAAACCCTGTTAAAAAAAAAAAAATGGGCAACAGGCCTGAATAGACATTTCTTAAAATAAGACATACAAATTTAGGAAATGCAGACTAAAACCACAAGGAGATGTCAGCTACCACCTGTTAGGGTGACTGTTGTCAAAAAGAAGAAAGATAACAAGTGTTGGTGAAGATGTGGAAAAAAGGGGAGCCCTGTTCACAGCCGGTGGTGATGTAAGTTAGTACCACCATCGGGAACGCAGTGTAGAGGTTCCTCCAGAAAAACTAAAATGGAATTATCCTGTGACCCAGCAATCCCACCTTGGATTACAAATTCAGAAGGATTGAATCAGTGTGTGGAGGAGATCTCTGTACTCCCATCACTACTGCTGCATCATCCACAATAGCCAAGATATAGAAACACCCTAAATTCCCCAAAATGGAGCAATCAATTTAAAAAGTGGGGTTTATATACACAATGGGACACTCTACAACCTTAAAAAGAACAAAATCCTGTCACTCACAATAATGTGGATAAGACTAGAGGATATTATGGTAGGTAAAATAAGCCAGGCACAGAAAGATGAGTGCTGCAAGGTCTCCTTTCTGTGTGGAATCAAAAAATTCGAACTCATAAAGGTAAAGAGTAGAATGGTGGTTACCAGAGGTGAAGGGGCAGGAAGGGAAAGGGAAAATGTGGATGAACGAGTGCAAAGTTTTATTTAGACAGGAGGGACAAGCTGGGGTCATGGATTTCACAGCATGGTGACTGCACTCAATAATTATGTATATTTCAAAATCACCAAAGGAGCAGATTTTACATGGGCTCATCACAAAGAAATGAGAATTGGGTGGGGCAAGAAATAGGTTAATTAGCTTGATTGGCTTGTTCCAACGATGTATATATGATCAAAATATCACATTGTAGCCGATCATGGTGGACTCACTCCTGTAATCCCAGCTACTCTGGAGGCTGAGGCAGGAGGATTGCAAGTTTGAGGCCAACCTGGGTAACTTAGCGAGACCCTGTCTCAAAAATGGAAGAGCTCGTGGGATGCAGTTCAGTGGTAGGGCACTACTATTACTTAAGAAAAAAATGAAAAAAGAAAAGAAGAAAAATCACATTGCATCTCATAAATATATAAGATTTTTGTCAATAATTATTTTTTTTTTTAAAGGTGCTTCTTTGTCAAGCGCTCCTCATTTATTCATTACCCTCCAGCAAGCTGACGGTCTGGTCTTCCTTTCTGGGTTGTTCCCCCCCAAGAGCCTTTGTACCTGGGTTTCCTCTACTTGGAAACGATCTGCCCCCAATCTTTACATCACTGAGGTCCAATTCACACACCACCTTTTCAGAGAGGACTTCCTTTTCCTTCATTACCTGCTGTCGATGTCGCCTCATCATTAGCCACTTTCTGGACTTCACAGCTCTTTACGTTTTTGAAGTTGTTCATTCTCTGTTTGCCAGCTTAAATTACCAACCCTGTGATCCTTTGTCCATTTCGTTCACCGTTTCTGACACACAGGTCCCACTCGTGAACGTTTGTGGAATGAATCAATGAAGTGAAATGTTCATTCCTAGGCTGAAGTAAGAGTGAGACTGGGTTTTAACCCCCCGGGGATTTTTGTTAGTTGCTTGGTTGGTTGGCTTTGGGGTAAACGTGAGGAGTTTTTTGTGAGAGAGGATAAAAACATCTGCAAAGCCCATTTTAGGGAAGAGCTATAACCAGTCTGACATGCTGGTTCTGAATTTAGAAATCATGATTATTCACCATTAAAAAAAAAAAAAATCAATTGTTTAGTCCAAACCACTGACCTGGGTAACTAACACCCAGGGCATGAAATTCTACAAGAAAAATGGTGCATGTTCTCAGGAGGCTCCAGTGTGGTTGGGTAAAAAGGAAGTTTGCAAAATCAGACTGTGAAGCCAAGTGTAATAAAGTGCCATGGGCATTTTACGTGAGGAGAGGACAGTATGCTTGGGAAGGCGTAGAGACAAATGGAGTGTGGGCTGTTTTCTTAAAGGGTAGCAGGATTGTAAGAGGGGGAGGGGGAAGGAGCAAGGAATGATCTAGACAGAGAGGAGGGAAGAGGCGAGGTGCTTGGAGTATTTGGGAAAGAGTCAAGTGGATAGTGTGACTGTAACTTGGTGGTGTTTGGGGGGAATCCTGGTGTATGAAACTGAAAACTTCAGAGAAGGCGGAATGCCTGAGCTTTTCCCAGAGCTTTGCAGACTCTACACTTTGAAAACTGCTGGCTTAAGCAGGGAGACCATTTGTGGGAGGAAGTCAGCTGGGAGTCTGTTGTGGTGGTCTGGAGAAGAGATCTAATTTAGGTGGCTAGCAGCGAGATGAAAACAAGAAAGCAAAGCAGGAGATATTTTGGAAGCCAAATAGGTAAATTTTGGAGTCTTATCAGCTGTGACAGACAGGAGAAAGTGGAGAGTCTAGTGACAAAGGTTTTAAGGTCTTTAATTTTTTTTGGTTTTTGGAAAATGAATTTATTTTTTAGACTTCTATGTGTGTTAGCTCAGTGATCACAACAAACATGAGGCAGCCTCGGTGGCATTTGTCCAGTGGATGGTCTGTGAGGTCCCAATAATTATTATCTCCCAGAAGTTTTTCCTTAAAACTTCATATTGACTTTCAACCATGATTCTTTGTCTTGTCTGTGGCTTTGACTTGAACATGACCCTTTCCAAGGAGTGACTTGCCAGCTAGCATGCATGAAGTTTTCTACCCCAACCACAGGGACCTTCTCCAATCAAATCCTCTGTCCACATACAATGTCTCATTTTTACTTAAAATCGGGTCTTCAAAAGCCACCTTCCTGAGAACCAGCTGTGCGGGGTACAGGGCGATCAGCTTATTCACCTTCCCCGAAACCTATGTGTGGTGTCTTCTGTCCTCACCTGGGTCTAGCAGAACCATTTCCCGCCAAGGTGGTGAAATCAGGGGGGTGTTAAGAGCAGATTCTTGCGGAAATGAAGTGCTGTATGAACTGAACCTTTTGAGAAGCAGGCCAAAGGGAGGCCACTCCAGGCCCCAAAGCTCATAGACTGCTGCCCCTGCATGCAGAGACAATAGGCACCTGATGGGGACCATCACTCACAGCTGAGGCCAGAGGAGGGATGGGTTTTAAGTTTTGAGTCACTAGAGTAAGTAGGGGTGGTGTTACTATCCATCTTAGTATATGAGTACAACTGCATTGATCCAAAGCGTACCTTGTTCTCAGATGTTAGGAAAATACTGCAGATCGCTATCTTTTCAAGAATAACTCTATTCTTCTTCCCTCTCAGGAAACAGCAGTAATATCTTTATGCCTGCTTTTATTAATGTATTAATAATTCTACCTGTTCTATCAACTTCCATTCAAAGAGATTAGCAGTTACTTAGCAGACAAGTTCTTCATAGGATTTAATGTCAGTATGCTTAAATGGACCTCTGATATTGCAGAAGTTCCCCGGGATATTTATCATCATGCTTGATGTGAGCTCAGCTTTTAAGAGTGTCAGTTTTATGTCAGGCGAAGTAGTTGATCATGGAGGGTTGAGCATTTTCTACATTTTTTTCACCCCAATCTTATTAAAAGACTTACTCGCATTATCTGAAGGAAGAGACCAGGTTAGGTTGCCAGAGTTTGCAAAAGTGATTGCCAGCATGAGATTGATGAGTTTGTAAGATGCTTTGACAGATGTCAGGAAGCAGTCAAGAGTGTAAGTTTTGTTGTTTTGTGCACCACGCTTCCTTTTGGAGATTCATTCCTTACTGGGCTCTGAGCAGATCATCTACTGAAACAGCCTGGACTCCACACATCTCACCAGTGGGCAGACAGATCCTGACGTTAGTATTTTTGGGTTCTAAAATAGCCCTCTTCTGGATGGGAGCTGCTAGCTCCTGGTGCATATTTATATTCAAATTTAAAGTTAAATAAAGTTAAAAATCACTCCTTGGTAGCATTGGCTGCCTAGTGGCTAACTGTGTTGGAAAGCTCAGATATGAACATTCTCACCATCCCACACAGTCCTGTTGGACAGTGCCCAAGATGATGTGGCACAAACTGATTGTCGTCAGAGTATATGTCTGAGTTGCAAATGTTCCCAGGTCTCTGCCTGTAGCCATCTTCTTTCATTGCTCCCTGCACGTCCCCACCCTGCCCCGCCATGTTGTGTCCTGCATGCACTGTGGTTGGCGGTCAGAAATTTCTCAGCAGAGTTGCCAAGCCGTGCTGTGCCCACATCCTGACTGAGCCACTCACAGCCCACGTTGGGCACGGTAGCCTTCTAAGTCTCATTTTCCTCATCTAAAATGAAGCTAAACAGGGCTGAGACTGTAGCTCAGTGGTAAAGCGCTTGACTTGCATGTATGAGGCCCTGGGTTCAATCCTCAGCACCACATAAAAAACAAAAAAAACAGATACTGTGTGTTCATCTACAATTAAATAAATATTTTAAAAAGATATAATAAAATGAAGCTAACAAAGCTAATCCCTTTGTGAGCATTCAAAGAAAAAAATGTACGTGAAGTACCTAATTTGGCACAGGTGAGATTCTCAGTAACTGTTTATTCAGTTGTCCTGTCATTGTTAGCATAATTCTTTATATATCTTTATATCTTTATGTAGGCAAACATAAGGATGTTAAAGAGTGCGCTTTCCAGGTAAAATCACTGTGTGCATTGTGTGTGTGTGTGTGTGTGTGTGAGAGAGAGAGAGAGAGAGAGAGAGAGAGAGATACTGGGCATTGAAGCCAGGAGTACTCCGTCACTGAGCCATATCCCCAGCCATTTTTATTTTGACACAAGGTCTCGTTGAGCTGCCCAGGCTGGCCTGGAACTTGTGCTCCTCCTGCCTCAGGTGCCAAAGTACCTGGGATGATAGGCACATGCCCCTGTGCCTGGCACTGTTTGCATTTTGAATGTGAGCTAACCAGCTTTGCATAATCAAAAACTCTTGTCTCATAGTATGAAACTTACACTCTCAGTAGTGCGTTCACTGAACATTTATTGCTCATTGACTCTGTATGGTGAACTTATAAGTTGTCACTCTGGAAAAGCGCTGTGACAGACTCCGTAAGTGATATAAAGAGGAATCATTGCCCTTGAGGGGCCTAAATTCTAATAGAGGGAGACAAGAATAAGGAATGGGTACACAAATGACTGTGTTAGAAATACAGCAGGCAGAATGTAAGAGACACACAGACAGGTCTGGGGTGAGAGAGGCTACTTCCAGCGGGGGAAGCAGGAAAACCCTGTGGAGGGCAAGGATTGCTGAGAAGGGGATGTGAAGGACAATGTGACATTTCACACGCTGTGGTGGGACTGGATGGTTCTTCCAAAAAAGGGTAGACATGAGCAAGAACAGAGATCTAAAAGCAGTTTGTATTCAAACACGAGGTGGCCTGAGGCCCTAAACCCTTGGGGGAGGAGATCTAGAAGGAAAGGCTGGGTCGTGTTGAAGAATGGTGCGATAGCAGGGCTCAGCTGTTGACCTAATTGAGGAGGCAGTGGGGAGCCATGGAAGGTTGTAAACTTTCTGCTTGATTCCACCAGAGCTTTCAAAGAGAAGAATGCATTCCTTTGGTGGGGGAGGGAAGATAGGATGAATAGCCGTGTTTGATCTTACAAAGTTACTGAATTTGTCAAATGGCATTTCTTCAGCAGAAAAAGAACAAAGTTAAGTACACAGGCGCTCCACAGGTGTGCAGCTGCGTAAGGCACTCACTCTGCCATCTCTCATTCACCCAGGGCCACTCTCACACATTTCTCTGGTGGGGCGCAGGCCTCAGGGAGGCCCCAAGCGCAGGTGGAGGCAGTGAAGTACAATAGCAGAGGGGTTCCTTTGGGCTTTTTCTTTTATAAAACTAGGAAGTGGAGGTTTAATGGAACCTTTTTTGATCTTCTCTTACCCCTGGTTTATTCTGTTGCCACATATCTTTCACTAGCTTTTCAAAATTAATATCATATTGGAGACGAAAACTTGATACTGAGATGCACACACAGCTAAGTTTCTAAGCCTTGTGATATCTTTGTTCGTCCACCACGGAAAGCTGAAAGCATTGAGCTCATTTCTCATTGTGGACTCGTCAATTTAGTGGAAAGGCTAAGGAGGAAACAGCAAGTTAATCAGTAGGTGTGAAAAATAAGAGCCCTGCTGGTTCCCTCTGTCTTCTCTAAGGACTCTCTCGTGAGCTCTGGACTTTGCAGAATCTGCAGAGCTATAAAATTTCCAGGATATATTTACATCCTCATTTCCCACTTTTAAAAATATCATTTTTTTTCACACTTCAATGTTTTGAGATGGAATATTTCTTACAGTTTGAAGTGTATGTTTTGGAGGGTGGTGTTTCATCCATGAACAGTTGTTAAATGGGAGGTAAATCTCGATATCAATGGTATTTTAGAAAGAAGGGTTTGAGGCATTTTATATGGTCTCTGTAAAAATATGAGCCCCCACTCTGCACCTCCAATATCATGAGCCTCAGGGTGCCCTCATCAGGACTCAGCTGAGTCCCTTCTGTCCTCTCCTCCAGAGCTTAGAGGAAGAAGGAGCACACCTGTGCCCTTTGTGGTGCTCACCAGCATGGATCTCAGGTGGTTGAGACACTGACTGGTTGGCTCCATGCCTGCTGTCTTACTGAATGCTCTTGAGACTTTTCAGCTATCATGACTGCCTCCCTCCCATGACTGCTGAGTAACAGTGCAATCAGCTGGCTCTGCCTTCATGAGGTCTGAATGAGTCTGTGGTATTTTAGAAGTGAACACATAGGTCTGCACCAGTGCCTACCTGAGTTCACCTTTTGAAAGGATGGTGGCTTAGAGACTCATTGGTCTGCACTCTAATTATTAAAAATACATAAGTACATACCAAGCGATTCTGATGAAAGCACATTTGAGAGACAGACAGATAGGGAAAAAGGTAAATGAAGAAAGAACTATTCCTGAGTCTTAGAGAATTTAGATGGTAATCCAAATGACACCTTGAAATAACCTAAGTTACAGTGGAAAGCCATTTCACAACAGTAGGAGTCACAGCTCAGTCCTCAACATTATAGGCCTTGCTTTTGCAGGAGTAAAGGAGAGATTAAGAAAGTAAGGCTAGTTAGGTGATATTCTAAAACAGGGAATTTTTTAAAAAAAAGTTTTGTTAATTGCTACATTATAATTATACATAATAGTGGAATTTATTGTGACATTTATTGTGACACTTGTACACATAACATAATTTGGTCCATTTCATTCCCCTGTACCTCCATTATCCCTTTCCTCTTCCCCATCCCCATTCCTTTCCTCTAATCTACTGGTTTCCCTTCTGTTTTCATAAGATGCATTTTTCTCCTTTTTTCTTTAGCTTCTACATATGAGGGAAAACATGCTACTCTTGGCTTTCTGATTCTGACTTGTTTCACTTAACATGATGTTCTCCCATTCCATCTATTTTTCTCCAAATATTATAATTTTGTTCTTTATAGCAAAGACACTATTGTATATATGCCACATTTTCTTTACTCATTTATCTGTTAGGCTGTTTCCATAGCTTGGTTATTGTTAATTGTGCTGCTATATACACGGATATGCATGTATATATAGTATACTGACTTCAGTGCTTTTGGATAAATATTAAGGAGTGGTATAACTAGTTTACATGGTGGTTCCAATCCTAGTCTTTGGAGGAACCTCCATATTGATTTCCATAGTGATCCTACCATACACAGTTCCACCAGCAGTGAACAAATGTTTCTTTTCCCCTGTATCCTTGCCAGCATTTATTATTTGTATTCTTAATGATTGCCATTTTAATCAGGGTGCGATGAAATCTCATTGTTGTTTTGATTTACATTTCCCCGATGGCTAAGAATATTGAACATTTCTTTAAATATATTTGTTGGCCATTTTTATTTCTTTTGAGAAATGTTCATTTAGTTCATTTGCCCATTTATTTTTATCAGGAATTGAACTCATGGACACTCAACCACTCAGCCACATCCCCAGCCCTACTTTGTATTTAATTTAGGGACAGGGTTTCAACTCACTGTTGCTGAGGCTGGCTTTGACCTTGAGATTCTCCTGCCTCAGCCTTCCAAGCCACTGGCATTACAGACATGCGGCACCTCGCCTGGCCATTTGGCCATTTTTTGATTGGGTTATTTTGTTTTTTGGTGTCAAGTTATTGGGTTCTTTTAATATTCTGGATTTTAAGCCTCTCTCTGAAGAATAACTGGCAAAGATTTTCTCCCATTCTGTAGGCATTGTCTTCATGCTCTTGTTTCCTTTTTCAGTGTGCAGAAGATTTTTAATTCAATGCTATCCCATTTAATAATTCTTGGCATTATTTCCTGAGCTTTAGGAGTCCACTATTGAGGAAGGACATCACTGCCTGTGCCTATATGTCGGAGTGTTGCTCTAAAATAAGGGACTTTTATGGTTTGCAAGCAAAACGACAAATGCTCATACCTCTGGACTTGTTTTCTACTTCCCTAGGATTTGGCCCTGGAAGAGGCTGTTCTAGAAGAGCTGACCCAGAAAGTAGCCCAAGAACATAAAGCTCACAGGTGAGGAGGCAGAAGGCCCAGGGCTCCCCAGCCAGCAGACACCCACTGACAAAAGACAGGGCACCTTCATCTCCCGAACCTACCCCTGGCCTTGGTCAGCATGGTTTGCTGCTTCTACTGTGTGACTCAACTCTGAGCTTTCCTGAGGTCTTGAAAACCCCTCTTTCCCCTCCTGTTCTTCTTTGTTCCTTTTCCTTCCTTCTTTTCTTCCTCCTTCCATTCCTTCCCTTCTTTGTTCTTTCCTTCTCCTCCCTTTCTCCTCCTCCTTTGCTCTCTTCTTCACCTCCTTGCTTCCTCCTCTTCTTCCTTCTCCTTCTCTTCCTCCTCCGCCTTCTCACCAGAAATTCCACATAGAGGTGGAGTCGTCACCCAGCAAAGTTCCTCTCTTTGAACCTCCACAAAATCTGTTGCCACTTGGGGAAAAGCCCAGCGCTGCCTGTTCTGAGCATGGAGCCAAGTGCCATGCTGGGTGGGAAAGTGAAGATCAAGAGGGAAGCGGAGGGAGACTGACTTCGCTGAGTGTTGGGTAACAGGGTTCCTTGGAGCTGTGCTGGACCAGTAGACAACAGACATCTTTTCCATCCAACCTTGAAAACTCTTGAGAACCCAGACGGTATTATATCTTGGCCTCTTGGCTCCCCAAATATCACCCTCAAGTAAATCATAATAAACCCTAAAAAAAATTTTTTTTCTTTCCTTTTAAATAGAAATTTTTCCAACTTGGTGGGGAGACCTTGTTTTTAAAGCAAGGAATATTATTCACAGGGATGTCTGGAATAATTATTTAATGTTTTCAGGACTGTGACTCTTAATTCAATACTTTACCACCACCACCCCCCCCCCCTTATTGTCCCTGTTGAGTAAAAGGCTACCAGGGGCTGTGTTAATGAATCACCAGTAATGTACCGTACCCTCACAGTCAGGTGGTGATTGCTCTTCCCAGAAACTAGAGCTAAACCACAGCTCTGGAATTTGCCATCAGGAAGGTAGGAAGTTCCACTGACTTTGTGGCCCTTCACCATTTCCTCCTTTAATGCTATTTTCATTGTAGCGGAGTCCTGCCAGCAGAAGCTGAGCTAATGTACATCAATGAAGTGGAACGTCTGGATGGATTTGGACAGGAAATCTTCCCTGTGAAGGTAGCGTGTCACGCCCCATTCTTGCTTCAGCCTTTTCAGAACTGTGCAGGCATTTGGAAAAACCAGTGTTGATAGCAGTGGACCAGCATGGCTTGTCCTTCTTGTTGCTACATGGCATTAATTGGCAAGTCTCCTTTACTTTTGGTAAAGCAAACACTTGTTCTTAGCTAAGAGATTTTGAAGATTTCCATGGTCAGCAGAATACCTCATTTGTCAAGACAACCATCTGAGTATCATGCACCAGCTTATCAGGCTCCTGGAAGGCACTGAGACTGTATTTAGTCTCAGTGGGACAAGTAGCTCATGTCATATGTGTATCGACAGAGACTCTGGCTAATAATTTTCTTCCCTGGGCCGGTTGCTTTTCCTTGAATGAATATAGGGATAATTGTCAGTGAACTAGAATAAAACATTTCCTATATGGGGTGCGTTTTATTTCTCCAGCTCTGCAGAGCTCTACATTGTGGGTTTCCAGCCCTTTTAGTGCTTTGTGGAAACTATACCTAGAAAATAGCACATCGCATCCTCTGCAACAGATCCATGTCCTCAAGTGGGTGTGGTCAGGGTTCATGGTGCATGGTCACTTATAGAGCGAAGCCTGTAATCCACACTCATTTTCCTCTCTCTGCTGACCAACTTTTCAAAAAATGGAGTTCTATCAACTGGCACATTCCAGCAATTTGGGAGACGCCTGCAATTCCGGCACAAACATTTCACTCCAGACTGGCTCCAGTGGCTGTTTTATATGTGTTCTGTTCCCCTTCTGTTGCACGTTTGCAATTTGCCTTAATGAGAACTGCCCATGTGCATCAAGTAGCATCGAGCAGGGTGGTCGCAGCTTGTGAAAAGGGCTAAATGGCTCTTTTTTTAGATTTGTTTAATTTTCTTTCGCTTCTCTAATGGCTGCCCTTCGTAGGGTTGTAATCCATTTTCCTTGCGATAATGCCTTACGAAGCCATCTGCATCCCACTTACATTTCAGCAGCCCATATAGAGTCATGATATTTTGGGTCATTCAGAAATCAGTAAACTTTTCTCCATTGCTAGAAAACTGACTTCTCAGTGCTTGGAAGTTGGGAGTTTCGTTATTGCAGTCATTTTCTTGTTTGTTTTTAGTAATTCTGAACTGTGGGACGTAGACACAGTGGAGGTAGTGTTGAAATCCACTGTGTGGGCTTCTGTGCTCTTTTTAACAGATTCTTTAGTGGAACCAAAAGGGACAGTTGGCCTACCTCTGACTCATTGTCAGGTGGGTATAACTCGGCTGCACTGCTGGGGTTTCCCCCACATGACTGTCCGTGACTGAGGTGACCACCTCCAGATCATATGATACCTAGTAACCCAAGATGGTAGGTGGGAACAGCAAGACCAGTGGGGTCGGGTCGGTGATGTAATGAGCCCTAAAATTAGTTAGTTTTTTTTTTTAATATTCTTAAGTTTTAGGTGGTCACAATATCATTATTTTATTTACATTTATGTGGCGCTGAGGATCGAACTCATTGCCTTGTGCATAATAGGCGAGCACTCTATCACTGAGCCACAACCCCAGCCCTGAAATCAGTTTTAAAAGCAGACAGGAAAACGTGCAGGGAAAGAGAGTGAGGGGCGCCATAGGCCCTTTTGGTTAGTACAGGTCCTTAGCACCCAAAGAAGTTGAAAGCGTGTCACACTGCGTCCTGGGGAAGACAGTTCCATTTAGTGTGAGCTTTTCCACATGCAGTTCCTAAAACCATTCCAGGGCTGGAAGGGTGCCAGTCCACTTCCTGACAGCTCTGCCCCTGCTTCTCCTCCACAAATAAAGACGTAGCTGCTACCTGAGTGGCTCCTGTATTGTCACGGCATTGACCATGGAGAAGGGTGCTTCTGGGCTGGCAAAGACAGAATCTGCATTTTCCAAGCTTTGTTCAGTTAGATGCAGAACTTTTATTTTATTTTTGACTAGTACAGCACCCCCAGCATTCTGGGGCATCCCTTCTGTGTATTTTCATCCCCCTCCCCGTCCTGTAACTACTCTTCCCTTAAACCCATCCTGACCAGACTCCAGTGTGGACCTATTGGAAAGGTGCCAGGGAAGTCTTTTGGTAAAATTTTTCCATCTCCTTCCATCCCGACTCCTGATCTTTTCCCACATGTATTTTTATTTACTATAACTTGCCTTTTAACTTCCTGTCATTACCAAGACAGTTCTTTCTTCTTCCCCAGTTTTTTTCTCTCTTAACCCTCTTCCCTGCTTTTGCAACCAGTGGTTGTCTTTCCTATTTGCTCTATCCCTGCTAGAGACTTCTGTGCTAGCAAAGCTTTGGTGGGTAAGTTGAGACAGGATTACGAGAAGGGATACTGTCTTCTTTGGGACAAGTGTCCTTGGTCTAGTTGCACATGTCCCCTTACTGTGCCCTAGAAAGAAGACCTCCCCATCTACTGCAAGCAGGGGACTGAGTGACAGTTTATCTACTAGATTTTGAGCCTTGTTCCCACTGTACTCTCAGAGCCCTGGCAGCAAGAGTCTCCCAAGCAGGAGACTGGAAGCACCTGACTTCATCAAGAAACCAGACTGAAGATCAGATATTTGGGATTCCCCAGCACAGGGCCCTCAGCTCACTGGTTAGCCATACACACACAGGCTCTTCCTGTGCTCACAAGTTCTCAACCAGGGTTAGGCATACCCTTGCCAGTGCAAAGCACCAGCATCACCCACTCTACATTCCTAATAGGAGTGGCAGAGGCTGACATGATGAGAATAAAGTGGCCTGTAAGAAGCAAAGAATCAGGGAGAAGAACCCCCTGTTTAGAGTACTACCTCCAAGATCTCAGAATTTAAAAGAAAAGAAAAGAAAAGAAAATTGTCTTAAAGGAATAGGGTGCTTATGAAAAGGAAAATTAGAAAACAAAAATTTAGAAAATTAAAAACTCTCCGAAATTTATAATATTAGAAATGGAATACTTAATAGATTGAAAAAGAAAATTGAGAAAAGCCTCACCAGGAAATCCAAAGTAATAGAAATTGGGAGACCAGAGATAAAAGAATTAGAGAACTTATCTAGGATGTCTAATGCCTGAATGATGCAAGTTCTAAAAACAGTCAACAGAGGAAAGGGAGGGAGTAATTTAAGAAAATAGCCCAGTGTTGAGGAACATGAGGTTCTCCATGGAAAGAGCCAAGCTCGGATGTAAAGACACACAGTAGGGCTCCAAGAGATGGAAGTTTGCTGCCTCTGGGCAGGCAAAATGGGAGACAGGGGGTTCTACTGAATATTCAATTCTTCAAAATATACTTAAAATCTACTCTCTAATGGACTTTCAAGAATACAGTACATTTTTACTAACTATAGTCAGCATGAAATTTTAAAACCAATCTAATTTAAATTTTGTGTCCTTGGGCCAACAACTCCCAATACCCACTCCTCTCTTTAGTCCCTGGTAATCACCATTCCTCTCCCTCCCTTCTCCCCCTCTCTCCCTCCCTCCCCCCCCTTCTCTAGGGATTGAACCTGAGGCACTCAACCACTGAGCCACATCCCTACCCTTTTTTATTTTTTATTTAGAGACAGGGTCTCACTAAGTTGCTTAGGGCCTTGTTAAATTGCTGAGGCTGGCTTTGAGCTTGCAATCCTCCTGCCTTAGCCTCCCGAGCCACTGGGATTACAGGTGTGTGCCACCGCACACTTGGCCTGCTCTCTTCTTTGATGAGCTGAACTTTAGTAGATTCTATATCTAAGTGAGATGCTGTATTTGTTTTTCTGAGCCTGGTTTGATTTACTTAATATAATGCCCTCCACATTCACCCATGTTGTTTCAAATGACAGGGTTTCCTTCTCTTTTCTAAGACTATATAATATCCCGTTGTGTATAAACCACATTTTCTTTATCCACTCATTCATTAATGAACAACTAGGTTGATTCCCTATTTTGCCTGATGTGAATAGTTCTGTAATGAACACGGATTCTAATAAGTTTTTTTTTTTTTTTTTTAATGCAGGACAATCATGGAAACAGTACGCACCTTGGCATTTTCTTTATGGGGATCTTTGTGAGAAACAGAATTGGAAGACAAGCAGTAATATATAGGTAATCTTATTTGCCAACCCCTCTTTTTCCTTTTCCTCTGTGAGAGATTCTTGACAAGTACATCAGCTGTTAAATTATCCACATGAGTTAAGAGCCAGACTGTGGATCAGAGTCGAGCTTTTGTCAACTCATAAGATCATCTCTTTATGGGATTCATACAGTTATGGTAAAATTCATCTCATTTTTCCTGAAAGCCTCATTCAGGAGGGGAAACCCCTTCTTCCGCCCTGACTCCAGAAAATGCATCATTGAATCCCACTGAGTCGGAACAGTGGAACTAAACTCTATGGTTGGAATCAGCTCTCCAGATCATCTCTTTTTGGGGGGAGTGAAGTGGGGTGAGATACCAGGGATTGAACCCAGGGACACTCGACCACTGAGCCACATCCCTATTTTGTATTTTATTTAGAGACAGGGTTACATTGAGTTGCTTAGCACCTTACTTTTGTGGAATCTGGCTTTGAACTTGTGATCCTCCTGCCTCAGCCTCCCAAGCTGCTGGGAATATAAGCATGTGCCACTGCGCCCAACTCAGATCATCTCTTGACAGTTATTTTTGTGGAGACTATCCATGATCACTTGCTGGATGAAAACTGACTTCTTCCTGGGGCTGGGGTTATGGCTTAGTGGTAGAGTGCTCACCTCGAATGTGCAAGGCCCTGGATTCGATCCTCAGCACCCCATAAAAATAAATAAATAAATAAATAAATAAATAAAGTTATTGTGTATAACTACAAAAAAAATAAAGAAAGAAAAAAAAAGAAAACTGACTTCTTCCTTTGTTCTGCACCCTCTACGTAACCACATGAGTAGAAGGGTGCAAACTCACTTTTATAGTAATGCAAGGGCATTATTTGTAAAAATGTACCTTAAAAAGCATTCAATTTACTATAACAAATTTAAATACCTCGGTAGTTTTTAAAAGTTATTTTGACACCTGAAGCCTCTTTTCTACTTAACACAAATAGTTTCAATGTAGGGATATGGTGGTGTACCCTTGTCCCATTTTATATCCTTGACCTTGTTCTTGGTTTTGGTGCCCATAGATTCTATTATAACGCTGGCAAGCTTGCTTTCATTTATAAAGGCAGTATAGCTCATTGCTTACTGGAAGAGCAGATTTCCTGTATGTGCATCTGATAGGCAGAGCTCTGCATTTAGGGCAGATGATCAAAGACAGCTGTCAGAGGCAAAGCACAGCCCACTTCTGGAAGTGAATCTTACCAACCATGTACTCTCTGTGTCAGCTATTACAGCATTTTGAGATTGATTTCCATCTAAAACCTTCTTGATTGCTTTTGTTTCCCAAGGTCCATATCCTGTTATGGCTTTTTAAAAAAAAAATTTATTCTTTGAATAGAGACATTAGTGAAGCTAGAATGGGGAGAGAGATCTTCAGAGCTTGGAACACAATATAATTTTTGACTTTTGAACATATTCAGAGTCAATTCCATACACCTGTAACAAAGTGTAAATCAACTGAATAAAGTATGGGAATAATCACAGAGTGGTAACTCTAAATTTTTGTGCCCTTTCAAAGCTGTCTAGACATTTGTCCCATCAGTTCTCCAAGTTAAACTGATGTAGACCAGTCCTACACAATAGCTATAGAGGTGAGATGAAAAAGAATAGCAGCATCCAAGTGTGATGAGCCTAAGCCACTCACAAGTTTTGCTGTTCCCTATGCTTCTAGATATTGCCCTTTTCTTGAAGCCCCTACAGGATGTGACTTCTACTAGTGTCATGTTCACCATGCCACCGACTGAAGTCATGGTAGAGCAGAGTGTCTGTTGAGTTTTGGCAGTTGCTTTGAAGGAATGGAGCCAGAGGAAATCCAATCTCTTATCTCTTGAGGAGCATGTAGCCATGAGTTCTTGTAGCTAGAATCTGGTGGAGGTGGCAGCACTCTGGGCTGAGCACAGTAGAGTCGTGCCACAGCACATGTGTTAAACACGGTTGGGCTGGTGTAATGGAAAGGTGGCTGGAAACTGGGAATCTGGAAACCCCAGGTAAAGAACTCATCCCTCCCTGACCAGCAGAGTGAATGGCTGAGTCAGACTCAGTCACGTCTAAATGGCCTCTTCCCTAAAGTAGGAGGAGAAACAGCTTCCTTGTTTGCTTTAGAGTGGGTATAATAATCCATCACGGTACAGATGAGAGGCCATAGTATTACTTCTCACATTTTTAATTTATTTTTTATTTTTACAGTTCTGGGGAGGGAAGCCAGGGTCTGATGCATGCTAGGCAAGTGCTCTACCACTGAGCTGTCGTACCCCTCATTCTGTATTTCATTCTTTGAGCAAATATTTATTGAGTGATCTATGTGAGGTAGTTGACTCAATGCTTGGAATACAGATAAAAGAAGCAGAATCCCCACAGGGCCATGTTGGGTCTACTTTGAGAGCTTGCCACGGAAGTGAAAATGTAAGACACATTGTGGTGGCGAATAGAGGACTCCAGCAGGTTCTTCTCTTTGCACATGGGTGGTGAGGAGTGAAGAAGGGCTTCTTTGAGGAGGGAATTCCGGTATTGAGTCTTAGGAGAATTATCCAGGCAGGGGATGCTGGAGGCATAAGGGGCAGACAGGCGCGTGACGGAGTACCGTGCGCAGGAAATTGTAGTTTGCAACTGAATGAAGGGTAGACAGTGAACTGGCTCCGAGCAGAAAGTCACTGCTTGGCTTGTCTTCTCTTGCCTGGTGCTTATTTCATTGCATCTCATTTTAGACAAGGTCTCCATGACAGGAAGGAAATTCTCTTATGTGTACATTCATGTGTGTACCCGTGTCTAGATCACCATTATGTAGTATTATTCCGTACACATTTTTTTCTCGATGGGATGATTGAGCTGTAGTGGACATTGCAACACAGAGTCCATGTGGAGTCTTCAATCCAGACTCTTGGCAACATGACTTTTTAATACTGTGCTTTTTTATGCTACAAAGCAGGGGTCATGGGAGCAAGGCCCATGGGAAATGCTTTGGCAGGTTGGAAATATGGGGGAAAAGGGCCATGACGGTCTCTTAGAAATTATTCTCATACCTATTCATAAAGGAAAATATATTTTATGAATATCAGTGTTTAGATACATTTTACATATACATATAATTTTTGCCTGTGTAAATAGATAACACATTGCATTTTTCCTTCTTTCTCTGTCCTTTGGGAAACATTTAACTTTTTAAAAAAGTTAAACTGTAATTTGTCAAATGTGATTTGACAGTAGCAGACAGAACCCTCCCATACTGGAACTAAATGCAGGGATCATCTGTGGACAAACACAGTTGCATTTCTTTTGTCCCAGGTGGAATGACATCGGGAACATCACTCACAACAAGTCGACCATTCTATTGGAGCTCATCAACAAGGAAGAGACTGCCCTCTTTCACACGGTAAGCAAAATGGATGGAGAGGGTTCAATGAACAACGTGCCTTTTGACTTTTTCAATTCATAATATCATTTCCTTGTTCTCCCTATCTTAAGAGAATAAATATTTTATTGAAGAGAGTCTTTGTAATACTTGCTCAGTGTTATCGCTACTCATTTCAGGGTAGTGCGGGTGAAGTATCATGCTCAAGAAGGCAGGTTTCCAAGCTTACTCTGGACTCTAGATTTTGGGCGCTCCTAGGTGCCTTATTTACAGTGATAGCCTTTCCTGGTGTGCTCTGTTCCTTGGAACTTCAGTTGCAGTCCTCATCGAGTGACCCCTGATTATGTTACATGGCATTTTCTTCAGCTGGGTGTCCTGAGTTTCCATTCCCATCGTAGCCCCAGCTTAATCAAAGTCAGCTGAGCAGTTGACCTCCACTTGGGTTCCTCCTCAAGAGCCAGGGCAGTTCCTGCATCTCACTGTTTCCAATTTAATGAAGTCTGGGGTTTATATTCTGGTGTTTTGTCTTGATTCAGTTATTTATTTTAAAAGGACTTGGTTCAGAATTAGATAAGGATTCCAATTTATCAGTGCAGACCCAGTGCCTTGGACATAAGGAATTCCTTCACATTTTCTGCCATTCTTTGGTGAACTCTGTAGACACAGCTGCCACTGGAAATTCAGGTTCATTTGCTTCCTGGCCCATGTGTCACTTTCTACTTGAGACGAAGAGAGGGAGGGATGTGTCCCAGCCCCTAGAGGATCCTAGTAAAGTGTGCATCTAATCAAACTGATTTTGTTTTTCTTCGTCTCTTCTTTTTTTCCAAGGATGATATCGAAAATGCCAAGTATATTTCTCGGTTATTTACTACACGGCACAAGTTTTACAAACAAAACAAAATCTGCACCGAGTAAGTACACGTTTAGTTCCCCCTCTCTCTAGAAGGCTCTTTCAGATCAAATGCGTGTGCTCCGGGGAGGGCGTAGATCACTCTTCCCATTTACTCTTTTCCCTTGATCCTTGTAGAAGCCAAAGAAGTAGGCTAAAGCCGGGCAGGAGCGAAAGAACTTTAATGATGAAGACTGTCTCGTGTAGTCCGTATGCCTAGAGAGAAAACGATCCGCAAATTGACTGCGAGCGCTCGACTGCCTGGATGGGTTGGCCACATTAGTACCTTCCAACCCTCGGCTCTGAGTTCGGAGGAGCCGAGCAGTTCCCAATTTGCCAGGGTGCCCTTCGCGTCAGATGTGGAGTGTGTTCAGAAGTGGGTAACGGAGCGGTGAGCCAACTTGAAAGAGAAGACGCTGCTGTCATCCTCAGCCCCGTTCCGCTCACACAGTTGGCTAACCCTGCGTGTGCTCCTGGGTCATGTCACCTGACTGCAAATGAGAGGCCAGGGTAATTAGAGGAAGATGTGGAAGGCGCTCGGCGTTGTCACACATCTGCGTGTCTTTTTTTTTTTTTTTTTTTTAATTTAATTTGGAAATAAAGATGATAAAGGGGAGTCTGATGAGGGCACTTCTACGTGGCCTGACCTCGGAGATAGCGTGCCGGGGCTTGCTCTATCCTCATCTTTACCTTAGTTGCCTTCAAAAGACGTTCCTCAGCGGAGTCCATTCACAGTTTGGGCATCCAAGGTGTTTAATTTTGGTTCAAAGAATGTCAGGGATGTAAATGCAAGAGACGAGCTGCTTTTCCACTCCCACAGTGGGCACATCCAAGAGTGGTCGAGGCTGCCCTAGTGCAGGTGCTGCGGAGAGCGCGGCTGCTTCAGAACCGGATTCCCAGGTCAAGGCAGACTTTTTTCTCCATGTGATGGAGGCTCTTTCAAGCCAAGCACTGCAACTGGTCACTGCTGGGGTCAAAATGTGTATCTGATACACTTAGGCCCACCAACAAAGTTGGCAAAGGCAAATCAGAAGGACTGATGTGGAGTTTAAATTAGGCAGCCGTGTCTTTCTCGTGGACATGTTCTCGCATACCCGCCCCTCTCCCCCAAACACACCATTCTTTTGAGCAGGTTTCCTGGTCACTCTGTGCAGTTCCACTCTGCTGTTGCCTTTGACCTGTGGGAGCATCCTTGATGTTAACAAGAATTCCATGGCTGTCTTCTGTAGGGTGAATAAAAAAAAGTTCCAAACAGTGGATTTCACTGTAGTCTTCTGATTTAACCATTTCTCAGCAAATAGCTTTACCATAGAATTTACTGCGTATTGGTATTTCTTTTGTGGTCTTTCCTTATGATATTCACGAATGTTGCATATTGGACTACAAACCAAGGCACAGTTCTGGTATTTATTCTGCCTCCGTAATAACTCTTTCCTTTCTCCTAATATGGTTTGGGCGTTTCCTCACCTCTCATCTAATTAAAATGTGGGTCTTTCTCTCCATATACCTATTGAATTCTATATACAATTTCCAAAGCTCAGCACAAGCTCTGCTGAGACCTGGTGCCTCCCTCTGGAGGGTTACGAAATAGCATTGCCTCAGCAGCCTCCTTCCCCAGGTAGGGATAGTGTGTCCTTTCCCAGGGCTCTCCACTCGATAACCACCAAGATCTGCCTTTGTCTTTGCCTCTGCTTCTGCAGAGCTGCTCACTGTTATATGGAAGTATAGCTTTGGGGGGCTTCCTAGGATGGGAGGAACGTGTTTAACATAAGTCTGGTGATATTGTATTTGGCCAGTTATTTAAAAAATTTAGTATTACATCATTTCATAAGAGAAAAGCTACTTTATTGCCAAAGAGAGAAGGTGGCACTCAGAATAAGGAGAGTGCCGTTAGATTGATGAACTTTAACTTAATGAAAAACTCTTCTGTCTTGGCGGGTTTTGTTTTGTTTTGTTTTTTGTTTTTATTAACACTGAGGAATAGAGGAAATACTGTTATGGCATTTGGGACCCATTGCCAAAAGGCATCTTTGATTTCAGTTCTGAAGAGTTTGATGGTATCCTAGTTTCCACTCTCCTTTATCTCTGCTTAAAAAAAAAAAAAAATCCATGTTCTCCATCTGTAAAGGATCTGATCAGGGGCTGAGGATGTAGCTCAGTGGTGGAGCATTTGCCCAGCTTGTGTAAGGTCCTGGGTTCAGTCCCCCAAAATGGTCTGGGTTCAGTCCCCAAAATCTCTTCCCCAAACCAAAAAACTCGATCGATATTTCTAATATGTATTATCTTAATAAAAGTGCTTCTTTATGGTTATACACAAAATATTTTGTCTATTTTGAAATATCTTTTGGCTGGAAGCATTCTGAAAATATTTTTTTCTTCTTGCCTTTTTTATTATGAAAGATTTTATGCACACACCAGAGAACAAGAGTATGATTTTTTGACATACAGAAAAATGCTGATGTTTTTCAGTCTTATGTCTCTCAAGATCTTTATAAATATGCCTTATTCCTTTATTATCAGTTTGTAAAACTTGTTACACCGTATCAGATGTCCCAACCATTTTGAGAGTAAAGAGGAGAATGAAAAAGGTCAGCATCCAGAAATGCACGACCTTCGTGTTTGGGTGTGTCTCGCTGATCTCGTCTCTTTTCCCTTTCTCTCTCTCCCTGTCTGTCTGGTCTGTTTATATCTGATCAGAAATAACGGCCTTTCTCATTTTTTCAACTTTTCACATAGACAATCAAATTCGCCACCCCCCATCAGACGCCAGCCCACCTGGAGCCGATCTTCCCTGGTACGTACGAATCTTCAGTAGTCTGACTTGGGTGGAGTGTTTTGTTAGCACTTTGAGGGCACAGGGGACCAGGGCATCATGACCAGAGGAGATCTTGTGAGAGTACAGAAGGGTACCGCCCTGCTAAGCAGTGTTGTCACAGTGTCATGTTGTCCTGGCTGCTTTCCCATCTTATGTGACCATCATTTATCTAGGTGTGGCTTGCGGTGTACCCCTATAATTCTCTTTCCAGGTCCATGTGACTGTGTACTTTCAATGTTCAACATACTATGTGTTTTTCTCCACTTGTTCATCTGTTCTGGTCTTTATGTGAAGGAATGTTCTCAGTTACAAGCTCCACACATTTTTTTTTTGTATTGACTGTTACAGATAGAGTTTAATAAACTAGTTTAATATACAAAAATGCTTTTTAAATGAGCATTTAAAAAGAATGAATCTGATTAATTGTCTCAGAGTATCTGATACAGAAGTTTATGAAACTTAAATTTTTAAGGCTTTAATTAGCCAACAAAATTTGGATTGATCTACTTTTTCCCTTACCTTTAGCTTCTTTTTCTTTTATTTAAAAAAAAAAAAAAACTATTCTCTTCATCATGTGAATAAGCAACCATGGCTGTGTTCTGTTTTGCAGATTACTCAACGATAATGTAATAGATATGACTAGCTAGTTTCCTTTAAAGTTTTCATTCTTTTATTTTTAGGTTATGACTTTTTATACATAGTTGAAATAAATAAATAGCCTTTTTTTTCCGTAGGTGAACAGTTCCTTTGAGTCGAGAGGGGTATCACTAGAGTTTTTCTATGTGTACAGTGTATTTATATATTTATATGTACATATTTATATATCAGCACATATTTAACTTTTAAAAAGTTGTGGAGGAAAACTTTTTTATTTTTCTGGAAAAGACATGGACATGGACTCCAGAATTCTAGAGCTGAGCCATTATATCATCAAAGGAGAGTCCCTGAGTGTCCATGTTACTATTATTAATCTCATTTTTATGCACAGTATCTCACATGTGGCCCTTTGCCTTGGACATTAGGTGGGAACCTCTGGAATTTCCCTAGGAGCACCAGTGGATTCGTTTGTGGCCCTGGTTTCTTTATTTTTCTATTCTTTATTAGTGGTGAATTTCCTTCTCTTTTTAGTCCAAGTGTCTTAATTAGTGAGATCATTTCTCATTTATGTCCAGGAAACATCATGAGAGGCAAAGTGTTTTAAGGCCATGTTGTGATCTGATTTTGTCCTAATTATCCAGAGAAGGGGCAGAAACTTACCTTTCTTACTTGGATGAAGACAATCAATAGGAAGACAGATTCAGGGCATCCCCCTTTCCCCTGCCTTTTGGATTTTTTGGATTTAAATTGTTCACCCAGAGTTCCCCATAATGAGCAAGAGAATGACCAGATGATGTGGCCTGTTGGCTTCCTTGCCAGTCACCAGGACTGCCAGTTGCTGTTTTCTCATCCCTCGTGCTGCCTGTGTTATAGTATCTAATCTGTGTCTGTGTTAGCGGATCTAGAAAGAAAAAGAATAATATATTAGAATAGATAAAGATATGAAATAAATAATATAATCCTGAGATCGTGTTTGAAGGATTAGCTTCCTTTGCTCATATATCTGTGCCAATTCATAAACAGTCATTTGCTTGTTGAATTAAAAAAAAATAAGAGCAGGAGGAGGCAGTAGACCAGGTTTGCCTGCCATGAATTTCTATTCCCTTGTACAAATTTCTCTGCACTGTTAAAAAAAAACCCAAAAACCTTAAAACCAAGAGTGCTACTGTGGAAAATTTTAGTTGAATTATGTATTGCCAAAGAGAGGGGAAATATTTTTAAATTGCAACTCAAAAATCAGCCACAAGGACACCTGGGAGTATTTAGAAAAACTTTTCCTTGGTACCCGACACTGTCCTCTTAGTTTAATCTCAATTCTTTATTTCTTCCTTCTTTATTCCTTGAAGATTTTTGATCCTTTATACCCATCACCTTCTTACTTGCCCTTTTGGTGCCCTGCCATTATTTGTTCTAGAGAAAATGACAGGAGAGCTATTTCCCTAGCTTCCAACACTGGGGAGTGCTCTTCTCTTCAAAGACGCTGAGAAAGTGTGACCCCTGCTGGCTCTGGGATTCTTGGTTTGATGTTAGCTTCTTAAAAGTTCTCTGCCTGAAACGGTCAACTTAAAGTCAAACCTATACTAAAAGATACGGGAGAGATCATCTTGATTGGTGGTTTATAATGCGAGGGTGTTTTTCTTTTCTTCTCATCAAAACTCCTTCATCCAACAAATCTGGAACCTCAATGTATAAGTAATATGGATAATGTTCAAGGTACAGGGAGGGAGGAGCTTGATTTAATAGGAAACTGAAACCTGTTGAGCTTAGATAACTTGCAGATCATCTAAGAATCATCGAATTTCCTTTGTCGGTTCACCAAATATTTAATCCGTTGAGGTTTTTTTTTTTTGTTTGTTTCTCTTTAAAAGTTTTACCCTCTTGTGCAATGGAAAGTGATTCACGTTGAGTCTAAATGGCCATCTTTAGGAGTCTAATGGAAAAGATTCTGCATTGGCGTGGGAAGTAGACAGTTAGACTGAGTTCCCTGTCAGGCCTCTCCCACACATTTGGTTCTGCCGTGGGAAGGATGAGTAAGTGACCTTGAGAACCACACACTCGATGTTGTGGGTCACATTTTTAGATTTTTATATGAATTCACCCTGGACTCATCCTAACATCCTAACTGGACTTATCCTAACCCTGTCCTATTTGAGGTTGCTGTGGACCTGTGAACAAAGATCTTGGGTTATGCTGATGAATAGGAGCTCAGGGGGGAACCAATGTTGAATAGAACAAAACAAGTTTTCTCCTTTCCGTAGCTTGGATGGGTCATGATAATGAATCTGCTCTGATTGTACCTGCGAAGGCATAGAGAACTTTGCAGGTGTAGGAGAAAAAGAGAATAAATAGCTGACCCAGTTTTTGATTGTGGCCTCTTTCTCTTTCTGACCTTGAGACAGCTACTCAGGTTCTCCCTTGTTTCCTTGAACTTGGTGATGAGATCCGAGTAAAGATGGGTGGGAGAGGGGTAAGTCGGAGGGACAGCTGGGAGAGTGGCACCAGTGTGTTTCCCCATGGTTGTGGGTTATGGGGACTGTCACAGCTGGGGCTGGTTCTCTGGCAAAGCTCTCCCCAGCTCCGCTCTGTTCTCTGTTTCAGCCCAGACAGCAGCCGTACATTTTGCCTCCCGTGCACATGCAGTGTGGCGAGCAGTACTCGGAAACACACACTTCACAAGGTAACTGGCCCGCCATCTCCCTTCTTAAGACAAAGCCAAGTACCAGTAAGCAACAGAGAAGTTCTCAGCTTTTATGACATTGATGCTTTCACTTTAACTTTGTCATTGTCTGAGTGACAGTAGCCAGCAGCTTCTGTGGAAGACCTAGGATATCCATTACCCCTGAAAGAAAAATGCCCCAGAATTGGCTGCTTGGAGGTGGGGTCAAGGCAGGGACCAGTTCTTGCTTCCTCCCTGTCATAAGTGGGACTAGAGAGGAGAGTGGCTGCTTAGCCCGCCTGGAGTGTGCTTCACCCTCCTTGCCAACAGCAGGAGCTTGTAGTAGACAGTGAGCTTCTCGTGCTGGTAGAGAAAGAGCACTTGCCTAGCGTGTGTGAGGCACTGGGTTCGATTCTCAGCACCGCATATAAATAAATGAATAAAATAAAGGTCCATCAATGTCTAAAAATTTTTTAAAAAGAAAGAGAATTCAGGTATCCAGTTATCACTGGAAGGAATAGTTTCAGCCTCTTCTTTTAACACTTTTCTCATGTCTCCCTCCAGTCCCTTTCTTAGCAAACTTATTTGTTGCCTCTCAGAATAAACAAAATCTGCTTTATTTTTCTTTTTCTCCCAAAATATCTCCCATGCAGAATGCATGAAAAAGCCCATTCCATTAGTAATAACAATTACAGTTGTAGCAATCAGCATTTATAGAGCCATTAAAATATGCCAGGCACTCTTCTAAATACTTGCTATATATTGTCTCATTTAATCCTCAAATTATACCTATAGGTACTATGATTATTTTCATTTTATAGAAATAGAAGCTAGGATGCAGAGAGGTTAATGGTTGTGTTTGGATGTGAACATCGGTATCTTAATTATCAAATAAACTTCATGTCAAAACAGGAGATGGTAAAAAAAAAATCGTATGTTATCACCTCCTGGATTATACAACAGTACATTTTATAAGCAGTTGCTTCTATGGGAAGACACCAAATCTCTCTTGGGGTGGATAAATTGCAACACCTTGGTCTCTGTGTTCTAGCTTTTCCTGCCTGTCTTATCCAATCCAGTCTATGTCCACACTCCTCCTTTTGGTTAAATATTTTCAGTCACCATTTCTGGTTTTCACCTTTTCTGACTTTGTCTTTTTTTTTTTTTTTTTGTACTGGGGATTGAACTCAGGGGGGCAGTTGACCCCTGAGCCACATCCCCAGCCCTATTTTGTATTTTATTTAGAGACAGGGTCTCACTGAGTTGCCTGGTGCCTCACTGTTTTGCTGAGGCTGGCTTTGAACTCGTGATTCTTCTCCCTCAGCCTCCTGAGCTGCTGGGATTACAGGTGTGTGTCACCACACCCAGCTTGACTTTGTCTTTTTCTGCTTTGCTCTTGCTTAATCAGTGGTGTGATAGCGAATGCATTTAGACCACAGAAAGGGACTTTGGTAAGAGTTTGCCCTCCTGGGGTTTGTGCATGTGTTGAAGACACACTGAGCATCTGGAATGGGCCTGACTTGGGAAGATGGTTTTTATATCTCTTTTAGTACTTCTTCACACTATAGTTACTTTTTACTTGACTTGATCTCAGTGACAGAACCAGAGCCAGAAGAAGACTTCAGGAATGGCTGAAAGAAATCCCGATTCAAATTTTGCCTCAGAAGGAGTGAGCCATGTTAACCTCCTAGTCTCCATATTGGTCTGGTTTCTTGATGAAAGTTCAGTAGTCCCTTGGGTAAAGGGACCTTTTCCATTATAGTCAGAAAGAGCATGTCCAAGTACTAGAGGAAACTGTCACCCTTTTGAAGTTCTTGATATTCTAGCCCAAATTGCCAGTCCTGTTGCTGAGCCCTGCTCAAGAGGATAGGGCTCTCCAAGGTCAGGGTGTCTGATTATAAAGCTCATGGCAAAATGTAGAACTTATCTAGGTGACACCTGTGCCGTGTGTGTGTGTGTGTGTGTGTGTGTGTCTTTGTTTAGGTTCACTCTTTCCAAGATGTTCTTTCTATGTGTTGACATCTCATCCAAGATGTTATTAGTTCTTCTGTGGAATATGTAGGTAGAGAAGATGGGATCTCACTTTTTAAATTAAAATTAATTGAAATTTAAATAAGTCACCTCACACATGTAGGGATGCTCTTTATTGAAGCACATTATGAAGATTCATGTGTCTCTGTTTGACTTCTCACAGACAGCATTTTCCACGGGAATGAAGAGGCCTTGTATTGCAATTCTCACAACAGCCTGGACTTAAATTACTTAAATGGCACCGTCACCAACGGCAGTGTGTGTAGCGTTCACAGCGTCAACTCCCTCAGCTGCTCCCAAAGCTTCATCCAGGCTTCTCCCGTCTCCTCCAACCTCAGTATCCCTGGGAGCGACATCATGCGGGCTGACTACATCCCTAGCCACCGGCACAGTGCCATCATTGTGCCATCTTACAGGCCAACCCCCGATTATGAGACGGTCATGCGGCAGATGAAGAGGGGGATGATGCACGCAGACAGCCAGAGCCAGTCTCTGCGGAACCTCAACATCATCAACACCCACGCCTACAACCAGCCCGAGGACCTGGTGTACAGCCAGCCGGAGATGCGTGAGAGACACCCCTACACGGTCCCGTATGGGCCACAAGGGGGTTACAGTCACAAACTTGTCAGTCCATCTGACCAGATGAACCCGAAGAACGCCACGGTGCCCAGCAAGCCGGGGGCAAGTGCCATCTCACACACGGTGAGCACCCCAGAGTTGGCCAACATGCAGCTCCAAGGCAGCCATCACTACAGCACTGCCCACATGCTCAAGAACTATCTCTTCAGGCCACCTCCCCCATACCCACGGCCCCGCCCTGCCACCAGCACCCCAGACCTCGCCAGCCACCGCCACAAGTACGTCAGTGGCAGTAGTCCGGACCTGGTGACACGGAAGGTGCAGCTGTCAGTAAAGACCTTCCAAGAGGACAGCTCTCCAGTGGTGCACCAGTCTCTCCAGGAGGTCAGCGAGCCCTTGACGGCCACCAAGCACCATGGCACGGTGAACAAGCGCCACAGCCTGGAGGTGATGAACAGCATGGTGCGAGGCATGGAGGCCATGACTCTGAAGTCGCTTAACATCCCCATGGCCCGCCGCAATACGCTGCGGGAGCAGGGGCCTCCAGAGGAGGGGCCCGGCGGCCACGAGGTCCACCAGCTTCCTCAGTACCACCACAAGAAGACGTTCTCCGATGCCACCATGCTGATCCACAGCAGCGAGAGCGAGGAGGAGGAGGAGGCCCCCGAAGCCGTGCCGCAGATCCCCGTGCTGCGGGGGAAGATGGAGTACAGCGCCCAGCTGCAGGCCGCCCTGGCCCGGATTCCAAACAAGCCCCCACCCGAGTACCCCGGGCCCAGGAAGAGTGTTAGCAACGGGGCTCTGAGGCAAGACCAGGGGAACCTTCCTCCTGCCATTGCCAGAGCCCGGGTAATGAGGCACGGGCCAGCCAAGGCCCTCAGTGTCTCCCGAACTGATCAGCTGGCCATCAACGGGTCCTCTCTGGGGCCGTCCATCTCCGAACCCGACCTGACAAGTGTGAAGGAGCGGGTAAAAAAAGAGCCTGTGAAGGAGAGACCTGTGTCGGAAATGTTTTCCCTGGAAGACAGCATTATAGAAAGAGAGATGATGATTAGGGTAAGTTCCTCCCAGGGCATCGTTAGTGGGAAAGCGCAAGTACTGGAGTCACTGGAGGAGGCGTGAGGCCTTCGCAGGGAACGTGCCATGTGTTTACAGAATCACTGGGCATTAACAGGCAGCATTTCAGTTCACCAGACCTTGTTTTCCATTCTCATTCATGACTTCTAGTGGGTTTGGTTTGTACAAAGTGCTGCGATTGAGTTAGGATGCTATCGAGGTCAGTGCCTAGGTCAGGGCCAGGATTTTGCTCTTTATTCAGGGTTCAAACTTCCAGTTGCTGCTAGAAGCTTGCCTATCTACATCTCTTCGTGGCTAGCATGAAAGGACCAGGCCGGACACATACTTCACGGATCATCTCAGCCTTTTATTCAGGAACGGCATTACACCCACAGGAATGGACCCACTCTCCTGGTGGAAAATGAGCCACTGGCCAAAGGAGGAGCTTGGGCTTGGAGGTTCTACTGAGAGGTGATTTAGTGAGCATGTCAGTTAGAGCACTTAGAAATTTGGATTTGGGGGTTTGAGTTCAGTGGCCAGCACCTGGAGAGGGTTTATCTTGGATGAGATTAGGGGATGATGAAGAGGGAGATGATGTCATTCTAGGTGTGATGAAATACTTTCTCCCCACCAGTGGCCAGATCTGAAAAGGACTTATCTTGAAAGAGATGAAAGCTATCAGTGTATGGCTTTTGTTTTTTTTTCCACTTCCTTTTCCAAGGCCACACTACCTTGGGATTTTTCATTTTCCATATAAAACATTTGTGTTTTTGGTTTCAGGGCCGGGGGTGGTGTGGGGATGCACTGTTTTCCCTTGTTAAATATTAGAAGAACAAATCCCTACAGGGTACAGCTTTCTTTCTTTCTTTTTTTGGTGGTCTGAGGGATGGAACCCAGGGCCTTGTGCATGCTAGGCAAGTGTTCTACCACTAAGCTACACCCACCCTACACCCATCCCAGGGTTTCACAAGTTGCTGAGGCTGGCCTTGATCTTGTGATCCTCTTTCTTTAGCCTCCCAAATAACTGGGATTGCATGGAGGATGTACCACTGCATCCAGCTTAGTGTTTGGTTCTGTATGTCAAGATGGTTTGCTACATTGTCAGGACTGTGCTAATTTTAACACAAATTCAAGAAAATTTTAGTAACTGGATCTATAACTTGGGAGCTTACTGTTGGACTTCAATTCCCTATCATATTTGTTCGATAAAAATTTCACTCATATGGATATATACATACATACTTATAACATTTGAAGATACATCCTAACATTAGATACGAATAACCCTTCTTCAGAATATGTATAGTCTAGAAGGCCAATTATGTTATCAGAGCAAGACTACACAGGTAGTCAATGTACATGCAGAACAATAAAGTGAATCCATCTCTTAGTAATGAGAACATTGTCGGATTGTAGTTATTACTTTAAAAATCTCCATTGCTGCTTGTCCTGGAAATTTTCACTTTCTTAAAAAAAAATCATTTGATTACATGACTAATCAAACCCAGATTGACTTCTTTTCATTCACCATAGCTGCATCATCAGGTAGCTGGACCTTTTAGGAACTCCAGATAGTTGTCATTAAAATTTGCTTTGATGAAGTTCACTAGACTCCATTTCTAAGTCTTCCAAACTCATCATTGGGAATCAACCTGAAGAATCAAGGACCAAAGTTTTAAGGGAGCCACGTTGCTGGGGTTCAGAAAACTAAGCCATAGCAAATTTGTTACTTTAGAAAATCCTCAAGGACACAGTCAGCCTTGCCTTTTTGGCCAACAGTAAAGCTTTGCTAAGAATTCAGTAGAGGCATAACTTTTTCCAGTTTTTGCAAACCAAGAGGGAAATGATGAAGCCGTACCTCCACCTCTGGCAAAGAAAACCTTTGGCTGGGGATGGAGTGAAATGTGGGGTGGGTGCTTTGAGGGGAGAGCTTTCCCAGCTTGGAAAAAAGTAATTGATTGTTTTAAAGGCAATTTTCAACACTTCTTGGCCACGGGCCTCTTAAAAGCAACATTAGCATCAAGAATCTATCAGTCTAAGCATTCAGCTTAGCTGTTTCTCCTGCCAAGTTGATACTTAATGATGTCCACATGGTCCTGTAACCTCATTTGGGTCATATTTGTCCTCTTCTCGTTACCCATATTAAACAAATAGCCGATAGCCCAAATCTCTGCACAGGTCCCTGATTTCCAGCATCTTACATTATCACAGAAGAACAAGGGGTATTCTGCTGTTCTTTCCCATATGCTATTTCATTCCATCCATGTGGATAATAGCAACCAGCAAATTTCACTCATTAACTTTTAGTTTCATTGACATCATAACCCCATGCTACTTCATTTTCCCTGTTGATTATTTTCCCCAAACCTTATAAGCCTGGGAATTCAAGGACTGCCACCCTCAGCCAGAGCCCTGACCTTGGTGGAAGGAGTCTTCATGGAGCCGGGTGGCCAGGCAGGGTGGATAAAGATGATGCGAGCTCCCAAGCCCAAGATGGAGACAGACAGATACTAGAACCTCACCCCCTCGCTCTAAGCAGCATCCCTTCTATCTCAGATACTCTCTGCTCTCCTCACCATGGGTAGCTTTTGCCAGCTTGGTGGGAATAGATGAGAGAGGAGGCTGCCAAAGCCATCTAGGGCCTTGTAGATAAGAAAACAATGAGAAACCTAAGGCAGGTAAAAGCTGGGGTAGGAGGTGGAGGACAGGTATGGTGAGAATTTGCCCTCTGAGCAGCTTTCCTAGTTCTGGAGCCACTTGTCTACTTGATGAATGACTCAGGCCTGTTGCCTGCTGGGCTCCTGCTTGTTCCTAGTGCAACCCGGAAGATACTTTATTGCTTCCGGCTCCTAACCAGAAGTCAGATCTAGAGAAGAAGACAGATCAGCTCTTGAAGTTGTTATTTTATTTATTTTTTTTAAATTTCAATATTTATTTTTTTAGTTATCAGCGGACACAACATCTCTGTTTGTATGTTATTTTATTTTTTGTTCTCTGATAAAAAAAAAACTAACAGGATCAGTGAGAGGAAGCTAAGAGATGGGTTTTTTTTATGCTGCTGAGGTTTCAGTTCTCACTCAGTTGTAGCAATCCTTTCCCAAGAAAGATAAGTGAGTTCCTTTTGGTCTTGGGCTCAGTCAGGACCACCTCATAGTACAGCGGAAAGATGGCAAGAAGACCTGTTGAGAGGACCCTGGGGAGGTTTTTCTGGAATTTTTGCTTTCTTAAACTTTGAAACAGTCCAACTAAAAGAAGTGACATAAGCAAAATTATCTTTCATAAAACTAGAAATAAAAAAGCAAACTAATGAAGAACTCAACACCTAATCCAAAATCTTCACCTAGGAGGGTGCCTGAATTGAGAAATCAAGGTTATTTTATTAAGGATTTCTTCAAGCCAAAAGTCTGTGGCTGCTTTTCACAATTCTCAGTTAATCGTCCTCTTAAATGCACCTTTGGCTTGTTTGCTGGGTCAGCCCGTCACAGGAACAGGTGTCCTGTTGCCAACTTCACTCACAGAGGCCTCATTCTGATTGTAGGTGACCCTGTAGTGCCAATGAAACCCATATTAGGGAATCAGGTAATCCCTTTCACCCCACGTGCAGTAATCCACTAAGGCTATGACTGGAGGGCACTGTGACTTCATTGAGACAACTCCCTAGGAAGTAAATGTATAAGTGGCCAAATTAAGAAAGGAATCACTAAAGAAAAAAACCAGAGTAGGATGGATGACCCCTTCATCTGTAGCAGTCACATGAGCCTGAAAGTTGCTTTCACTTTGGTTTCAATCCACATTTTCAGTTCTCTTTATCTCACCTGTTTCTAAGCTTAATGAAGTCCCTCTGGTCTTTTCTAGCGTCTCAGACAAAATTACTTTTAGGAAACGGGGTTAGTGGGTTGTCTGAAGTGAGTAAAACCAGGTTTTTCATCTCTCTCTGTTAGTTTTCAAAGACATGAGGAAGCTCGGCAATAAACTGAGCCCTGACTGAGCTGGGCTCAGGCTATAGGTGCCACCCAGTAAGGACAGAGTATGGCTGTGAGAAGCCACAAGTGAAGGCCGGGGGAAAAAACGTCAGCAGCTTCCCCTGAGTGAAGTCTGCTCAGCTGTCATCCATGTTCTCCCCAAAAGTTAGTTACACCCGCTGATGTCCCACCATCTCCCCTGGATGGAGCCCAAGGGTCAATGCCTGTAGCTCATCTTAGGAGGCCCCAGCCTGATTAGTATTGTGACTTTGCTAAACTCTATTAGTTCTTATATCTGGGGCTGATGCCAATAGATGCCCCGAGAGCCAGATATTAAATGTAAGATTCATATCCTCAGTCTGAATCCTCAGGATAGAAGCCTTTTAAGAAGATTTTCTTCTACCATTTTCATGCCTGGATTTCCCCATCAACAACACAACTGTCTTCTAAGCTGTACACCACTCATTCTGTGCACAGACCCACATTTCAGCTGGATCAGATTATTCATGTACACCTCCCTTTAGCTCTTTGCTTCTAAAGTGTATTGTACATACCCTTATTTTTTTGTGAGCCTTGTGGCCTGGTATGTTTATCAGAATGTCATTTATCTATTTATCTACTGAGATAATGAATTAAAAAGAAAAGCACAGGAGTCCTGTAGGAACTGGCTTCCTCAGGCACAGTGGAAATGGGAGGGCTGTGTTTGACTTTGCCCTACTGAGTGTCTGCATTCCTTGGCTGGGGAGTTACAGATTTGGGAAGATTAAAACACATTCCAGCCTTCTACTGGTATATAAACAATGAGAACATGCCTTTTCTTGCTGCAAGAATCTAGAGAAGCAGAAGATGGCAGGCCTGGAGGCACAGAAGAGGCCCCTGATGTTGGCAGCATTGAATGGGCTCTCGGTGGCTCGGGTCTCAGGGCGGGAAGAGAGTCGACATGATGCCACCCGAGTTCCTATGGATGAGAGGGTAAGTGCTGGGCTAGTCAGGTGCATGATTCATTTCTCTGTGGTCTTAAGATCCCAAAGCGCTCTCCTTGCCCAAACATGCCGATTCTGTTGGAAGAATGAATTCTTCAATTTGAGATTAGGAAGATCTAGTGAGTGCTTCTCAGCACCTAATGTTTCTTAATCACATTGGTGTGTCACTGCTGGCTCAAAAGATCAGCCCCTAATGAGCCATATGATCAAGCCATTCAGATTCTTTTGACATATTACCCTTTTTGTAAGAGGAAAAAATGAAACAATGCTTGTCTCTCTCTACTTCTGTGATTTTTGTGAATAATTACCATTTCTTAGGAAGTGATGCTTTTATGCAAGCATTTATAAGTTTCTTTCAATATGCTGTTTTCCTGTATGGTGGTGAAACGAAGCTGATTTATAGTTGTTAGGACAATGCATTGTGAGAACTTGGGTTTTTAAAAGCAGACATTTGTGGCATGGCAATATTTCCAGGTGATGAAAGATTTCCTTCAGTTCCCGAAATTGCTGTCAGGAGGTTAAGGAATGGGCTGTATAAATTTATAATAGAGTGCTAGTAACACTACGGCGTCAGATTCCTGCCAGTATATGTTTGGAATTAGAATATTTTGGAGCCAGAATAAACTCCGGAAAGATCATTTCTTCCAATTAATACCACATTATTATAATTAGCAGTTTGGCCAGAGAGGGAAGAAAGGGAGGGGGGTACCTAATCCTTGGAGAAATACAACTGTAGATCAGTATCATCTTAAAGTTTAGCTCAGTAAAAACACCTGTGTAAGTGGAGAACTGGATGTTTGGATAATGAAGACTAACCATCTCCTTATCATTAGAACTTATAAGCAGGTACTAATAACCTAAGTATTGATTTTGAATTTCAGCTCTCACCAGTTCTTACAGATTTGTCTTATAGCATGAGAAAGAATGGTTATGAGACAAGAGAAACTAGCAATATGGTTACAAATGAGACCCAATAATCAAGTGCTGAATGAGTTTTATGTCTTGAAATCCCCTAACACAGTCATTGCAAATATTGGAAGAACTCTGGTGATTTTATTGGAGATTTGGAGATAGGTAATTCAGAGAACTGAAGATTAATTTCTGTTGCAGTTCAGAACCCTGAAGAAGAAGCTAGAAGAGGGAATGGTGTTCACAGAGTATGAGCAAATCCCAAAGAAAAAGGCCAATGGCATATTTAGCACCGCGGCTTTGCCAGAAAATGCAGAACGCAGCCGAATCCGTGAAGTTGTCCCTTATGAGGAGAATCGGGTAGAGCTGATACCAACCAAAGAGAACAACACGGGCTACATCAATGCCTCCCATATCAAGGTGAGAAGGTATATGCGAGATCACTAGGTGAAGGGGGAGAAATGCAGGAAGAAAAATACACGGGCTGCAACTGTACTTCCTGACTTGTCCCCAGTCCCCTGGGGAGTGCTTTTGAACTCTCATGCTTTTCTTAGTCAACTGGAAAGGATGTCTGTCACTGTAGGGAGAAGGAAGATGAACAGCCTCAGCAAAACCTTAGGACAGCTATTTTCTGAAGCTTGTTTATCACAGAGGAGCTTTTTCATCTCTATGTACATCATAAATACCCTTCCTAAAGTCACGGGGGAACGTGGGGGTTGTCCTTGTCAGTTTGTAATTAGCAGGTGACAGAGATGTTGGGAATTGTAGGTGTTATTGTCATTGAAGTTTATATCCTGTTCAGTAGCAACAGAAACTGTCATTTCTCCCTTGAAGTACTATGGGTTATTCATTTTAGAGCTAAAGTCTCAGTTTGGCATGGTATTTGGAAGAGTGGATAATTTATATGCAAGCCATAAAAATGTAGTTGATATTGAATCTTGCTGCCGCAGCCCGGCTGCAGCAAAATAACCGGGGGGTGACGAGCAACTTGTGTACATTGATACAGCAGGAGTGGCAGTCGTTTATTGTAGGACCAGAGGGGTATTTATACATTCCACACAGCTTATCTTAATTAACATAAACTAGATACAGCAGTCAACCAATAAGGAATCTCCACTCTTAATGGCTCGCTGGCGTTACTTCACAAACCACTCCCTCTGCAAAATGCCAGGTGCCATCTTGACTTGTTTACAGACTCTAACATCTTGCAAGGTTTGCCACATTAGTCAATGAGTTGGTGTTAAATTTTTATTAATTCTTCATATCTCAGTAATTCATAGCTAGTAAACCCCAGTTAGGATTTATAGTTAGGGATACACACGTACATATGGTTAAATATTTCCTAAGTAGTTTACTAATATCTGCATATTTGGTCTGCACTCTGAAGTGGATGAATTTGTTCATGTACTAATGTTAAGTTATTACTGGAAGTTTTGAAACAACACAAAGTTGACCTCAATAGTCCATTGTGATTGAAAGCCTTAGAAATCTGTTTCTGGCCCCGTCCAGAATTATCTCATTTTTTCATGGAACTTTTCAACTGTAGCAGAATTATCTTGAAGTTCCTTTGAGCCCCTTAAGTGTAGGTAGATGTCTGGCTTGTGTATCTATTGAATGCAACCAACCTTTGGTTGGATATAGTGTTTAGGAGCACAAAGCATAAATAACCATGCTTTTTTTTTTTTAAGAATTTTTTTAGAAAGTACTGTTGAAAGAAATCATGAAAGAACAATGATCATAGATCATATTGGTATTTTTTAGAATGAACCCCAGGAAACTCAAGTAACTGATGATGGGCTTGGTTTAGATTATGAAATAATGACTGGAATAATGTAGTCAAAGATGCATGCGGATGATACCACTGCTTCTTGACGAGTATCTATTAAAATCTTGCAAGCAGTATTCTTCTGTCCTCTTTCTTTGGCCAAATCTCTTCCACCATTTTCCATCTGCTCTCTGGGGGTGGGGGGAACTGTCACTCTGTGTAAATGATACCCGTCGGGTATTGTTAACTGCGATGCCTTCCCCTCCTCAGCGTTCTCTGAGACCCACTTTTCATCTTTGAATTGGGGTAGACATGAGTGCCTTTAATAGACCCATAGAGCTTGCAAGAACTTGTCCTTGTGTTTTTGGAATAGAGTTGTGTATTTTGCCAATGTTTTCTCTCCTGGGCTCCAAGCAGCTGTTAACACAGAAGAGAGATTTATTTGCTCCAGAGGTGGAATCACATCTGTGAAATCTACCTCAGTAGCATTGGTTGTTGTGTTTTTAACACAGTTTTTAATAGCCTCCTGTCAATACTTGGAGTATGCCGAAAGGCCCCAGGCTGCAGCATTCTCTCATATATTTATGGTTCCTATATGTGGGGTGCCAGAGAGGCTAATGTTTAAAATCACAATTCAAATAAACCAAACTCCTAGCCAGTGAATATATGAATGTTATCTCCCACCAGTACTTGAAAAATGGATTTTTCTTGCCAGCTTTGACCTAAACACATCTTGTGTAATGAGACAGTAACTGACATTGTTTTTGTTTGAATCAAGTTAGTTTGTGGTTACATAAAATAAATGAAGGGGAAAAGTTTCTGACAGTGATCACCTCATTGCTACTCGAACTCTTGAGAGGCCTACGTTGCATGAATGATAAGGAGGCCTGTCTTTACATTATCAAGGCACAAAGATGGAAGGGGGAGTCGAAAGAATTCCTCCAAAGGTTACTGTTTCACCTTGATAAGGTGACTGTCAATGCTTTGGGCTCAACATATGATTCTCTGCAGCTGGTATTTATAGCTACAGAATTATCCTCCCACGATCATCCTGAGCTGGTAATAATTTTATTATCCAAAATTATCTCATGACTCCATAGTTCAGTTGGATGCTATGGTGCTGCACAAAGTGGAGCTATCAATAATACATGTACCATTGACAAGTGAGCTCATAACACTTCTGCCATACGTGGCACTGCAGAACTGTATTAACAACAGAAGTTTGTGACATGCTTCATATCAGGTCAGCAGAAGAAAGATATTACTCCAGAAGGGATGTTATTCTGTGAGAGACTTTTTTTTTTATTGTTTCAGAGGATGTCACAGAACACTTTTTCAAATGGTGAATCATCACAGTAGGGGGTTATGAAACCCATTTCATGGGCACAATTAGTTTTGTGTGTACATCTATGAGTATATGTGTGTTTTAATGAAATCAAAATAAAGGAAAAAAATCAAAATATGGGGTACACTGTTCAGAGTAAGCTTAAGTATTATGCTACAAGTAAATCCTTTTACTTTATATGTATACATGTCATACACTGGCATATGTACACCTATATGTGGGCATATATATGTGTATGTATGTACTACGCATTGCAGACCCCCCAAGAATTGAGCGAATATATTTTGCTTAGTAAAAAAACTATCTTCATGTGAGAAACACATGACAGAGGATTTGAGAGTTGTGCTAAGCCATTTAGTCTAAAAAGTATTACTCAAGGTGGAAGGTGGCTACAAGTGGATGGGGATGAGCAGATGACAATCTTGGACTTGGGGTTCCTTTCCTGATGCTTTCCTTGGTTTGCAGGTGGTGGTTGGTGGGGCAGAATGGCACTACATAGCAACTCAGGGGCCCCTGCCACACACATGCCACGACTTCTGGCAGATGGTGTGGGAGCAAGGAGTGAATGTGATTGCCATGGTCACCGCAGAAGAGGTAAGGGGAACTCCCCCTCTCCTAATGTCCTTTTCCTGTGGGAGTGGGTGGCCAGAAGATGGGCCTAGTGCCAGGGACTTTGCTGCCCATCCTCTGTTTCTCTGCAGATCCTTCTCCCTTTGGCTCTTTTTTTTCCCTCTGCTTTCCACATAATTCTCCCCACCCTACCAAGGATGATTTGGTTTTGTGCTCTTTTCTCCTGTTCTCATTTGGCTTTGAACTCTTTCCTTTGGCTCGTCCATATACTACAGTGAAAACAAAGCAACAAAAAATAAAAAAAACGACCAAACTTTGGTTCAACCAGCTGACTGTGTGTGCCAAACAAAGCAGCGATCTTTCCACTGGAATTTGAGGACCTCAGCCGCTCTGGGCAAGAAGACCTACATTCCCAGCCCCAGGCATGGTCAGCCCCACATGCCCTCATGCTTATCAGCTGAAAAGGGACCAGAAGCTGCCATTCCTGGAGAGGTCTCCATTCTTTGGGGAAAAAAATTCTTTCTTTGCCAAGCCAAATATAGCTTTCGTCTTGTAGCAAGAGAACTCTGTGATGGCAGACCGGCATGTCCCCCGCTCCAGTCCTGTCTACTTGACTCACTGCCTTTGGGGGGTGGAGCATGGTGTTTTTTCTCTTGTCATGGTCTCAAAAAATTTTAGCTACCTTTTTTTGTACCTTTCATGACATCTCAACTTGTTTTTGAACTCGTTTAAGGGACCAGCTTTAGGCATCTTTACCAATTTTCATGGTATCCCAAAACCCCTTTCTAACTGTGGTAGGAGCAGAGAAAATTGTAAGGGGAAGTCATGTCCCCTCCCTGTGTCTGTTTTGGGAAGTTGCTTTCAGAAACAGCCTGTTGAAAGATAGTGGCAAAGAGGACTTCAAGCTCTTTAAAGTCATTTGCACGTCCTGGGCAGACCTTATTTTTTTATTTTTATGTTTTTTTGACCTTCTCATCAAGAGATTGAATTCTTCTTAAAGTTTCTAGAGTCGATTCCTTGCCTGATTGGATCACATCCCTGCAAGGGATTCATTCAATTGAATGTCAAGTGCCAACTCTGCTAACCCCAGGGCACGTGGTGAATGAGACGGGCACTGCCCCTGTTCCCATGGAGCTTATTTCCTAGTGAGAGGGACAGTCAGTTGTGAACTGGAGAAGTTCAGTTCAGATAGTAGTAAGTGCCATGGAGAAAAAACAAGGGCATGTGAAGGAGTGTGACCAGAGGCGGCTTTAGGTCAGGTAGGCAGCTGAGGCCCCTCACAGGGGTTGGTATTTGAGCTGAAACCTGAGTGACAAAAAGGAGGACATCCAGGAACTTACCAAGCCAGAACTGACTGAGGCACACTCAGTAGAAATGTAAATCCAAGATTTCAGGTAAGCCCATTTTTGTAGGTTTGGTAAATGGAAGAGGAAGATATGCTTCGAAGACTCAGTTAAACTCAGTGACTCCATATAAAATGACTTCTATCCCCCAAAGAAGTGTTCCTTTACAAGAGGGATGGCCATTAGGCTTCTCCCCAGCAGCCAACAGGGCTCCCAGAGCCTGTCCCTGCTGCAGACGGCTCTGTATCCTCTGGGTGCCTTCTTTTCCCCACACAGCCCCCATCCAAGATCTCTTCATAAACCACCAACCCTTTCATGGTTTTTGTCCAACTCTAGTGATTTCAAAACTATACATAACTTAAAACTAGACCTTTTGTAAATGGTGGACAATGCATACCTTCAGAAAAGATAATAATTGTCAGAAAGAATGATAATGGAACCAGATGTTCTCTGTTTTGTAGGTTGAACTGAAACTGGTCAGATTTTGAGAGAGGAAAAAAGCAAGATTAACCCTAGATGATAGAGAGACAGTATCAGTAGTCAGTGTGGTGTGATAGAAAGAGCTCTGGACTGTGCCCCAGAACAAGAAGCATGACTTAGAAAGATGACTAGAATCTGTTGCTGCTCTACTTAAATCCTTTGGATGGCTTCCCATCAACTATCGAGTAAAATCCAGGCTTACTTGCTATACTCCATCTGCCCTGAAGATGTCTGTCTTTCTTGAACACACCAAACTTATTCCCCTCTGAACTTTGTGCTTGCTTTTCTCTAAGTTTTCCATTATAAATATTGTAATTGGCCTGAGCTCAATTGTAAAGGATTTTCCCTGTGATAGACATTGCCCAGTGACCCCACTGAGTTAGTGATTTAGAAACTGTTTCCAGTTTTTAAGATTAAGAGGATAGACTGGGCTATGCCTGTAATCCCAGCAATTTGGGAGGCTGAGGCAAGAGGACCACAAGTTCAAAGTTGGCCTCAGCAACCGAGCAAGGCCCTAAGCAACGTGGGGAGATTCTGTCTCTAAGTAAAACTATAGAAAGGGCTGGGGATGTGGCTCAGTGCTTGAGGACCCCTGGGTTCAATCCCCAGTACAAAAAAAGATTAAGAGGATAAGAGTTTATCCTGACTTATTTCCAATTTTGCTTTCTTGTGATTCAGGAGGGTGGACGAACCAAAAGCCATCGATATTGGCCCAAACTGGGTTCCAAGCACAGCTCAGCCACCTATGGCAAGTTCAAGGTCACCACAAAGTTCCGAACAGATTCTGGTTGCTATGCAACCACAGGCTTGAAGGTCAAGCACCTTTTATCTGGGCAGGAAAGGACGGTGTGGCATTTGCAGTATACTGACTGGCCAGATCACGGCTGCCCAGAGGATGTCCAAGGATTTTTGTGTAAGTGTTTTTTTCTCTCTGTTTTACCAACTGCATCAATGGTTTATCATAATGAGAGGATGCTTTCTCTTAAGTGACTAAAGTATGATGACATCAAAGTATCTATGTCTATCAAAGAAGAATAATACATGTCACTTATTCTGTATACCTATTACTCAAAAAGCTCAGACTGTGGTAAACTAGTTCTACATGGATTTAGGCCTATAGTTACTCATTCTTCAATAACTGTTTTGGTACATGTCACAACATTGAATATGTAATGGTAAGTGAAATAAGCCAGACATAAAAGGACAAATGTATGGTTCCACTACATAAAGCACCTAGAATAGGCAAATTTGAAGGGACAGAGGAGCCGGCAAGAAGAGAAAACAGGAAATTGTTGTTTCATGTGCACAAAATTTCTGTTTGTGATGATGAAAAAGTTCTGGAAATGGATAGTGATGATGTTTGCACAACATTGTGAATATACTTAATGGCACTGAATTTACTCTTAAAAATGGTTAAAATGGCAAATTTTATGTTATGTCTATTTTACTTCCAAGAAAATGACACAAAGAAATCACTGAAAAGTAATTTATTTTTAATTTCTCATAAAAGTTTGCTTTTCACCAAGCCTATATTTCTCTCTAGCAGTACATCCCTTTCAGTACTTTCTCCCACCTATGACTGAGAGGTGCTAAGAATTATTGGAATCAGCTTGGAGTGTTCCAAACTGAAATGTGCTTAGAAGACTACCTCATTCATTTATTTTCAGGATATGGTTATTTTTTTAGAAACAAATTCACCAGAATATATGTAGGACTTCATTTGAGGGATTAAAACCTGGATGGGTGCCCACTTTGTGCCAGGCATTGGATCAAGCTTGGGACACAGTGATGAAACTAGGCTCACAGTCTTTGCTTTACGGATGTTCCTAGTCCAGCTGAAAGGACAGGCCAGTATCTAGAGTGCAGGGCTGAGATCCAATGCTTCCATCTGCTTTTTACGATGGCTGCGCTGTCCCCTTCCCTTTTCACATGGTCCTAAATGTCCTGCACGTGTGGAGAAACCCTATTCTTTCCTTACACAGCTAGGGAAGAGGCAGATTTATTCCTGCTGTGTGTTCTTCTCCAGCTATGGGAGACCTGTGACCACAAAGGGCCCATCACCCAGATGTTGGGCAATGTCAAAACCTTGATTTTTATCTTTACGTTATTAGAATGGAATGTAGGAGTGCATGTGGGAGGAGGAAGAAAGAGAGAGAATAGGCTTTTAAGTCCTAATAATAACCAATTTACAAGATTGAGAGATTGCGATACATATTTACCCACTGGTACAAGGATTTCATTTGTCATGGAAGTGGCAATGGTGCTTGAGGGGTTGGGCACTGAAATTAGAAAGATGACTGGAGTCCTAGTTTGAGCAGGTTAGTGATTTGACTGGGGTCAGACAGCCACTTATTCAGAGCTCAAAATATCAATAAGGAGGCAGGTACCCTTTGTATAACCTTCTTTCCTTCTTTTATTCCTTTCAGATAAATGTTTTTTGTTTGTTTTTTGAAGTGGGGTACTGGGGGTTAAACACAAGGGAACTCAACCACTGAGCCACATCCCAGCCCTGTTTTGTTTTTTATTTAGAGGCAGATATTTAGATCATTTTATGAAAAACTATTTTTTAGAGAGAGAAAAAGAGTCTCAATCTTGTAAACTGGTTATTATTAGGACTTAAAAGCCTATTCTCTCTCTTTATTCCTCCTCCTCCCCACATGCACTCCTACATTCCATTCTAATAATGTGAATTAGAAAGATTAGTAGGTATTGCCCAACATTCCTCTTATTTTTCTTCTCTTATTTTTATTTACTTTTTATTTGGCGATAGGGTCTCACAAAGTTGCCAAGGCTGGCCTTGAACTGGCGATCCTCCTGCCTGCCTCAGTCTCCTGAGTAGCTGGGTTTTTGATTTAGGTCAAGAAAAGCTGTGTCTCTTGTATGTGACCCTTTTTCAGACAGAAACTCAGTGACTTGGCATCTTTTCTCCTTGCACAAAAATTGCGATGAGAATTCTGTGCATCATATTTAGTTCGTGATGGTACCCAATGGAGTTATCTTTCTCTCTCTCTGTTCACCTCAGTATGTCTTTTTGTTTTGTTCTACCTCATTTTATATTCCTGCTAGTTGTAAGGCTCCAATCAGTACAACTAGTGTTATTTCTAAGTAGTCATCATCATAAAAGTGATAATAGTAGTTTGTCTATTTTGTTAACTACTTCAAATTATTTTTGTAATTGGATCAAGGTATAAAGCAAAGTATTGATACTTATTAATTAAATATAAATAAATGCTTTTAAATTACTGGAATGGTACATGTGCTTTTTTTCTCTTCAACAATTATAGCATTTACCTTATAGCCTTGTAAATGCTGTTGCATGAAGGTAAAATTTTCCAAGTATCAAGAACTTTTAAGCCTGTTTCTTCCCTTAGCTACTGGAAAATCTAAATTACTAATTGGCTTTTTCTGATTTTTGGATTGTCTGAGGATTATATTTATATACTTCCCTTTTTCTGTGACTATGAAAAAAAAAAGTCATTATGGCTTAGATTGCTGTAATTGTTCTTCTGTGCCAGTTGGAGTTGTGAGCAGACCCTAGTGCTGCCCCGCTGGGCGAGGCAGATGTTAGAAGGGGTTGGGGGTGCCGAGACCCCCCTAAACCCCCTATGCATGTTGCCTTCAGAACAGGGCTCCTCTTGAGCGGCTCACATAATCCCATAGGAATCGTGCTGAAAAGCGGACTCCCCAAAGTCTATTTTTAAATCCAAAAATGAAGTCAAGCCTCAGTTGACATTCACTTTTTCAGTGAGGGGAAGGGGAACGTGGCAGATGGATGCTCTTTCCCCACCAGAAATCGGCTCTGACAAGCGGGCGTTTCAAGGGGACTTAGCTGTTGTTCTGATCCCAGTCTGTTAATAGGAGAAATTGCTGTAAGTAATGTCTAGAATCATCTGCTTGAGGGACTCGGGGATTTGCAGAGGGGGAAATAGAATTTTATTTTTAAAAAAGAACTATTTAATTTAAAGAACAAATTCTCCCATGGACTAATTGACTCCCAGCTGGTCCTTTCTGGATCCAGGACTGTACAGCAGGTACCAGACCAATAATTATTGTCTTATAAGAGCTGCAAATTATTGTCACTTAAAAAAAAAATTTTACCAGTCGTTCTGCTCCTGTGCCCAGCCCCCAACACTTGTATGTAAAGCCATGTAGGACCTGGGTGACGATATTTGCATTTTGTCCTGCAGCCTACTTGGAGGAGATCCAGTCAGTCCGTCGCCATACCAACAGCATGTTAGAAGGCACCCAGAGCCAGCACCCCCCCATCGTGGTCCACTGCAGTGCTGGGGTGGGAAGGACTGGAGTGGTCATTCTGTCTGAGCTGATGATCTACTGCCTGGAGCATAACGAAGTGAGTCATTCTGGGATTCTTTCTGAATGCTCCACCTTGGGGACAAATCTGCACCATGGCCACACCCGGCCTGTGCCCTCTCAAGTTCAATGGTTAATTTCCTTTCTCTCTCCAACAGTTATCCAGACCCATTGTTCCAAGTTTGAGTCTGACATTTATAGTCCTTCTGGTTTGGGCCTCTCCCTGCTCTGTGTAGGTACCTAAAATAATATAGAAGAAATGAGAGTCTGAGTTAGGAAACTTCCAGAAAATCTGACCTTAGTTGGCAAAGTAGACAGTCTGGTTTTATTGTGGGTGATTTCCCAAGTGACTTATTTTGCCACACGTAGTTTTGTTGTGTCTTACATTTCTGGGAGGTGTCTTGTCTAATCCTATGTGCAGATTTATTTGCTCAGAAGATGTTTTTCATTCTTCAGAGGGATGTTTTTATTTAAAGAGGGTATTGCTCTTGTCTAGTTGGGCAGCTGTGTGGTAAGCAGAGCAGGAGATGCTCTGAGTACACTGGCATTATTGGTCTTGGCCTGGATTGCCCTGTGGCTATGTTTCCTGCAGAAGTGGGCTGCTGCTGGGCCTGTGGGCACGTGGCCTGTGGCATTCCCTTACCTGCTGTACAATCAGGGCGTTACACTGAGAGGCTGGAACAACAACCGAGGGCTGAAGGACAGTTCTGCCTTCTGTTAACATGAGGCTATCGGGTTGTGTTTTAATTATTCATTTATTTATTTATTTTTGTGGTGCTAGGATGGAACCCAGGACTTGGTGCATGCTTGGAAAGGCAAGCACTCTGCTACTGAGCTCTACCTCCAGCCCAGGCTGTTTTGTTGTTGTTGTTTTGATATTTTTATTTCTAGTTACATATGACAGTAAAATATATTTTGGCCATTTGAAGGGCTTTCACTTCCCACTCCCTCATCATCCTCACCTCTACTTTGTAGAGGTATTAATGCCTCGTGCCATTTGGTTCTGTTCTATTTCCAAACCATAAGGCTTGGAAGATGCAAGGAAACTCTGGTAGTGATTTGGAAGTTTTAAAATTGTAGAATGTTCTAATGGAGAAATTGATATGCTAATACACAGGCTTACTGACTAGCTTCAGTAGGTTGAGCATCAGATTAAATATTGCCCTATGAAATTTGTTGTGTTGAGACTAATAGGAAAATAGTACAAGTTTAAGTAAGTCCCTTGTTTAAACTTAACATGTACTTGCAAAGGATTTTAAAACTCCTGCCTATAAAAAAGGTAAAGTTTGGAGACTTTCAGTCTGCACAAAGGAATTTTATGCTACTAGAAGATAGAAGAGGAGCTATCCCAACTGTAGCCTAATATTTAAAACCATAAATCCAAACCCAAACAAAACAAAACATGAAACTTGCTGATAAACTCTTACTATGGAATAAGTTGAGATCACAAAGCAGAAATGTCATTGTCTCCTCTGGTTTTTTTTGTTTTTTTTTTAATCACTCTGTCTCACCTGGGGATTTCTCTGTACCCTGTCACTACTAGAAGTATCTGGAAGTCTCAGATACAATGAATAACTTGATACTAAGTCCCAGTCCTTCAGGAAAATGGAATGAGGTACAATGGAATCAGTGTGCACATGGTTTGAACGTGTCTATGCTCACGCTGGGTGGCCCTGGTGGCTCCAGTGCAAGGAGGAGACTGCCGCCACCACCTTCCACTTCCTCTCATATCACTGTTTTCACCAAATCATCCCTTTTTTCATTTCCTGCCACTCTTCTTCAGTGACCTCTTCCCCTTTTCAACTCGAGCGACTATTCTGCCCGTCTCGTCTGACATGAAAGATTGTTCGGAGCTCTTTGGAGACCCATCAAGCACTGTGGTTCCATGAAGCATGACATGAGGTCCATTGCTCACCTGATATTACAGGGACACAAACAGTACCCATCAAAGCCAGCCCCGTGGTACAGTGAGGGATGGGCTGGTAGAACTTCCTGTGGACTCCGGAGACTTGGAAAGGTTGTACTCCATGGTGTGTCCAAAGGCAGAGGGTTTCCTCAGTGCCCAACTGCATGCCAGAACATTCCTTGCTTGTATGTGGTCAATCCAAAAAGAACTTCTGTTTCCATTGATACTCAAAGATAGCAAGATGACTCATATTTTTCACTTCCTTTTCCCCAGCACAAATATAGCCAGCCTTATCGGTCCTGTTTCCCATAATTGCTATTGGTGGATGGTGAAGGGAAAAAAACTCTACTTTGTTCTGAAGCTGTTTCAGTCCTGTCTAGTCAGATTCAAGCCTACATTTCAAAATAAGAGTGGAATGTGTGTAGCTAGTTTGTGTTTTAAACAGAGGTTTTGACAAATGAATATGGAATCATGTGTCCCGTGTGTCTCTTGTCCAAAATTTTTTTGCCTTCTTTCCACAGCTGGATTTAGCTTACTTTATATTTTAGCTTGTAATTCATGTGGTTTTGTCAGCAAAATGGCATTTCTGTTTCTTGCACTTTTCCCTCTTAGTCTCATTTGTAAGTAGAAAAGTTGAGCATAAATACTGATGCTTACAGCAAGGTTGGTAGCTGTGAGTTGGGGACTGGAAGGGATAGCTCTCTTGGGCTGCTCTGTGAAGCTTCCCCATGACCCAGTGCTTTTGGTCACTGAGTGTTAATAACAACATCTTCCTGCTCACACATCTGCCAGGGAGCACCTGTTCTTCCTTTTTCAAGCTTCTCTCTTGATCCTCTAGATGTGGCCCAGGCAGCCACAAGTCATTACAAAAGGTGCCATTCTCACTAGCCAAGGAAAAGATGTCTTGATCTTGCTGCTGTTCCCAAATAAGTTCTCTCTCCTTCACTGAGTGAGGAGGAGAAAATGTCCTCGGGGTGAGATTGAGCAAAGATCCACTCCTCATAAGTGTACTCAGTACAAGTTTGTCTACCAAGTCCTCATCCAGTTTTTCCAAAACTCCAGACTCATTTAATCTCCAGATCTGGATCCTGGAGGAGGGATCCAGCTCCATCCTGCAGGTGGAATCACCTCCAGACAACATCTGCTCCCCCAGTTGGGGGCAGATGGCTGGCAGTAAGCCAGGGTACAGGGCAGTTAGCAGCAGAGCCTGTGGGAGTGAATCTTTAGGGTAGTTAAAATCCTCTCATTGAGGACCAGGGGAACCTTCTTTGCTTTGTTTCCAACTGCTCTGTATCAGAAAGAGAAAATAAATTGGTTTGGGGGCCAAGTTGTATAGATTCTAGAGATGAGGATGGTGGTAGTGCTGAAGGAAATGGTGAGAGGTGCTGGCAGTGTAGAGGAGAAAGGGGAGGTGATGATGGGGAAGACTTAGAAATGGGGTGCAGGAGGTGGAGGGGATGGTAGATGTGGAAGAGGTAGAGTGTGGGGAAGATGGCGGTGGGGTGGAAATGGTAGAGAAGGTGAAGGTGTGGTGGTAAGTGTAGGGGTAAAGGAGGTGGTGGTGGAGGTAGAGGAGGAGGAGGTGGATGGTGGTGGGAAAGAGGAGGTAGTGGTAGAGATGGTGGAGGAGGAGATAGTGGTGGGGAAGGTGGAAAATGAGGAGGTGTGGTGGTTGAAAAACGGGAGGTGGCTTGTTGGTGGTGGTGGAGGTCTGACCAGAGCTGGGTGATGGAGGAGGCAGGACAGGCAGAGGTAGTGATAATGACAGTGGAAATAGCAGCTGTCCTATATTTAGCGTTCACCATGCATTGTCACCATTCCATGAGCCTTGTGGCTTTAACTCAAAAGGCCTTCACAGTAACACTGAGATGGGTTCTCTTAGTGCTCTTATGTAACAGAAGAGAAACTGAGTCACAGGTACAATATGCCCAGGAAGTGCTAGAGCTGGGATTCCATAGAAGAAACCTCATCAGGTTGTCAGAGCTCTGTGCTCTGAGCTCCTGTGCACCCCACCTCCCCTGTCAAAGCCTTTGGTGGCCTTGTTCTCTGCCCCCAACTCTTCAATGCCCAACACAGAGCAGCAGCCATCAAACATTAATTCAGTCCATCATTAGTTGTCTCTTGATTGTTGTATATCATGACAAACCACTTTATTTCTTAAAAGTTTTATTTATTTTTTAGTTGTAAATGGGCACAGTACCTTTATTTATTATTTATTTTATGTGGTGCTGAGGTTCAAACCCAGTGCGTCACATGTATTAGACAAGGGCTGTAACACTGAGCCACCACTCCAGCCTGACAGAGATCACATTACAGTGTAATTTAGGCAAAGACCCATTTGTTGTTAGAGGCTTATAAACTCAGCTCTACATTTTGATTAATAGTTTGGGGATTCATATGCCTTTGTTGTCATTATTACCCAGGACTTGACTGTGTCTCTTTAAGTCTGTGGAGTACATTCTTTAGTTGGTTTTGATAAGAATGACTTCTAAGGATGGCCCCTGTTATCATAGATACCCAAAGTTTGGAAATAACTGAGATTATTTTTCAAGGTTTGGAGGTTACAAAGTATGGCAGGCAGATCAGTTTTTATTATGTAACATTGAGTGCTTTCTCCATCCTTGATAACTTCATGGGTACCATCTGTTTTGGGTTGACCTCTCCTAGATCAGAGTGAGTGGCTAGGCACAGTGGCCTCACAGCCCAGTGGCTATTCAGCTGTGCATGGCTGGCTGGTTGGGGAAGGTAGAAATAGTGAGGGTGAGGGGTCACTAGGACAGTCTCTGGTCTGTGTCAGCACCAATGACCCAAGGTATTAATTTCCTTCCATTCAAGAGAGCTGTGTTCTCAAAGGATTCCTACACAGGCAGTCTTACTTAATACTCAAGATATTTTTAGTGAAAGTCCTTTACTGCAAACTGGTATTCAGAGATGCTTTGATGTTTCAAAGGCTTATCATATACATTATCTTGCTTGATAATGACCACAGTCCTGAGAGACAGCAAGATGGATATAATCACATTAACAATACATTTATGAGTTGCATTCATTAAGAACTGTGCACTAAATTCTCTGCATGCATTTCATCATTTGATCCTGTAGGTGCATACTGAGGAATTGCACCTAACATGGGCAAGGCTGTTAAAGGAACACATTATGCTCCTTCCTTTACACAAGACCCAGAGATGCCTGAAATCCCGTCATTGGGTTTGGCAGATTTGACAGTAGCAATTGGGTTGACCCCCAGCCTCTAAGTTTTATCTAGCAGTCTAGGCTATATTTAAAATATCACACCAGTGACAACTGGTGATCAAGTTCTCTAATTACTGGTATAGACTTTGATTCCTAAAACCTAGTGGGGCCAGGGTCCTTTTCTTTGTCTGTACCTGGGTGTGGTCAGTGGGTGAATGCTTCCTGAATGAGCAGATGAAGAATCACCTGAAGAAAGTTTCCCATCTCAGGATTTGTGTCTTTTCTCTTTTCTTGCAGAAGGTGGAAGTCCCCATGATGCTGAGGCTCCTCAGGGAGCAAAGAATGTTCATGATCCAGACCATCACTCAGTACAAGTTTGTCTACCAAGTCCTCATCCAGTTTCTCCAAAACTCCAGACTCATTTAATCTCCAGATCCAGATCCTGGAGGAGGGATCCAGCTCCATCCTGCAGGTGGAATCACCTCCAGACAACATCTGCTCCCCCAGTTGGGGGCAGATGGCTGGCAATAGGCCAGGAGCCAAGATTACCCCGAAATGTCATGTATTATTTTATATGAGATAATTTATTTTTCCCCCTTTGGAATAACTTTTGTGAATTATTATAATGCAGTTTTCATATTAATATAGTACTTTTCATTTGAACCACATTTTGACTGATCTGCATTGTAATATGTCAGGAGGGAAGGTTGTATGGTAGGTCATTTTGGGGCAGAGGCATAAGGGAACACATCTCTAGTGAAGCTGAAGCCAGATTTGTAGCCCATCCTGAAATTCATCAGCTTAATTAGTTGCTCATGTCCAAATCAAAGATGGCAAGAAAATGAATTCATCCTGAAATATAAAGAAAACGGCCAAGACCCTTTACTGAAGAAAACACATTATTCTGTCATATTCTGGGGGCTCATGAGCCCTGGATAGACAAGTCACTTTCCTCTCTTTTCCCTTTCTGCCCTTATCCTCTATAATCTCTTTTCTTGCCCTCCTATGTCCCCAAAAGCTTAAGTTGAAGATGAGAACATCGAGAGAAAATTCTCCCTTTATGGGGCATAGTGACATCTTTCAGGCGAATGAGGAGCTCCTTGCGTCTTTCTCAACCACCCCTTATTCTGGGCTCTGGAGCCTATCTTCCTGCTGGGACTGTACCCTCTATATCTGCTGCTTCTCTCTGTTTTCTCAGACCCCAAGCTGCTGATGTTGAGGCCCTGGGCCAGGCCATCTGTGCAACTCGGCCTCTTGCCTGATTGAGAGAGGATAATGGCCCAGGGTGGGTAAAGAACAGAGTTAGGCAGGGTCTTGATATTGTTTCTTATTTAAATATCAAGTATGTGCTGGACAAGATCCTGCAGGTTGAGGTGCTGGGTGCACTCCGTTTTCTCTCAATCACAGTCATGGAAAAGGTTATAAAGAAAACCATTGACGAAACTAATTTCTAGGAGCTGTTTGGCACTTAGTTAGCAGGGGCCCTGGCCAGGAGTCACCCACAATGTGACCCTCACTGTGCTGGTATCATCTCCAGGCTTTGGCCTACAAGAGTGTAGTTAATCTCTCTCAGGACCCTGTATTCCAAATCTTGCCACCCTGATGAGATGGTAGAATTGGTCTTTCAGAGTCTCCCATTTCTCCCTTTACTCCATGTAACCCACTCTCTGGTCAGTTATAGTGTGAACCACCACCAGTTTAAAGCTTGGTTCTTAGTTTCTTCCTATGACTTCATTCATCAGAGTCCTTCTGAATTTCTTAGGTTAATTATACAATAAATCATGTATCACACATTTTCCATCTTCCTGAATTCTGGGGAATTTCCTTTTCTATATCTAGTTTTTTCTTGGACACACTTTTTGATTGGGGTTTTTGTTCTTAGAACAAGGTGGGTGTTCTACCTGCCTTACTCCATTGCTGTTTTTTTTTTTTTTCCTGAGTGAAAAGAGAAAAAGAATGGCATCACACTGACCAAAGAGAGCTTGCTCTTGTGACTCCCATCCCACATACTAATAGCTGCCTATGAAACCAGATTCCCCATTAACTCATTTGGAAGAGGTACCAACCAGTTCCTTCCACTGTGGGCCAGTGTGTTATTGGATGTGGTTCGGCATATTTACACTCAGAATATCTGGAGAACTTCCTCTCATTTCTTCTATACAAAAGGTGTGTGATGCAGTTATAGAGTCTTTACTTGAACTGAGCTTTGTAGATGTGGAGTTTGGGTATATGTTCTGAAAAGAAAACCATTAGTACCACATGTGTTTTAAATGGAACAGAGAAGCTCATCAGCAGGCAGAAAAGTATTGACATCCTTTCCTCAAGAGAGTTTTCATCCTTGGGATATTCTAAGAACTGTCTCAGTTACTAGTTTATTGTACAATGATACCTTCAGTATTTATCTTTTAACTCTAAGCCCTAATGTGAATACTGTTAAAATGTCTCCTGCGGGCAGCATGTAAAGTTGATGTCTCTTTGAGCTCATCACTTTTGGGCTTCATTGAAACCCAATGAAAAGGGTTATGCTATCAGAATATTCATTAATGCACAAGATGGCAGAGAGGAAGTAGGTCTTATATCCAACTTCCTAGCCAAAGTTTATATTGAAACCCAGAGGAAAACATTTAAAAGTTATTCCACATATTTCATTTTTAAAAGCGAATGCTTCTGGTTCTTTAGCACATTTTGCATTCCTCTTTACATCTCCAGTGAATGCCAGTGTATCTCCTGTTAAATTATCAGCAGCCATTCAAAGTGTTTTTAGTAGCATCTGCATAATAATTGCCCAGAGATGCTTTATATCTGGGAAGCAAGCCAAGGAATAAACCTTGAAGCAAAGTGTATTAAATTAGTTATCTAGTTAGAGCTTTTGGAATGACTTCCTGATGATGTATCAAGTCTGAAGCTAGAGCTGTCAGGGTCTATTGCTGCAGTTTGGATTTGAAGGGAGAAAATTAAAAATGGTGGTAATAAAAGGTATCCTCTCACACCAAGGCTATGTAATATTTTCCAACCTCTAGTTTTGAAGTTTTCCAGTTGAGATATTTTGCTTCTTTCATTTGCATTCATTTAGAGATGTTGACCTAAAGTGATCATCCTTGTTCAGCATGGTCCTGGATCCTGGGGCTGAATTTGATGTCTTCATCCTTGAGATGAAGATAAGCTTGCTGGCAATGCTGTGAAGTGTCCTGCTGGGCTATATTTTGTGGGGTTCTTGGGAGACACACACAGATTTTTCCCTGGATACAAAGTACACAAGAGGATCTAGCTGCATTAGAGAGGTTTGTCAGACATTTATTTATATGAGAGTAAAGACAAACCAGCTTCTATGCTCATTTGGAGATGAGCCACGAGATCAGGAAGGTAAAAACGTCTCCACAGGGAATTGATGAGGAATAAACTTTCAAGGAGCTTAAACTGAGACAGTTTTACTTTTCCAACCTTTGTGGTTCTGATTAAGAAGACAAACTACTTTTTGATTATAACGACAGTCATTATTTACCTGAGTCAGTTTCCATTAGCCTGGATAGAGGGTCTTTGGAGACTCTGCTAAAGACAGGCTGTGGGACCCAACCACTGGCTCATACTCAGCCTTTATCCTGCCTTCTTTTGGCTTCTGCTTTGCAGTTCCAAATTCTGCGAGGCATAGTAAGTCAGCATTTTTATCCAGTTAACTGCTTTTTGTTTTCCTTTTCTAGTTTAATATAGGTTGACCCATATGTAATTTCCACTAATTAAGCCTATTTTCTATGAACATAAAAACTTCATTTGGGTCAACCTACTATGTACAGTTTGTTTCTTCCCCGATACAGTGGATCCCAATGCCTTATGTCTTTTCTCTAAGGAAGCGCTAATGAACACAAAAGTGTGCATGGTGGACAGCCTGGCTTGTGAGCACATGGCCTTGCTGCTGTGATCCTCCCCTACAAGGTGAACAGGCTGTCTCCCAGGGCTCAGAAGTCGCTTCTGGCAGAGGTGATAGTGCATGGTTGATTCTGACAGGCTGGGTTGGCCATCAAGTCCATTTTTATGGAATTTTCAACTATTGTCCTTTCTTGATATATTGACTACTTTGATCTGTATTAGCTGACTTCAGTCCATTCATTAGAAAACATGACATGGGTCCCAAAGCTGTCCATAGTCAAAAAACAGAATGTACCATCTAATCTCACTCTTACTTCCAACGCTGTGTTTGATGGGTGAAGAAGCATAATTATTGATTTTTATTTGGTAAAGATATGCCAATCCCTGGAGGCAGGGTGGGGGAAGAGTATAGGGATATTCTAGACAGAATGTATGCCAGAGAACATAAATTCAGGGGATATGATTGGTCCAGACCCATGTTGGTGTTAATCCATCCACCATTCCTCCTCAGTTTGAGGAATAGCTAGCTCTATTGGGCTCCTCAGGGAAGGAAATTTTCAGAAACACCAAGTAATCTTGGGCTCTTAACGTAAGAAGTTGTTTTGTGGGGAATTCAGCTTTCCCATTTTACCCAAGATTCTTCTTCTGCCATGTTTTAATTTTCACCATTGGTTTTTATTAGACACACCTCATGCTCTTATTTGGCACTTTCTTTTTATGAGCAGAGCAACTATTCATCCATCTTACCAAAGGAGAATGTGGGCCTTCCATGGGAACTGCTTATTTCCCAAAAGACTTGGTGGGTGACCAACTTAGTTAACTCTAAAGGATGGAAATAATCCCAATTGGCCCTACAGGGTAGAAATAACATTCTAAGGTATTAAATTGCTTTTGACACTTCCCTTGATGTCCAAAGTGGGCAGAATGATTCTTGTTTTTACCTCCAAGTCATTCGGGGGCAAAATACCTTGCTGCTACATCTTTAAAGTAACAGCAACGTGCCTGGGAGAAATGTGAGAGTGAATTAACCAAATTCTGCGAAACCAGGTTGTCCAGAAGCCATTTATTCAAAGGGCCCTGTGAAGTTCAACCATTAGCTTGCCCAACCTTTATCCAGCTTTTGCATTTCCAGTAGAAACTCAGGTAGGTAAGCATTTTTGTCCAACAGACTACCTTTCTTATCTTTTTCAGCTTAATATAGCTGTATCTTCTTTTTCAAGATGAAACTAAAAAGTTCCCTGTTAACACATGCCTGACCCTAGCATTCAGTATCTGGCATCAATCAATTTCACAGCCTGCATAATTTGTTGTTTGATGCAGTCAAAGGAAGGCAGTGTATTCATTCCTACTGTTCAAAGTTTTGTCCAGCTTTCCCATTTTAACAAATAATTTCAGGGACATTGAGTTCTAAAGCAGGAGGGCTGGAGCTCAAAGACAACCTCAATATGTGTAGAAAGTCGCTGTTCCTTCTGCCATGCTCTGGGCCACCAGGATCATTCTTAGTGCCCTAAGCTTGCCCAAAGATAAGACATACTTGGAGAGAAGAGTTAGAATGGTTTTAGATTAGCCCTGATGTTCCTCTGAAAATGTTAATTCACAATTTTTTGTACCCTGGAATGTCTCTCCTATTCCCTACCCTGCTTTGTGCAATGTCACAAGTGTTGGAAACTATGAAGTGGCACCCAGGGAAAAGATTGCTGTAGCACTGGGATCTGTTTTACCCTGGCTTCTAGTGTCCAACTGCATCCTCGTAGCTGAGGGGCAGCTGGGTGAGTATCATGAACCATGATGCCGTGTATGCTGTGTGCCTGGGTTAGCTGCTCAAGAGCACATCTTTCATCTTGCACCGGTAGCCCTTCCTTTCCTCGCAGCCTTATGCTGAGGGCTCTGCTCAGCGACGTAGCTCTCAGGGTTAGTGAGCAGACCTCCCAAACATCCAGGTTTCCTCTCGCCAGTGATCTCAGGTGCTGCAGAAAGTTTTTCCTTTAGAGGTCATGTATCTAACCAGAGCACAAAAATGTAGAATATAAACACAGCGATTGCATTCGTTTCCCATCTCTCAGGCAGCATGTGTTACATCACATCTTTATTCCTAGGGCGTTTCATTCACTCAAGGCTCTGCTGGCTCTTCATGCTTTTCCATTTGCTTCCTGGTTCATCTCTTAAGCACACTTTTTTTTCTTTCTGTACCCTATTTGTGCAACCCCTACAGAAGTTAGTCTGGTCATAGAGAATCATTGTCTTGAACCTCTACAAAATATGTAACTAGGGAATCTTTTAATCTTTCTTTAAAAAAAAAAAAAAACTTACTGTTTCCAGGAATTGGATCTGACAAGTGAAAATAACCAGAAGTAGCTTAGAAAACTGTCTAGCCTTGGGGAAGATGTCCTTATTTACCCTTTTGTTCCCTCAGTGATCACAGCTATCATTATTAGAACGAATGAAAGCAAAAGTAGGTAACACTCTTAAGACAATGATTGCCATGGTATTTAATATTTATTTTGAGGTGAGCTTAGGTAGCTTCACATTGGTGCGGTGACATCTGTGGTCTAATTGGTTTCTAGCTTCTTGCCGCCAGACCATGTTCCCTTCATCATGGCCTCTACACACACTGACCAATCTGGGGAGGCAGACTTGTGTCTCTGGGCTGCCAAGGAACATCAAAAGGTAGATTGTGATCAATAATTCAGTTATCTAGGAGGGCAGAATAAGCGGTTCATCCAGTCTGTGTGGAAGTTCTTTTCTTCCATAACCTCTTCCTTCAGGGAAACAGAAATGCCATCTCATCTGACAAAAGGTTTAGAGGAAAAAAGCTGAGATTGGGATCTTTCTGTGCCTTGGAGTGAAACCTTTTGCTAAAATCTCAGGAATGCTGCTTTGAGGTTAGCCAGGTGACTCTCAGGGCAGGGGCGCCTGGCATTCTCGGCATTTCTCAGGGCCTCCCACCTCCTCCCTCAACTGCAGTGTTAGCTAGTAAATACTTTCAGCAGAGAACCAAAACTGTCATTCAGAGCTATTCCCTCCACCCCCAACTTGAACACTGTAAAATTTCACTGCAGTTTCTCCTGAACTGTCTTGCCATTGTTTGGAATCCTACAATTCTTTAACATTTTCCTTCAGACATATAAGGTACACTCTCCATTAGAGACGATTCTGTGTGTGTCCCTTGTGCCTTCAGAAGTCAACTAACCTGGTTGAGGACGGGAGGGAAAACAGATTTACATATGCAGATGACTATTAAATGTATAACCTTATGTAACTAGTGTTACATCAAATAACAGCCTAATCTATTTTGTTTCACTGGACTGTTGTACTCTGTGATCTCAGTATTGTGATGCTCTCCTTGGTCTGTTTTGTAAAATGTTGTGAATTTTGCTATCCTTCAAAATAATTGATGTCTAATAGGTTTTGTTTTGAAATGATATTCAGGCAAGTCCCCAACTTAGAAACCAGTTTGTTCTTATTAAAGTTCTTAGGTCAGCCCACAGAAGCCCACTGACTTCCAACAAAGCTGAAACACAGGCCTGTGTCAGAACTGGTTGAGTTTCATGGGCCGACCTGCAAATGGAACCACGGAACTATTATGTTGTTGTGGTGAGAAATGCATTCCAGGTTGGGACTTGGGATCCTGGGGACACATTCTTCTCCCCATGGAGGCCACTTGGTACTTGGCAAAATGAAAGCCGAGTCTCTTTACTACCAAACTACAGTTGTTATGGCGGGGAGACGGACTGAGTTTATAGGACATTCCCTAAGTTGGGGAGTGACTTTATCTGTAGTCATGTCAACTGTACTTTGGTGTAGACTCCCTGTCAGTTTAATAATATTAAAAGCCTTAAATGAAACTATGCATGCTATTCTATGTGCTATTTTATATCAGTAAATAAGCTTATGCTTGCCAGTTTCATACACAATTGGGGTGTATAAAACTGACTTTGACAGTATTTTTTGCACTGTTTTCTATCTGTTTTTATAAAGTCTTATTTCGATATTGGTCCTAGATGATGTTTTCACTGTCCTTGTCATTGCTGTAAAATGTTTCATATGTGCCTTTACAAATGTGAGATCTTTATTCTAACCTTTTTTTTTTGTAAAAGATATCTATTGATCTCCATATGCAATAAACCTTTTTTTTTTTTCCCAGAGAAAACAGTCTTTCTCTTTAGCACTGTTGGCATTAGTTGAGGGCATATACCTATCCCTTTCCTCTAAGATTCTTTTCAAAGCAAAGGTGTCTAGGAAAAATCTGCCTTTATAAAGCCAATTTATTGCTACCTACCTTTTATCCTATATAATCTGATCATAATGAAGATTTGTGTATGAAATTTTCAAAGTTGTCTTGGTTAGAAGAAATCAGAGTGGTGATCACTAGCCAAATGGAGTGAACAATGTATGGAAATGGCCTTTCTCACAAATGCAGTGATAACCTTCATTAAACCCCAAGCCCCTCGGCCTCCACTGTCATTTTCTCGGACACCAAATTGTTGATGTGGAAAAGGCAGGCACCAGGCTGCTATTGAAAATCCAAATTCTTGTATTTTGTCTTTCGACTTTTTAACAGCTCACTTCATCTCTGGATTGAAAGGTTGTCACCCTGTGTCCCAGATTTCCACCCAATTGGCTGCCATGACACAAACCCAGTGACCCCTTCATAATGAGGTGGGCTCGTGCTTCATGATAAATAACAGGGCAATCCAACTCCATGGCGTCAGATCTCATGTGCTCAGCCTCTTCGTTTGCCTGTTCCATTTTGCAGCCTTTATAATAAACTGCTAATAGTAAGTAAAAGTATTTCCTGGAGTTTGGGGAGCCATTGTAGCAAATTGTTGAACACAATGGGCAATGGTGTATGGGTCCCCTGACTCTGTAACCAGGTCAGACAGAAATGGGACAGTGATCATGGTGACTGGTATCAGAATTAGGTACAGACCTGTGGGACTGAGACCCTAAACACATGCAGTCTGCCACTAACTCTGGGTAGCCTTAGCACTGAAATGAAAAACATGCACATGTTTCGTAAAAACATCTCAGCCGTGAATTGAATATCAATTCACAGAAGAAACACAATAATCTCTAAATATATGTGGACGTGCCCATCCTCACTAATAAGTGCACAAAAAACAAGATATTTCACACTTTCGATTGGGCCAAAAAAATGATGGTATAGTGTTATGAGGGAGAGGAAAACCAATGCGATTATATTCTATTTCATACCTGGTGAAGTTTTTTAAGGAAATGTAGCCATATATAAATTTTTAAAAAGATTGTTATTTGATCCTGAAATTATATTTCCTAGAATCTATTCCCCGCCCCCCTACACTACTCAGTGTGGCATTTTGTAATAGCATCAAGCTGGGCAAAACCACCTGCCATAAATAGAATTATGAATAAATTATGATTCTGCATTCAATGCAATGTTCTGCCTCTAACAAGAAAGAGCCACATCTGTAAGTGCTGAAATTAAAAGAGGCCCATGTTAAGTCAGAGAAGCAGATTACAAAATCATATCACATTCTGCCTTTTTCTAAATCTCTTTATTTAGATGCTTTATACAAGCATGGGAAAAAGGGAGACCAGATAAAGTTTACAGAGGTCTTACCTTCAGGACAGAGCTGCTGAGAAAGAAAGAATGGTCCACATTTTTCATTCATGTTTGTATTACTTGTTGAGAAATTTCATAAATTTTATGAAACTTTGACAAAGATGGTGAACTTATTTTAGGTTTATCTACAGATATTCTGCCATGAGCTACTTCCATGACTGCAAACTAGCATCCATAAAACACTAAACTCCCCTGAACTACAACTTGCACTGAAGAGATACTGAGTATTTTGCATAAGTAGATGTTCAATAAATATCTTACTGGACTACATAGAAGAGGATAAATCCCACTGCTACATCCCACTATGTGCAACAAACTGAAAGGTCTGTATGGACAAAGAAGGGAAGAAACCATAGCAGATCTACCACCATTTGAGCTGTATTCAGATCATGATTATGAAAGATAAGCAAAGTCTGGTGGTGCTGACACTTGATTATTTTTTAACCGAAGCGGAAGTGCTTCTCTTTGGGCTATAAAACACTTTTTTCCCCCCTAATATCAGGGAGTGAAAAGGGTGCTTAACCATTGAGCCATATCCTCATCCCTTTTTTTTTTTATTGTTGGTTGTTCAAAACATTACATAGTTCTTGATATATCATATTTCACACTTTGATTCAAGTGGGTTATGAACTCCCCTTTTTTACCTATACAGCTTGCAGAATCACATCAGTTACACTTCCATTGATTTACACTTTTCTTGAGAAACATCCCTGTACTTAGGAGTGCTTGCTGTGTCCTTTAGTGCCTTGGTTGCTAACAAACAATTCCCTAGCTTTCTGCTGTCTAGGCTTTAAGCTGCAAAAAGTTGGATTCCTGCTGGCTGTGTGGGTAGAGATCAGTGTTTGCTCACAACACAGAGTTGGTAAGGAAAAAAATTTTTTTTTCCATCTCAAGCTTACTCTGGAGGCTTTCCAAAAAAGGAGAGTACTGCACAGAACAGTTAATGGAATGAGAGATGGAAACTGCTTTCAGACAGTGAGGGGGAAAAGAAAAAAAGGCCAAGAAAGTAATGCATGCTCTAAGCACGTAAGATACCAGAGAGACGATTCAAACTGCAGAATAAAGGGGCTGCCTGACCCCACCTCTGGGGAGGAGACCTAGGTGCACTGAAAGATGGAGAATAAGTATCACTTCCACTGTAGACCAAGCTCCCACCCTTGGAAATCCTCCCCATAGACAGAGGCAAACACAAACCTCGAGTACTCTATCTTTATTCTCTTACATGAGTCAAATTTGTTCAGGATGTTACAATAGGCATGAAGGGAAAAATAAATGCATTTTTAAAAACTCGGTGTGTCCACAGTATATATTATATGAAACCATGCCATTACCTCTTAGAAAAAAGAAAGCATTCAAAATTAATATTATGGTGAACTATCAAGAACACCCTCAAAGTATGGCATGTGCAAGGTTGAAGTGCAAGAAGTGTTCTCATTCCAATTAGTTGATAGAAATGCTGGAGTGGTGCATAAGATCTGAAATACTCAAATCCTTTAAGGTTTCTAAATGAAAACTGAAATGATGCAATTTCAGTGGCTTTCAATTTCTTGTTTTATCTCAGAAATATATGGATGATCTTTGCCATGAGCTACTTCCATGATTGCAATGGCCTAGGAAAGAGCGAGACAAAGAGTAGATGAGAGCTTCAAAGCCAGTTCCTCATACCTCCGCCCAGGGGAACTGGAATTCGAGGAGGACTTCTCTGCTTTAAGGGATGGAAGGCAAACTGGCTTCCAGAGCTTTTGTTCTCCTCCACAGTCTAGTTTCTTACAAAAAAAATGAGACAAGATTATCTGGTAATCGAACAGTTATCCTTTGGACTGAGTAAGACATTCTGCAAAAAATATGAAGGGTAGTAGCTGGAGAAATGATGTACAGAAACTATTTTCATGAAATTCTTTTGCTCCAATATTCTAGGTATTTCTATAACTGTCAACACTTTCCAATTATGACCTAACTGGATAATTTTCCTTCAGCCTCATTAAGTCAATAAACAAGATGACAAAATCCATAGTCTAAAGAAAATTTTTCGTTTGATTCATAGTTCCGTCCTGGCTGTACCCTGACCCTTCAATTTGTGATGTGAGGCCTTAGCCCATTTCCCTGAATAGTCCATTGGGAATGTGGAGAATTAGGCCTCCAGGCCTAGTTTGTGACCACAACAATTATAAACAGTCTCTTACAGGAAGGAGCAAACGGACTGTTTCTCAGATTACACTGTGCTGTTAACTTCCACATAAAGAACGAGGAGAATCAATACCCAGGAGTATGTTTCTGAGCTACTGTAAGGGGAGGCACAGAAGAGCCATCACACTAAGAGGAACTGCCTCCCAAGTCCAGTCTCCCACCACCCCTGGTCCTGGCATGACTGGGAGGGACTAAAACTCTCAACTCAGAAAGACCCCTATTTGATGGAAGGCCCCTCCACGTACCCAGGCTCCTTACAGCCACTTGAGCCTTACTTCCTTCATCAGGAAAGCCTATCTCATTTTTGTGAGAATTAAAAGAGAAATAACACATAAGGGTCCTAGTGTTTATCTGGTACTGGAAGAATGATGATGGAGTGAATTTTAGAAACTGCAAATGCATCATCAGGCATCTTATTTTGAATCCTAAAGGGACAAATGGAGAATTCCTTGCCACTGTCTCTTGGCCCAACTGGTGGCCTTTCTACTTCCATGGCTTCCCAAGGGGTGGGTAGTATCCCTCCTCCTCAGCCATGTCCTCAGGCTGGGCCTGTGATCTCAGCCAGCCTCTCCTGCTGTGCACCTACCCCCACCTGCTGAACACACCCCTGAGCCTATGGCTGAAGGGTGGTCAGGAGCTGCTTCTCCATTAAGGAGGTCTCCCAACCACTGGACCCCTGACCTTGAGTCCCACACATACCTTCTTCAGGGCTTTCTCTCCGGCAGCTTTGTTTTCCAGGCCCATGTACAGTCTTCCCAGCTTCAACCACATGGAGGCCACGTTGAGGGAGTACAAGGGATAGTGCTTACTGGAAGAAAGGGAGAGACAACAGGCCGCCTCGTCAGCGCTGCACAGAGGACCATGGACTGGGTACAGGAAGCCTGTGGCCCCTGAGCCTGAGACCCAGTACTCCATGGTGGAGGGTTGCTCCATATCCTGCTGGGCTATGGGCAGGGCTTGGATGGGTTGATACCACCGCCTCATCACAGATGCTAGCTACTTTTTGCAGTTTTTGCATTTTGAAAAAGCTACATCAAAATCACTAGAGAAACCCTACACAAAAATATTTGTGAATCCAACATTCAGTCTTGGTCCAGATTTTCCTACTCCTGGTATACCCAAAGCAAGGCTCTGGGAAAACATTTTCTAAATTAAATGCCCCATTTATGATAAGGGCAGCAATCGGTTCTATCCTCTCCCATTAGAAACATAAAAGACACTGTGTGTACAAGTGTACTAAGACCCCATCTTTCTGCTACACTCTGTAAATTGATTTAGCAAAAATATAAGCCCTCTGGAGTAAGCAAAGACCTCCCATTTCTTCTAGGCATTCCTTCACTATTGTCTAGCACAGGGTTTTGTATCCAGAAGGTACTCTCTGGTTTGAGAAGAGGGCTGACTGTTGGAGTCTGCGTAGGAAAGAGCCATTGCCCTGGGAACAGGGTGTAGGAGGCAGTTTGCAGGTGACAGTGTGTAAGAGGTGCTTATTTACACATAGTCTATTCCACCCAGTCTACCCTGAAACTATGTCCAGCTGAATGCCCTGGTAGGAGGCAGCTTGCCTCCTGGAGGCAGTCCTGGAACCAGCAGCCCTCAGGGCAGAGCTGGGCCTCCAGGAGAGGCTAAGCTAAGAAAAGGTCCAGCACAGCAAGGCCCTGCTGGAAGAACAATCACAAAGCTGAGAACAATCGCAAGTCTGCTGTTGCTTTCTCAAAAGAGGTGTGCATGAGGGGAAAGGACTTCTTACCCACACCAGGAGGAAGGGAAGGCTGAGATTATTTCTAATCCAACAAATTGTTTCTAAGACTTTAAGGACTGGCTTCCCCTTGCGCTCCCCCTGCTGGCTACTCTCGGCACAGTGGGGTAAGTAGATGGCAGAATCAGTACAAATTCAGACCAGACACAAGCTTTACAGTCCCCAGTCTTACAGCTTGAGCGGGTACTGAGGGCTTCTCAAACTCATGAAAAACACCTGGGGTGCTTTGGGGACACAGGGATTTTCTGGTTTAATGCCCAGAGATTTTGATCTTTGTGATCTTAGGCAGATCTTATAAATGGCATAATGTCTAGGTCTTTGGGGAGCCCTCCAGCGATCAGATCCAGCCCATCCCAGTCAGAGACAGATGACAATGCCACTACTTCCATCTGTCATCTACTTTGAAGTTTAATAACCCCCTAGGGACAGGACATTTCCCTATGGCTTAAGTATTACTATTACAAAACAAAACCCAACTTGCTTTCTTCAAACCTGTGAGGGAAACATTAAATGACCACAGACAACGTGCTAGTCCAGTTTTCCCATATGCAAAGTGAGACTGCAACTTGAAAAGGCAAAAGAGAAGTTGTGAGAAGTGATGAAAAAGCAGAGTTTGAAGACCAACAATTCCTGTTCATAAGGGCCATCTACTTTGGAAGGGGATCAGAGGCAAACTGGTGCTTTTTAATACTTTTTAATACTACTTTCAACTATCTATTATGAACACAGGTCCTGAATGGGCCTGAAGAGGGATTTTACTCTCTCCCCTGCCTAACTTTAATCTGGCTCCTTAGGAGCAGGGAGCGGGCCAGGGTCAGTGAAGCAGCTGCACCTGCATATGCACCTCTAGGTGTGGTTACAGAGAAGCAGCAGCCATTCTAGGTGTATTATAACACAGGTCAGGAAGATGAAACAGCTACCCTGTGCCCTTGAAACAACCCAATCCCACTCCATGCTAGGATAATTGAAATAGCCACTGCAATTACCTGTAGGGCTTAATGATCTTCTGACCGTATCTCAGGGCTCCTTCCCAGTCCTGCATGTACAAGCAGACCCCCATGGCCTGGTACATCATGTGCAACATATATACATTACTATCCTCAAAAACTGAGCTCATCTTCTCCTGGCTGAGCTCGCAGATCTCCAGCAGCTCACTAGGGGGTGCTGTGGTGTCAAGGAAATGACTGGGAAGTTGGGGTAAACAGCAGGAGCGGGTGAGCAGGGGATGCTGCCCTGTCCTTCCCCAGGCAGTATTCAAGGAGTTATTTTAGTACACTCCATGCTTTCCTTCACCACCTGAAAAAAATAAGTTACAGGGCTGGGGCATAGCTCAGTGGCCAAGGGCTTATTTAGCGTGTGCAAGGCCTGAGTTCAATAAATTACAGAAAGCCAAACAAAAGAGAAAAGAATTACATTTTTCTCTAAAAAATAAACTAGGAAAGAAATTTCAGCCACAGTGTACCGACCCTCAGCTCTGATATAAACAATGTTGATTAGAATCAGTTCTCAGTCTTTTCATTAAATTCAAATTCTCAACCAAACTGAAACCCTGAGCACTTTAGTTGCAGCCTTTTTAATGAAGTTGTACCCACCATGACAAGGTGTGGGGTTTTTTCTGGTGCTGGGTACTGAACCCCAAACTGCTCATGTAGTAAACCTACACACCACCACCTAGCTACACCCTCTACCTCCAAGATTCTTATGCTGAGAAACAACACAGCTTTCCACAATTTCCTCTCACCAGTTTTAAGGTCTGCCCTCTGGGGGTACAAATCCAATCACTTTTCAAATCCCCCCAAAATGCTACAATGCAGTGGTTGAGAACACGGATTCTGGTAATCAGTAAGGCTTTGGGAACTTAGGTGTGTCACTATCAGCCGTGTTCCCTGGGCAAGTTGCTACTTGGCACCTACAAGACTGCCACCTCATCTGCTATGTGGCAACAGCCCTACTCGGTGCCCCTGGGAGGAGTTTAAGTAATCAAAGACTCTTGACACTGCTCTACCCAAGGCACAATACCCAGCAAAACAGGCCCTGCCAGGGATGGCTCCCCAGTCTTCTGCAATAGCAGCTCCTGACGAAAGGAGTCAAGTATGGAGAAATAAGAAGAGCACAGTGACGTGTGACAAAGTTGACACCATGTCATGGATGGTCAATACATCATTACACATCACCAAAAGGCAGGCCTCCTTCAATATCCAGAATCTCAAATATACCCCCTCCTGCTCCCTCTTGCCAACTTCCTGCCACTTCTCATCAGCGAGGGACAGTAAACTGCCCACACAGTTGTAAAGGATATATTTGTAGTGCTTGGCCCTCCGGAATTCCTCAATGACGTTGCGCGCGTATCTGACCATGTCACGGATGGCTTCTGCTTTTGGGGGGTCGCTGAGCTTGCGGATTTCCACCTTGGCTGTATCCTGAGGGAAACGTCCACAAGTGCGAGGCTTTACCTCCCATGGAAACCATACCGATAAGGAAACCTCTCAATACATATTCCTGCGCAGAGGCAGGACTTGCCCATTCTAAAGTTACAGCAGAAAAGGAGGAAACTGGACAATATCTAAGAGGCGGATTACCTTCTCAAGCACACACCCATGTGTATGTGTGTGTATGCGCGCGCATGTATTATTGGAGACTAAACCCAGAGATGCTCTACCACTGAGCTACATCCCAGCAGGCTTTATTTTGAGACAGGGTTTCAGTAAATTGTACAGGCTATCCTCAAACTTGTGATCCTCCTGCCTGAGCTTCTAAAGTAGCTGAGATTATAGGCATTATAGGATCTTGCCTGGCACTCAATTACCTTTTTATAAAAACAAAAATTTTGATTTTCTAGATGATTTTCCCTAGGTAGGAAACAAAGAATGTATCTGCTATGAGCAGATGTGTGTTCACCTAACAATGCATCAAGAGACGAGAGTAAGGAGGGGTGGCACTGACAAAACCAAAGCTGGGCAGAGCAGGAGTAAATCCCTTGAACTCCATGAGGAGGTGGAAGAGCTTGGACCCAAGTCTCACCTGCTCTCTTCCCTCCCCCCTCTTTTGAACAGTCCTTTTCAAGACACAGGCATCTGGCAGATCCTTCTCTTATTTGTACTGTGAATGGAAATGTGTTCATCAGCTTTGGGGAACAGGTCTCAACAGAGACCTGGTCTGACTGGATTCCCTCTGGCTGTCTGGTAAGGTGGGTCAAAAGGGTCAAAAACACCACAGGAGGAAATCTACCCAGAAGACAGGGGAGCTCATCCATAGCAGAGGTCCCAAGCCAGAGCACAAGTCCCAGCCCTTGGCCAATCAGTGACATACCTTGTCTTTCGTGGTGCACTCCTGGCACTCACAGGTAAAAAAGTAAGAATCTCTCAGCCGATCATTTCTGTCTTCTGTTGGGTACAGGAGGTCGATATAGCTGGTAAATACCTAAGGGGCCAAGAAGGTCAAGCTTCAATCTGCCACAGAGAAAGTCAACCATACCACTCTCATAGCTCTGTGGACACCTGAGGTAGTACTGCAGGGACAGAGAATAAGGAGGGCCACCACTGAGGAACGTGCTGTTTACCTTAAGGCACTGATTTCTGAAGCTCTAGCCACCTAACATGTCCAGCTCCTCACGGTGTAGAGTATCTACAGAATCCGAGCTCCTAAACCACAACTTGGAGGGCTGAAAGGTTCCCTGCCTCCTTCTTCTTCACCAAAGAGAGCAGGCTGTGGGTGTGTCCTTAGTCTCTTGGACAGAAGCCATGGCCCCACTGGGCTAAGAGTCGACTCATCCCTGGGTTTGGGCCTGTGTGGTCTCTGCCTGGCCTTTGTTTGGCCTCTTTTATTTCACGACCTGGCATGGCTTGGGTGATGCTGCTGGTACTTCTGGGTGCACACAGGGGAGAGAGTGGGAACACACACATCCTGCTAAGTTCACCTCTTCTCCTGACATCAGAAGACTACAGAGCAAGAGGCACAGCTCTAGAGCCTGACACCTGTGGCTCTGGTGGCCTCAGAAGTCAGGGCAGGGAAAACAAGCTTTCAGGACACCACCTGCTGTGGCCTCAGCCAGCAGGCAGTTCCTGATCCTGAAGTGGACAGTCTTACCTCTGGGCTCACAGGGTTGTTCTGTCCTTGCTTTTTTGTAACAGGGTCCATAACTAAGACTTGGAGCATATGGAGAGGGCCAGCACTGAGATGTCCATTATCTACTCTCTGGGACGGCACTGGCTGCTCATCCCACACAATCAGGCAAATGTCTGCCTGAACAGATGGATTTCTCAAAGCCGCCAGTGTGCCAGTGACCTCAGGCACTGCCAGGCAAGCAGCGGGGGAGCAGCACAGGGCTAGGTGCAGCAGGGGCAGCCAAGCTCTCCAGCCAAATAACAGGACTGGACACACGGCTCATTCTGATAGTGAGTAATGGATTCCTTCCTCTCTGAAGGGCAAGAAACCCCCAAAGTAGTGAATTCCCCAGATGAAGTTACTGCATTTAAGATCTGTGAGACCTTGCAGGTGACAGAAACCGTGGCCGGCCCTGTCTTGCCACACACGGCAACAGTTGGCCTGGTTTTCTTAGAAATGACTGATGGACACAGTGCAACCAACAGAAGGTTCCAGAAGATGGCGACAAAGGCCACTCCAGTGTCACTGTTCATGGCTCAAGCTGAGCCTGTCTAAGAGACAAACCCCTTGTCCCTCCAGTCAGCCCACAGGAGCTCTGGGGCCCAACAGTTGTACTCTGACCCACTGCAACTATGTTTTAAAAAGGAGGAATCTAGGATGCCTCTATCAGACATCTGTAAACCTAGACAGCCTGGCCCTGAATAGGACACCCTTGTCACAAAGGGCTCAACAGGGGGTAGAGGGGCCAATCTATATACTGGGCACCAATTCCTCATCTACCTGAGAACTAGTTAATATCTTTCAAAGAAATCTAAGCATTTCTCATTTAGCACCCCAATAAATATATTTAAAATGTCCATAAAACAGCATTCCAAAAAAAAATAGCATTACAAATTAAATAGAAATTGAACTTCAAATATGTGATCACAGTGCCTAAAAGTTCATATGTTCTGCTAGGGAGCTACTTAAAGAGCTCAGAACATTCGCACAGCCATCCACTAGGCCAGCCTTTTCCAGATGAGAAGTCTGGGAAAGGGAGAAGGGATAAGTGAGCAGGTGACGGAGACCTGCTGTTTCCCAGTCCCTAGGCTGGGGGAGGGAGGGGCTGCTGGTGCCTCTACCTCCCCTACCAGTGCTCCCACTGGCAGTTTAATGTTGGAGTCACTCCAAAAGTACCTCCCCCACACTTCACGGCTTTGTCTGCACTGCCTTTTAGAACAACTGCGTAAGCCCACTGTCACAGCTACCTGTGGCCACATACCTCTTCTCCAGGACTGATTTCCTGTACAGCTCTTACTTCCGCCAGGGTCCCCTTGTAGGTCACAATGACATTGGGGCAACAGCTATGATTCATCAACGCAACACTGTCAACCAGAAGAGAAACCCCAGTTTTGTGAACAGCACAGACAGCACAGTTTCAGTAACTCCTTGGCCACTTATTTGCTGAGTTAGAGGAAACGAGTCTTTGTAAAACAACAAAGATATGTAAAAGCCAGCTTAGACTACTCTAAAAAGTTGTTCCTAATGAATTTATAATAATATTTAAAATCTTAAACTCTATATTGAAAAGTGAAACCCACAAATCAAAACACTGCTATCTAAGTTAAACACGATTTTTAAAAATGCCATAAATATTCCTTCCTGGTAGATGTGGGACCAAAACGCAATACCTTCAGCTACATTATATACAAGACAAATGAGTTATTGTTTCCAAGTGGCTTTTTGTCCAAATGGATCATTTCTCACATTTCCTTAAGATGCCAAGAAATACCAGAAGCCTGCGTGAGGGAGGGCTTGTGGCCCCTGAAGCTGCGGAGAAGCCCATTTGAGTCTCTCTGCACCTCAATTTCCTCATCTGGAAAATTGGGACATTACTGTTCCTGCTGCTCACTGTCTGCTTTTCAGGGACAACGAGAAGGACAGAGATTCGCCTATGCGAGGGGCTTTGAGCTTTCTGATTATATCAAGGTCAAAGTTCTGAGAACAGAAATTTCTAAACTACAGGGAAAGAGTGCTTGATCTCTGAAAATGCTGCCTTTGAAATCACAATGCCGATATGATTTCTGCCCAAGGGGATTTTTCCCCCAATTAAAACTGCCCAGAAACTGGGGCTCACATTCTTACATATGTATCACTGTTCTGATGGCCAGTGCCACATGCCTGATCTTTGGTGACCAGAACCCCTCTCCTGCCTGCCCCAAGAATACAAAAAAAGGAAAGGGGTCGCCAAGATTGATGAGAATATGCTCAAGGGTGTGCTGTGTCCAGGTTGGGTGTGGCCGTCCTCTGCTAGAGGTCTGCGTAAAGTGTGTAGCTAGGCTTGTGCCTGGGACACACAGGTAGCAGGTTCCGGTCTTGTAGTCTCGTCTTGGGGGGCGGGGTGGGGGGGGAATACTTCTTCCCTGCATCACAGCCCACCAGGCTTCCCGACAAGTGATGCACAGGGAACCAGGGCCCAGGAAATCTGATAAACAAAGGTACCAAAAGGGTGGTTACCTAACGATTTCTAAAATCTCCTTGCAGAAGTGTTAAGTAATTCCTTATTTCAATAGACCTCTGGGTATCTTTGTAAGAAGGTGGGAGAACCTCACTAAGGCAGGGGGCCTAAAGTAAGTCCTGTTCTGGATCATCACTGGGGGAAGAGGGTGATACCTAGACACGACCACTTCCTCTTAGCCTCCTCTTTAAGATACTGGGCACAACAACCCTGCAGAGACCATGTGATTAACCGAAGTTGCTGTAATACACCTCTTCCACAGAGTCCAATGCCCCTTCTCTCTCTCTCTTCCTTTTCCCAAGAGCAAAAGGCTAAAAAGAATCTCTCCCAAAATACATCTCTTTCCTTATTATCACAATTCAAACTGCTTAGGCTGGTCTCAGGAACAGTAGCATCATGAGGAAACTTTCTGTATCTCTGGTTTTAACAAGCCTGTGACAGGTACTCAGGAGATGCAGACCTGTACGGATTCTTCTCCTTCTGACCCACTTGGTGAATGAAGCCTGGCAGCTACACACACATTCCAGGAGTAAAAATAGCACACTCGGCCAGTGCATAGTGTTAGGGGTTTCCACACATGTTAAGGTAACCAAGGCCCCTATGGTATGTAGCGAGCAACCTCCTCTTAGATGGACGTAATCTACAATGGGGATTAATTCAGACAGAAGGTATACAGGAAGGCTCCCCCAACTTCATCTGTGAATTTCAGGGCACTGAGTTATTTTGGAAATACCCATTCCATCAGAACAAGGGCAAAGCCAATGTTGACATTCCATTAAAGTCAGAGCTATAAAGATCTTCATTTGCAAACTAGGTAGCCTTTCTTAAATTACTCCTGAAATATAGAGAAAAATCTGACAGCTCTTCAAATTTTTTCTATAGTTCACTACTTTAGCAGAGTCTCTCTCCAAACTGTGCTGTTTTTTTATTGGTATTTTTCAAAAAAGGACAGTTGAAACAAGAAGTTTGTTATTTTCTACATAAGTCTGTGGCCAATTTTTTGTTTAGAAATTAATGTTTCACTTTGAGTTTAAGAAACCCAAAGATTTCCACAGCATACACGTGCAGAAAGCAAATTTCTCAGCAGGGCATGGGCTGCTCCTTCCACGCACACTGTAAAATATTCTTCTAATAACAGCTCTCTGCTTAGCAGGACTTAACAAGCAACTGTTCTCCTAACTACTACCTTCAGATCCTTAAGTGTAGGGGAAATATTTTGAAATCTGGCAGATTAAAAAGCTGTCTTAATTCACTTGGAGTTTCATGTCTGCCACATGCAGTTAGGTGGGTTATATAAAAATTCTTAAAAAAAATCAAATTAGTGTTAAATAAGTACAAAGAAAAGAAAAGAAGTCAGACTCAACCTACTCAGGAAATATCGCAGATCCCAAATGAGAAAGCTCTTCATCTTCAATTGTGAAGCCATTACAGTTAACCTGTAGTGAAAAGGGGAAAGACAGAAAAAAAACGAGCTAAAGCTTCCCTCAAGCTTTAGGGATCATTTCTTTAATTTTGACTTTTAACAAATGAACTGTGAAGATGTTCCAGTTTAGTGGTTTTAAAACCTTTTAGCCAGGGCAACCTTTGTTCAAAAAAATTTACTCAGCAGTCCCATGTGTAAACAAATAAAAGCAGAACTGGTGGAGGTTGACTAACTCTTCGTGCACCCGTGCACCGGTCTGCACACAGTGGACGGACTCCCGTGACTGCACAAACTACAGTCTGCATATTAGCAGGGGAGCCAGGGTACTTGGTCTAATTCTAATTAAGCCACAGCTTTTTGGTGTGATGTAGAGCTCGTTGCCAAGTCCTTTGCTCTTAAAAAAGGAACCACTTAATCCAGGGCCTATCTTAGAAGGTGAGAAAGTATCTGCAAAAGCCTTTATTCTTCTAATAGAATTGCTGTCCCTCCCTTTGATAGGCAGAGGGACCAAGGGTCAGGAGCCAAGAGAACTGAAGCCTTGCCTTTCATGTCTCAGCCAAATCAACCACTGGTCACCTTCTCATCCCTGAAAAGAAATGTTCAACCAACATGTCCAAGGCAACTCTCATCATTCTGAAGATCTCAGAATGACCAGGCTGAAAATGGACTCCACATGCCAATTTCCAGATTGTATAAATTCATTCTTTCCACAGATACTTATCGAGAGGCTCAATGTGCAGGGTACTATGCATAGAAATAGAAATCACCAAAAATCTGAGGCCTCCACGGACACACAGTCTCTTGGGGGACAACTCAGTGAATGTTCTCCATACATATCTAAAATTTCACAGCTGGAAGGAAACTAAGCCACTTCACTTTCTAAAAGATGAATCTGAGGTCTGGGAAGAGCACTAGATGGTCTACAGTCACAAAGTGAGCTTTGGTAAAGGCCCAGACTCCTGCTGATCCTGTGAGGCCTGCATGCTGAACGACTTCACCCTTGCACACCTGCACTGCAACATCTCAGATCAGCAGAAGAGCTTGTAAAAACAGCACTGAGTCTCACCAAGTCAGACTCAGTGAGCACATACTCCAGGTAAGATACTGAAGATCTAACACTTCATAAATCCACAGCAACTCTTGCATTATTATAGCAATCCATTTTACAGATGTGAAAACTGAGGCTAGATAGGGGGGTTTGGGCTAAATGACTGTTCAAGGACATGAAATAGTAAGTAGCATGTCAGGAGTCAGAATTCAGACCAGTCTGACTGCAAAGCCTGGCTTCTTCACACTCTACCATGTTTCTTCTAAAAGCCGATGGCTTTCTCAAATATTAATGGAGCTCTTTCACTTAAAGCAAAAGGGCCACTGGCAAAGGCTTGGAAACTGTGGTACACACTCAAGTAAGGGCAGTGACAGGTTTCATTTATTTACCAAAAGAGAGGAAAAAAAAAAAAGGGAGATGGGAAGGCACTACAGGTTGTAAAATAATAGCCTTTGTAATCCCCAGGGGTTGGGCCCTTCTAAGTAGATTACTTAGCATACTATATTTTTGTGTGCCAATTCCAAGTATCCTGACCAAGTCTGTCATGGGACATTACTCAATGACCATTACCAATGACTATCAACCAACACTAAGTAGAAGTAAGTTAGAATTTTAATTCATTCAACAAAATTAATCCATTAGAGTATGAACCATGTGTCCAGCACTTTATTGGCTAGGTACTAAAATGACCTCACAGTCTCAAACTAGACAAGGTCCGGCACCCACAATGACAATAGCTTTTTGCAGAATCAGTAAGAGAATTTAGCAAGAATTATCAAAATGAATCCAGAGACAGATAGGCCCTGACCTCCTTGGATGATGGGATTTTTGCTCCTCTGCTTTATTAATCCCCTCCTCTGCAGCGAGCCCAGCTGGACCAGCCTACAACTCTGGGTTCCTTCAGGCTGAACCATCCTGACCATCACTCGCTTTATTCCCTGCCCTTGCTCCCCGTACTGGGGAAGAGTGCGGGTGTTTCTTCAGAGGCTCTTGGAAGCTTAAGAGTCATTACTGTTCCTTTTGGGGAGGCGGTGATAGTGTTTAAGCCAAACTGCATAGCAATTTTCCTGCCAGCTTTCCTTCCCTTCTGAGATATCCCTAGAGAAGAAAAGTGTACTTGCACATCGAGAAAGATGTATGGGCCACAGTCCTTTTTTCCTCAAGTCAAATCAGGCGTAAGTGCCTTGCTAAAGCTATTTTCATAATTAGCATTTAGAACAGATGTAGGCTACACACCAAAAATACACTTCCCAACCATGTATACATTCCCAGTGATTAAAACACACCTCGACTATGCTGTTGAAGGAGCGCAGTCACCTTTGGCTACCACTTAATCCCCAGCAGTCTCCTCTGAGGAAGGGCTCAGAAGCTGAGACAGCAGACACTCGCTGAGGCACAGGACCAGGGTGGCATGGGGAAGGAGCTGCACTTCTCATTTTTGCTTGGGATACTGAATGCACCTTTTCAAATTTCCGTATGAAAAAAGATGTGTGCATGTTTGTGTGTATCTATACGATCTTAGAATGAATACTATAATTTGATAAATATAAAGTCTAAAAAGAAATGAATTGTTACAGATTTATGTGAGTGTATTTTTCTCTTAAATAAATGCCCTGTATTTCTGAATCCAAAGACTGACTCATTTCCACCACAAATATACCTGTACTTGTGAGAGCAAGTGCTTTTACTTTGTTATGAAAGTATCACTTCAATACAGACAAGTCACATCAACATGTATGACTGTGTTAAGGGGAAAAGTTATCTTTTTTCCCAGCTTAAGAGATGATCTATTTCAATGCTCTGCTTTCTCATACAGACATGCATGTCTCATTAAAAAAAAAAATCACAAATCTAGTTTCTCAAAAAATTTAAGAGATGTCAATTCTTCAACTTTTCACTGTTGCCCCAATCCTCCATCTTAGGATGCTTACCAAAATATGGTGTAAATTAGGATAATGTGAAAATCAGAAAGGTTTTTAATTATTTCTATCTCATAACTTCAATTGATTATTTATCCTATAAGGAATAACCTTTTTTTCTGATTATGACAGTTACAGAGTGAAATATATCTACATAAACAAAGTCTATTAAAATAATTCACTGAATTGTTAACAGTGGTTCTTCAGGGCATAGAAGTGGGTAAAAGTAATGAAAGACCTTTCTTTCTACGTGTAAGTTTTTTTTTTTAATTAGTTATACATGACAGTATAACACATTTATACACTTTGATATATCATACATAGATGGGATATAATGTCTCATTTTTCTGAGTGTACATGTTGTAGAATCATATTGGTCATGCAGTCACATATATACATACAGTAATAATGCCTGTTTCATTCTACTATTTTTCCTGTCCCCATATTCTTTCTCCTCCCTTCCCTTCACTTCTCCCTACCTAGTTTAAGGTAACTCTATTCTTCTCTAGTGCCCCCAATTTTATTGTGAATTAGCATCCACATATTAGAGAAAACATTCAGGCTCTGGTGTTTTGGGATTGGCTTATTTCGCTTAGCACAAAATTCCCCAACTCCATCCAATTACTGGCAAATGCCATATTTTATTCTTCTTTAAAGCTAAGTAATATTCTATTGACTATATATTCCACATGTTCTTTATACATTAATCTATTAAAGGACACTTACGTTGGTTCCATAGTTTAGCTATTGTGAATTGAGCGGCTATAAACACTGATGTGGTTGCATTACTGTAGTATGCTGATTTTAAGTCCTTTGGGTATAAACCAAGGAGTGGGATAGCTAGGTCAAATGGTGGTTCCATTCCAAGTTTTCTGAGGAATCTCAATACTGCTTTCCATAGTGGTTGCACCAATTTGCAGTCCCACAGCAATGTATGAGTACCTTTTTCCCACATTTTTGCCAACATTTATTGTTGCATGTATTCTTAATGATTGCAATTCTGACCAAAGTGAGATGAAATCTTAGAGTAGTTCTGATTTGCATTTCTCTAATCACTAGAGATGTTGAACACTTTTCATATATTTGTTGATCAATTGTATTTCTTCTTCTGTGAAGTGTCAGTTCAGTTCCTTAGTCCATTTACTGATTGGGTTATTTGATTTTTTGGTGTTGATTTTTTTGAGTTCTTTAGATAGCCTAGAGATTAATGCTTTATTGGAGGTGCATGTAGTAAATATTTTCTCCCAATCTGTGGGCTCTCTCCTCAAGTTATTGATTGTTTCCTTTGCTAAGAAGAAGCTTTTTAATTTGAATCCGGTTTATTGATTCTTGATTTTAATTCTTGTGATTTAGGGGTCTTGTTAAGGAAGTCAGATCCTACGAAGTGTGCTTTTTAACCTTTTTCTTCTTTGTATTTTTTCAGTTATACATGTTCATTGTAGAAAATCCAGAAACATCACCCATTAGAATGCCTGCTTCGAATACACAAGACCCTGGGTTCAATCCCCAGCCCCTCAAAAAAAAAAAAAAAAAAAAAGAAAAGAAAAGAAAAGAAAACACTTCCCACACCTCAGAAGAAACCAACTGACCTCATGCAGTCCTTCCACGCAGGGATGTTTCCATATTACACACGTTCCATCCTGCTTTTATATGTCTTGCTGTGTCATCAGCATTTCCCACATCTCCAGGCAGTCTTCAAACACAATTTATTTGTTGTGTTGAAGGCTATGTTACTTCAATCAGGGGCTACACCACAATCTGTTTAATCACACTCTGACTGCTGGCCCCTTTTCCTTTCTCCTTTTCCTTCCTTCCCTCCACTCCTTTCTTCCTTTTACTTTAAAAGAACCCCATAACCAACAACGTGCAGGTCAATCTCTGACCATATCTCTGATTGCTTCCTTAGAACAGATTCCTGAAAATGGAATTACTAGGTCAAAGGGAAAACAGGTGATGTACATTCCATTCTAAGACAAAAACGTATTGGTGCCCCCAGGGTTCTTCATACACCTAGAGACTGAAGGTTCTGGCAACAGATGTAGCCACTTGCACCCAAGAATAGCATTCTAGACTTTCCTTCTATGGGAAGGTTCCCTTCAACGAAATGTCCAACATGTAGAGAAAACTACAAGGTTATGGAGGAAGAGAAACCCAGTGTAGCAAGTCAGGCCAGGAAGGGCAGCCCTTGCAACAAGGAGAAGACTGCATCCTGCCAAATTCTGATGGTGGCACCCTTTCTCCTCTTGTTCCAACACTGTTCAAGCTTTAGCCTTTCCAATGGCCTAGTGTCCAAGTCTTTAATCACTTCCAAGGTGGTGTTGTCTGGAAGCCTTTTAGGTTTGTTTCTCATATCTGATCTTGGAAAACCTGTGCTTCTCTAAGCAAGACCCTCGAGCAACCTGCAGCAAAGACTCCATGCACTGGACGAGTGGGGCTGCCCAGGCATCCGAGAGGGCCCCCTTCTCGGGGTATCTGTAAAACTCTGCTTTATCAGCACAGCCTTCACCAGTGGAGACAAAAGGACATTTTCTATCAAATAGAAGATTGAAGAACGGGAAAGTAAAACGGTGTCAGAATTAGACAGCTGGACATGTGCTAGAAAACTGGAGCACTGGCAGCTCCTTTGTTTTCATGAACTCTTTGTGAGGCAGTGGCAAGGGTGATGTCCTCTGCTCCCTACTCAGTGAGGGTCAGCACAAAGAGGACCTTGGCCTGCTCAGGTCACCTAGTGAGGTGTGACAATGTAGGACCCAGGGGCCGAGTGCCTTGTTGTCATGGGATGCCAACGTTCTATTTCACTTCAGCCTTGCTGAGTTCGTGCTCGGGCCAGGAGCTCAGAGAGGGAGGGGCCAAAGCACGGCCTGACCCCAGCATCCTTACCTGTGCAAAGAGTACTACGAGGCTGCTGTGGTCGGGGAACTCGAGGTGCTTGGAGTAGAACTGATGGAGAGCAGCAATGTCACTCTGAATCAAATCCTTCTTCTCATTGTCCAGCTTATCCAGATCTGTGGGAAGAAGCCCATTACTAACCTGGAGGAAACACTATTGCTGGGTTTCCTTACTCTAAACAGCATGAATAAGAAAGGGTAAAATCCAAAATGTCAACATTTTTCCCTATCATCCGATCTAATGACAAAACCTAAGGAAAGAACAGCATGTCATTTCTTCCTTCTCTTGCTCTAAGAATTGGAAGTCACTCAGGATGTGAAATTTCAACTGACCATTAGCAGTGGGGTCAGGACTAAGGGGTAAAGACTGATAACCAACCTAGTGTGGTCAAGGACCCCCAAGTAGCCTTGGAACCTGGGCAGGGACAAGCAACTGGATCACCCTGATTTAATGCCTTTCAGTAAGAACACTGGTTTACAGACTGCAATTCAGTAAAGACCCAAAAATACTTTGCATGCTGGGAGAGTCAGCAGGACATGGCTTGGGATGAAATAATTCATCTGATGACTTCTTATCTCCCTTTAATTATTTTCTAATAAACCTGTCAACTCAGAGAAAAAAGGTTAAAAGCACTTTTCAAAATAGCACACAAGTCAAAATAATTTAAATATTACTATTAATATTATATAAATATATAAATAACTTAAAAATCACTATCCCTACTAAGAGATGAAGCTAGCCTCTTTCTTGCTTCAATCCCATCTAATCTACATTAAATTCGTGGCTAAAATAACTGCCTAGCCGGTCACAGAAAGACTTACGTGATTCAAACTCCTTCACAGCTAACAGTTTCTCTGAAGGTGTTCTCTCTGGGTGGATTTTCTAGTAATTGGGGAAGAAATCAGACACAGATGTTAACAACCAGTGTAAAAAGTAGTGCTTTCATTTTTACACCAACATAAAGAAAAACAATAATTTTCAAGGAAGTAAAGAAAGCTACCCAAGGAGCCACCATTTGGGCTCTGAGTGCTTTGCCCAACATCCAAATCCAAAGGGCTCTTTTAAAAAGCTTTCTGAAGTGTCTGCTGCATTTCCAGCACCCTGAGGATACTACGCACACAGTAGGCTCAGAAATGCTTGTTATGGGAAAGAACAGGGCCAGAAAACAACTTTTTAGGGCCCTTACTTAAAAGGGCTGAGTCTACAGGCAAACCATCCTATTTATTATTTCTCCTTCTAAAAAGGAACAAAATCAAACCCCCCATCCATTTTACACTTTCTTTAAGCATAGGCTAAAATGATCTCGAATTCTGTGTTTCAAAAAAGAACACTTTTGGTTGTATCTGTGAGCCCAGATTCACTTTAAACGTGTTGCTGTCTTTGTTCTAGACACCCCAAGAGGAGCTAACAATAGTAAACCCGCTAGGCTTTGAGAACATGAATAAACTTGGTGTTGACAAGAGTTCAAACGCAGAGCTCTGGAGCTGGCCCCAGGCCTCCTCTTTGTAATCTGGCTATTCAGTTTGGGGATACAGGTGGTCTAGCAGGGCGCTCTCACCTCCCTAGTTAACATGTTAAGCTTCCCCTTGGTAGTTTGGTAGCCTGTCTCCCCTAATCCTTTGCAAGCTACTAGAATACAAATGGCCTGGTTTTTTAATCATCAAGGCCTATAGAGATGAAAAGACAGTCAGGTAACTTTTCATTTAATAGACTATTAGTGGTAGTAGTAATTATAACAAAAGTTGAATGAAACTAGTGTAAACTCATCATAGCATTCAGACTCCCCTCCTGGTGTCAAAACATTTCAATAGTTCTTTTTTGGGAGTCAAAATCTTCCATTCACAGGATGTACTTTTGTAAGACTAATAAGTCATCTTGCCTGGGAAACCTTTCATTCAGGAAAGCAGACCAGCTTCTTCTGAATTCTTAACATGACACTATAAATAACACCAGTAAGTCAGAAGACCAGTCTCCTAAGCCTCTGAAGATACACACAATTCGATACCATCTGATGGCTTATTTACCCTGAACCTCAGCCTGCCAGAACATTTCCCTGAACCCATTTTATCCACCATCTACTCTGCATAAATTTAAAGGCAATTGTTCTTAAGGACACAAAAGTTAGCCCCCTCCAGGGAAAACAATTCTGATTTTCTGGTCTCAGTCCATGGCATCCCTTGAATGTTTCTGGTTACTCTGATCAGCAATGTGGCTTTTTGGTAACATGACCCAAGCTGAACATAGTGTTCTGTTTATACACCCCAGGATGCTAGCCTGGGTACAGATGTATGTCTGCACTCACATTTGGTTTAGAATAAAAAATATAGACAAATTTTAAGCAGGGATAGGTGCTAGAAGGTATATGGAAGAAAGAGGTGGATAAAATTTTTGGCCTTCAAAGATTAACAACACTGAGGCCTTGCTACCAACTTCTCCATCAACACAGAGAAAAGACTTCCACGGATTCATGCCTCCTGGACTTCATACCATCTACTGCAGTGGCCACAGGGACAAGCCAGTCCTATGCTGCTTCCCCATTCTCAGTTTGGGCGACTGAAGATAATGTGTTCAGTGATCCTAACCAAACAGGGGGAAACAGTCTCGTATCATCTTTGGAGAACACAATCTCTTTCTTCTTCCTTCCCCTCTTCCTTCCCCAACTTGCCTCAGTTTCTACTTTGCCATTCTTTCTCTTCTCTGCACGTACCATCATCCTGGTGGCATGCTCTGCATCCCTACCTATGTGCAGGTAAGAAAATAAGGAGACAGCAAAGAGCAGAAAGGAAAAGGGGACAGCCGTGCATTCCACTCAGAAAGGAAAGAGGGAAAATCTCAAAGTTTCTCAGACTGGTCTGGTTCCTGAGGAAGCTCTAGTAATTATTTGCAGTCAGGTTTTTCTATGTAAACTGGTTTCAAAGAAAACCTAGAATTTAATAGGCATGGCTACACTTCTGGTCTGGGTTAAGGAACACCCTAACTGCCCAGGGCAGACAGTGAACCAAGCTCCAGCCTGCAGTGTTCCTCCCACACTTCCACACGGACATGAACGGCATCCACAGATGTTCAACAGGATATCATCACCATCGGTCAGTGTCTCATTTTCTGACCTCTGAGGAAAAATAAACAAATGTACTTGAATAGTGTCCTAATTTCCTTACCTGTTTGGCCAGAATCCTTGCTGTTAGCCTCACAGTCTCTGAAGGACTCCAGTTTTCCCCAAAAACAACCATGGGAGAACATTCCAGCTTGTGCATCGGCCAATCTTCTTTCTGGGAAGATTTTTTAAACATTATTAAAACATGCACACGCAGTAGAATCAAGTGTGAGAAGAGAGGATGCAGTAAGTGCCCCTTGCTAAGGTCAAGTGCAATATGTTTCCTTCTGGACAACATGAGGATGGCCACAAATGCCAGAGATTGACAATATCTTCTAAGATAGCCATGACTGTAACGTGGACACAGGCCTGGCCAAGGTTGCTGGGATAAGAGGACTTGCTTTGCACTTTTATACTGAGCGTCTCATGCCGTTTTGCAGACCTTCATAATTCCAAACTACACAGACCCTTCCCATGAGCACGCCGACTTCTCAGATTTACTTGATTTTTTCAAAAAGAACCATATTCCTTTCTGTCACATCTTGAAGCTTTTGTGCCCAGATAGAATGGTAAAGGGTCAGCTCTCCCTCCTGGAAGGATGGAGACACTGTCCACTGCGATGGGGAAGGTGGAGGGAGAGGAAGCACACAACAGCATTTTGAAGGCCAGAAGAAGAAAAGTACTTGGAGGACAAGGGAGTAAATGATGGCACAGGAGCTGCTGATGACTGAAAACTGAACAGGCATCGTGGAGGGCATGGCAGACTGAGGTTCAGGGTAAATAAGCCATCAGATGGTATCAAATTGTGGGTATCTTCAGAGGTTTCACACACACACACACACACACAACCACACACACAAACTCAGCTTTGGAAGAGTGATGAGCTGCTGGGAGTGGATTCAGGAGAGGATGGAAGGATACGTGGAAAGTGGGAGAAATGGGGTAAAGGCTTACAGGGATGAAGGGCTGAGGGAAAATTTCTTTTGGGAAGGAAAATGTCAGAGTTTCTGTATGGCTGGAGCCTTCAGAACTCTCTTGCACAGGGAATTAAGTACCTGTCCTGTTCTGCTCTCAGCCTTCCTGGGCTCAGACAATGGCAAGTGCTTTCTTTCAGATGCCAGCATCAAAACCTGAAGCTATCCCCGCCACGATGTTTTCACCATGCCCCACACTGAACTCTGGCAATCCTGTCTCTGCCCTTAGAAACATCTAGACTCTGATCCCTTCTGGCCACATGCCTCTCAACCAGGGAGCAGCCCCGATATCTCTCACCAGGGACATGCCATTGCCTTCTATCTGGATGCCCATTTCTGCCCTTGGCCCTCACAGACTGTGCTCAAGAGAGCAGCCAGGAGATCCTGTAAAACAAACTCAGGTCATACCAGTCCTCAGCGCAGAACCTTCTAGTGGCTTCTCATCTTAGACACAGGCAAAGTACTAGAGTTGAACTGCAAGGCCACAGGGGACAGGAGAGCCTGATACTCCACCACCACCTCCTGCCACGCTCTCCTCACCTTGCACTACTTCCTGTCTAGCCCTGGCTTCTCCTAGCTCCCCACGTGGTTCTCTCCTTCCTCCCTTCCACATCCTGCTCAGGTCACCTTCTCAAGACAGCTGCCATGACCACTCTGTCCAAAAAAGCCCTTTCCCCATCACTCCCTTTCCTTGTTTTCTGATGCTTCTTACCACCTAATATATTATATTTAATATATTAGGTACTCAACAGAGTCGTTGAATAAAGATGTTCCCCTGTCTCCTTCCCTCTACCCCAATCCCGAAAAGGGACGACACAATATCACTAATGATGTAGTGCCGTACCTGGCACAACCCCATGGCCCAAGTTCTGTGCCAAGATGTTCTGCAGAGTTAAATAACACCATGCCAAATATAACTGGGAGCAGGGAGAGAAAGAAATGACAAGATATGCACAAGGGATCAGAGGATCTGTTTTGAGCCAAAGTCTAAAACAAGCGCACAGTGATGAGGTGAAGAAGTGGGGACAGGTGGGTCCAGCTCCCAACAGTCTAATCAGCTCCCTCCCCAGCAGCAAAGCAGACAGGAAAGGACGAAAGAGGTATTTGGACACCTGAACAAAATGAAGATCACCAACAGGGACAGAGAATAATTAATAAGTGCCCACTATGACCCCAGGAACTCTAAGGAAAGTTTAACTTAAGATTTCTGTCTCTGATGAAACTTTAAGCTACTGTTTTTCTGAATTCTGGGTTGTACTTTAGTTGTTTATAAACAATGATGAACTCCTGGGAGAAAGAAGTATTAACCTTTATATAATTTATCATGTATAAATAATTAAGATTAATGTCTATATAAATAATACGTAATATTGATGTTTATGAAGTAAATGTCCTCAAGGGAAAGAATTTAACCATCACAAAGGTTCTGGGAGGAAAGGAGAATCCTGGGAAGCAGGAAGAACACTGGCCTGGAATGTGGAAACCTGCATTCTTCTTCTACTCTGCAGTATGTGACGCTGCAGACCTCTTAATCCCTTTACGCCTGTCTCCTTGCCTGCAAATAACATGATCCCCACGTTACTTAACAGGTCCAGAATCCTAAGTCTATGATTTTACACCTTCCAACAGTGATAATTAGATATAAAGCTTGAAGACTACCAACAAAGGCAGGACCTTTCGAATTGGGATAATCAGGCATTCACACAAACACAAAGGGGTCCTCGTGAGGATCCCATCAACTAACCCAGGAGAAGCACAGGGCCCCCTGGCACACAGCGCACTCTTAACAAAGGCTGATAACTGCTCATTTATTGGGTCATTTAGTCATTCAACACGTCTGCCACTGACCCTAGAGGCAGGCCTGGGAAGTCTTTTTTGACTTCAAGCAGTTTATGACCATGTCAGAACACAAGGTAAAAATAAAAGCACCTATAACTCGATGCAGTCCTACATATGGCAGTTAAATCAGATAGCTGGACAAACTCCAGGACATGCAAAATCACACAAGTTTCACCAAGGGAGATTTACCATAATAATAATGTCTCACATTCTTTTTTGAAGGTGATGAGAAATATGGATTGAGGAAAGAATGATAAGATATGTCACAAGGGCAATACTCAGCTCTAATTCTAAAGAAAGAAAGAAAGAATCCCTGAATGCTGGGGACTGAGACTAGGGCCTGATGCATGCTAGCAGGTATTCAACCACTGCGTCACACCCTCAGTCCCTATTTTGAGTGTATTCTGAAACGCTCTCTTTTATCACAGAATCCACATATCTTAGAAAATGTGACAGAAGCAACCTGCCCTAATTTTGCTCATAAGAAACCATAAGCAACCACATTAGGCAAAACAGAAAAAAAAAAAAAAAGGCTAACCAGATGAATACAAATGAATTATATTCTTTAACAGTTTGTTTTTAATATTGGCAGTTTTGTTGTATACTTTGATTTTGCTACTCTTTTTTAAAACATTTTTTCAGTTTTTCTAAAATTTTATAAGATATTTTTTCCAAAATTCAAGTTATTTTTTCTACCCTGATGACAATCCTTGAAAAATTGTATATAAAGTAGGATCCATTTTTTTAAAAAGTAATATACATGCACAAAAAGGATCCAGAAAGACATGTAACAAAGGATATGTCACCAGTGGTTTTTCTCTCAAGGAATAAGATACTTGTTCTATTCTTCTTTCAGATTGTACTTTTCTGATTTTTCTATAATGAGCACAGATTTGGTGATATAATAAACTTACAAAACCAAATTGAGACAAGACACTTTTTTGTAATGATTGTTCTTTCTAAACTTCTAACTCATTTGCAGCCAAGATGGTGAGTGCTATGCATAACTTTCATTTCTCTGCATGGACAAAAAAATGCTTTAATATGCATAAAGAGTTACAAAATTGTTTCATGGTACACAAGCATTTCCAGCACTAGAAGAAAAGAAAGAATACTGCAGGATCCACTTTTCTGCTGAGCAAATGACACTGCCTTCCTGGATAAGGCAACCCAATTGTCATTGTGAAACCCCTTTTCAAACTTTTTCAAACCCTTTTCAAAACATTCAGTGTTTTTATTGTTCTAATGAAATTTTCAAGGCAATCCATCCTGTACATGTGCATATGTGATTTCTTAAAATGTGGACTACCAAGAAAATGGCACAGGACTTATGCTTTCCACTACCATTAACTTCAGGAGAAATAGTGGGAAAAGGGGTCAGGTGGATAACTGGCCATCTTGCAGGGAGATGACCACTGCTGCAGAGCCGTCACTCGGGCCTGAACTTTGCTTTGTACTCCCAGAGTGATGGGACCTCCTCAGTCATTCACATACATTTCTTCTTATTGGTGATGTTATACATTAGAAAAAAAGAATGGGCCAAGTTTAGGATGCTACCTATGGCTGTGTTAAGAGCTCAACCAGCACCAAAAACAGGACTTTGTCCCATTCGCTAACAATACATGACAATAACAGGGGCCAACAAGCATGGATCAGACATTTCCTACACTTCCATAAATTTCTAATCAAAATTTCCTACTTCTTTCCTCGCATATTTTTACTCTATCCCTCCATGATTTTCTAATCAAAATTTCCTACATCTTTCTTCACTTTTTTTTGACCCTATCCCTATAAGGACATGCCCCTTCTACTTTCAAAAGCACACACATAGCCCTATCACTTACATTTACAAAACAAAAGAAAGTTCCTTTATATTAAGGTAAAGAAATATTCTTCAGAAGACAGTCATGGTGGCTCATGCCTATAATCCCAGTGATGCAGGAGACTGAGATAGGAGGATAACAAGTTTGAGGCCAGCCTCAGCAACTCAGCAAGACTCTGTCTCAAAATAAAAAATAAAAAGGACTTGGAATATAGCTCAGTGGTAAAGTGCCACTGGATTCAATCACTAGTACCAAAAATGAGAAGAAAAAAAAAAAAGAAAGAAATATTTTCCAGATTGCTCTACTGCACAATGATTACCTTATATAAAAATTTCCTAAAACCATTCTCTTGAATGTGTCATGGTACAACTTAATGAACAAATCTGAGTGAACAGTATAACGTAGCTTTCCAGATATATTTATAAAAATATAAATATAGTTCATTAAAACACACAGGTTGTAAAATAACAGCCTACCTAAAAAGCAATTTCTGTGTCTTCTATATTTCCTCCTGTTACATTTCTACGCATCACCCACTGAACCTTCCCTCTGGCACCATTGGATGGGGTCAAGTGGCTCAGAGGGAAGTAAACCACCATCCAATGAGGCAGAACCAAGTACAGCAAACAATCCAAAGTCCTGAGCGCTGTGGACAGAAAGGAGGCCGGGGAGAACGTACCCAGTACAGGGGTCCCTAAAGATGCCTTGTTCTGAGGATTAGGAAACCGATGGTGGCTTGGCATTCTTGGAAAGGTTCACCGAGACAACAGCAATGGACAGGCTCTTCCCTTTCACACCCACTTCTCTTTCTTTGATGTGTCCTCTGACAGGGCCTGCTCTCCAAGTGGTCCCCAGTACCCTAGTACTCCATGCACATGCCCGTGAAGTGGGGAGAGCCATCCCCTAGTGGTGTGTGAGGTCCTGTTGACCTTGGATGGGTCATCCAACCACCCTCAGAAGTGTTCTCATATAATGTTGGGTTGAACAGCGTGACCTCCATTAGCCCCACATCTGCTATGTGGTACCAGCTGCCTACAGACTCCAGGGGGCAGGGTTGCCTTGGAAGAAGGCCCCTTGTGCAGCAGCAGTGCTGTGCTCTCTCAAGCAGAGAACCCCTCACAGCTGCTCTGGTCTAGGGCCATGCTTTTTATCCTTCAGCAGCGCCTCCACTTTGATCCCAACCAAGTTTCCCTTAAGTTGAACCCTGAATATATTTCCATCGATGCAAATGCCCCAGATTCCTAATGACTTCCTGAATGAAGCCCTGGCACCTCCCTCCATTTCTAGGCACTTCCTCTTACTCAGTCTTTATGCCCATTCTACTTCATTATAATTCACTGCCCCACGCTTACTTAGCTCTTCAGTGCTAAAGACTAATGGCCATTAGCCTCTTCCTTCAGCAGTGGGTGATAGATGAAATAAAAATGAAACAAGTCAAATCCAGGCTTCCACTTCTGGAAATGAGAGTGTAAGAGCTATGTCACTGCTTGCCACTCAAGAGGTCACTCTGGTCACTAGACACTAAACCGAAGCACAGAAAAACAGAATTGCAAAAGCACTGTCTAGGGTTCAAGGTGTTTTTGCCCAGAAACTAAGGATACTATCTCAGCCTGCTGCCTTTGAATATTAAATCCTGAAACTCTCCTGTCCATCCTTGGGTTCCAGCTACTCGAGCACTTGTCTCATTATGATGCGACCACTGCAGTTCTTGTTTAAGACCACTGCAGGTCTTGTTTAACGCCAGGGAGAATGCACCAACTGTCAGGTGCTCACTATAACAGCATCCTGGCACATATAGGTTGAAGTGTTTAGTTACTGAGCCTCCCCCAAGGGATGGACCCCCAATGCAAGCCCACAGATGAGGCTTCTGAGCCTGCAAATCTGGCAGATTAAGTCCTAGAGGATCATGAGGGGCATTTTGAAATCCCAACTTGGAATATGACAGTTCATCAAAATACTGCCACCTAGAGAGGCCTAACAGAATACAGCTTAAGAGCATGCCCGGGAGACCCACAGCTATGGCTACATGTCACACATTCTGTGGTTCTGTGTTAACGCTCTGTTCTCAGTTACTCAGAGAAGTGAAGGCTCATTTTAAAATAATCATTATGCACCTAATGTACATAGTTAGTGCCTTCAAGTTCTTAGAGGCAGCCATTCTCATAGGTTAAATAAATAAGCCCCTTAAATTAAAAAGTATGCTGTTTATCCTTTGCATAAAGCTGACCCTCAGTCCGGACTGAATTATACAAATTCAACTTTATATCATTATTTATAATAACCCCTTACATCTGTTCAGAGTATCACAATTTATATAGAATCCTCATATCTGTCACATCACTTGATTCCTACAGGTCAACAAGATGGGCACCATTTATATGTAGAAACAGTCACATGATGAATCTTCCAGGGCCTGCTGGTCTCTACAATACCGAGGCAGTGCCAGCATAAAGTATCCTATCCACAGCCAGTAGAGCAAAGTATGATTTCTTCTCTTCACTAGAAGGAACTTCCCGAAACTTAACTATGAGCCTCATTTCTATCTTCACTGTCATACAGGATGGCTGTTTCAGGAGGACTATTGTGGCTGACACAGGCAAAGGGATTCTGCCCCAGTCTCCAAAGCCAAGGGACTCTACATTTCCTAAGCCTGTATGTGCTTCACTCTGGCAAGGGGCCACTGTCATTGGAGCTCTGCTGTTAGATGAGCCACCAGGGCTTAGCAATCTCTCCCTCTGCTAAGTAATGTTCTCTGAGGCCTTTCAGAGGCCAAAAAGAATAGGGAGGTGAAAAGAAAAAAATAAACTAGTGGGTAATCAGGGTAGAGGAGAAGGAGGGACTGGGGAGGTATACAGTGGATAACTCTGGGTACTGGAAGAACAAAAAAGAGGTATAGATAGCAAAAATATTCCCTGTTACTTAGAGCCACTCTTCAATAGCACTGGCCTTTTCCAAGGTGGAGTAAAAGGTTCCCTTTTTTAAAAAGTTCAGGAGGATCAGATAAGAAATTCCCAATGCATACTAGCATATGTAAGACTAAAAAAATGTTCTGAAGTAATTAAAAGGTTTTAAAGTAATTCTTTCCTTGTGTCCTTCCCATTTTTCCAAGTCCCCCAAAACTTCTTAGCCCTTCAAAAAGCCTGCCAAGGCTTCCTCCAACATCCTCATGTACCTTCCCAATCTATTACAGGGGGCTTATATGTCTGACCCAGCTTCCAGAGCTCAAGGCTCCCTGGCTGCTTCCCAGCCACTGGCTTGGTACAAGTGCATGTCAATCTTTGCCTAATCAAAGGCTGTGCCTGGCCTACAATAGTTGAGGGTAAGGGAGGCCGCTGTGGGGAGTTCTGATTCAGATTTGTTGGTTTTCCTTTTGGTATTGAAGATTGAACCCAAGGGTGCTGTATCCCCAGCCCTTTTTCTTTTTTGATATAAGGTCTCCCTAAATAGCTCAGACTGGTCTCAAACTTGTGACTGCTGCCTCAGCCTCCAAAGTGGCTGGGATTATAGACATGCACCACCATGCCCAACTTGCTATAGGGATTTCTAAAATTATAGATCCATGGCAACAAAATGTAACTTTAAAAAAAATATTTTTATTAGTTGTTGATGGATCTTTATTTTATTTATATGCAGTGCTGAGAATTGAACCCAGTGCTTCACACATTCTAGGCAAGTACTCTACCACTGAACCACAACCCCAGCCCCAAATGTAACTTTTAAAGATAGCATTTTAACATTTTCCATTTGTCATCTCTGTATTTTCCACCAGTTATTGGCATCCTTGGGGGCAAACCATGGACCTTGATTTCATACCTATTTATACCTAATACATTTTTTTCCTTGTGTCCTTCCCATTTTTCCTGCACCTCATTTTCAGTCTTGCATGTGTGTCCTCTGGCTGCTGCATAATGTCATGACAATGAAGAGGACACACTGGGGACCTGATCTTCAGAGGAAAGAAGGCCCTCCTTGCCAGCTGGCCCAGCACCTACCTGACACTCCACATTGCAGTAAAATGCCTGCTTGCATCTTCCACATTTCGACAATCCTTCTTTCCTTAAAAACAGAAAGGGTACTGTAGTGGCAAGAGACACAGAGACGAGAAGCAGCACATTTGATCATGCAATAACAGGGCCATCTGGTCACAATGCAGAGCCAAGATTCACCTTACCTGACTCTCCCCTAGTAAATGGCATTTTCCCAAAGGAGACTGTGACCAGATTCAGCCCCCCTTCAGGAGGCAGTTGGTCAAAGAATACATGCACATCACTGAGCCCTGTCAGCATGAAGGGCACTATCCAAAGAGATGAAGAACCATGCTCTGACTCAGCAACCCTGACCTGGAACCCAGGGTCACAACACCACCTATACTGTTACTCAGCTTTGGGGGAAAGTCAAATTATCTTATGTTCTAATTGCCTCATCTACTGAGAAGGCACAGAAATAAACAAATCTTATTGCAGACTTGACCTCATGGAGTGTTGTGGTGCATCTACACTAAACATCATGTGAGGAACAACATTCTATCTTGAGAGAGTAGACAATATAGAAGTAGAATCAGTATGCCCTGTGATCCACAGGCTGTCCAGAAAGCTAAGTTTAAAAATAACACAACTTAGCAAGCAGGAGATACATTCTTGAATACAATATGACTGGATCTGATTGGTTTACACACCCAATTTAATGATTCTGCTTCCTCTTCATAACTAGGTCAGTTCAGCCTCTTTCTTGCTATAGTATTTTCCTTCTTCCCCCTAAAGGACAAGAGTGGTGTGGCTTCCCAAATGATAGACAGTAGTATGTATGTTGCATGAGATAAGCCAAAGTTCTTTCAAAAACTGTGAAGGCATTAAATTAAACCATATGCTAAAAAAAAAAAAACAAAACAACAACAACAACAACAAAAAAAAAACCAACTTATTTGTAAAGTGGGGAATAGCCACATTACTTAAGTCAGAGCTTCATCTGAAAAACCTACTAATTCTCACTGCAGAGAGGCTGACACCATCAGGGCTATTCTTGCTGCTGCAAGGGGTGCTACAACCCTGTACCTCCTCTGCAGCCCAGCAGAGCTGACACCAGGAGAGGGTGCATGCGGGGGACTGACGTTTTATAATACAGATGTACACATTCCACGCTGCAAGTCCTCCGCTGCTTCTTGTCAGCCAGCGGTAGTCACCACACTCCTCCCACGAATTGAGAAAGTGATCCAAAATTGCTACTGTTGGAACTAAACAGACTGCCTTGCAGCTTCCATGACAGCACTTGGCTTCCAAGAAGCAGACTGAAGAATGTGTGGGAGAAAAACACATCTTAGAGATGAGGCATAAATAAATATTCCAAGTTTATACATCTCAATAGTTCAAAAAGGAGCCCACTAATTTAGGTGAGTGCATTCTCTGGCCCTAAAATACTCAAGGGTACACTGAAGGGATTCAAACTCTGACTCTTGTATCTTTTAATATAAAGGAAATGAGATGCATGGTAGCTGCCTGCTTGCAAGGCAAAAAAGATGAGAAGGTACTCTCAGAAACAACTGGGAAGCGACACTTCAGCATGACACTTCAGCACGAGCACATGCCAGGTGCTGTGGACTAGGAAGAGGTGCCAAGGGGCTGAAAAGAAAAGATGAGCCAGGCCAGGAAGCTTTCAAAAGTCTTTCCAAAAAGAGTTAAGTCAGAAAATGGATAATAGATGGGGAAATGACACCCCCAAAAAATGTCAATCAGAAGAAGTCTTTTATAAATTTTGTTTTTATTTCTGTAGGAAGATAGGTCAGAGAACTTTTTGAGAATTTGGTTGAAGCTATTAAATCCCTCCAACAACTCACCTTCTCCTTCACCCCCTGCCCCTGCCAAAAAAAAAAAAAAAAACAGAAAATTTTGTAAAATTTCAAGGACTCATGAGCCACATAAAGCCCTGCTATAGACAACCAAATAGCCTCTGAAACCAAAGTGCTGTAAAAGAATTAGGAAATTATCACATTTTAAAATATATTTACTAGCTCTGCAACATACAATAAAAGCAAGAATTATACAGTTCTTCTTGCACAGAAGCCAGTAGTAAGTCAATCTGAAACCAAGGCTTGTTTTCAGCCTCAACATAACATCCCAGGGAGAGAAAAAGCAATGGGGCTCCATGGAGCCAGGAAAGAACTCTAGTGGGATTTCATCAAAATAACCCATCTTCCAAAGGCTGGCCTCAGTGGACCAGCTACCTACCAATTCCACAAACCACAAACAAGAAAGAGCAGGAGGAAAAGGCTATCTCTTCAGTGCTGGCAATCAGCTACATATGTGTTCTCACTGTAGATGTGAGAGCTGTGTTCTCACTGTGGATCTCAGCTTGGGGCCTGCAGACTGCTGGGGTCTCAGAGACCCTTTCAGGGAATTGGTGAAATCAAAATACCACCATGACATTACATTCTCCTTTCCCCCACGACCTTGACATTTTGCATTACAGAAGTTTTAAGGTGTTCAGAGGCCTGGAGAATAAAATTTGGGGACCCTTAGCACAAGTGAAAGCAGTGACACAAAGCCAGTTTCACTGAAGAATGTCCCTGATTGCAGTAATAAATATTACTTTTATTTATTTATTTATTTAGGTACTAAGGATTGAACTCAGGGGCATTCGACCACTGTATACATCCTCAGCTGTATTTTGTATTTTATTTAGAGACAGGGTCTCAATGAGTTGCTTAGCACCTTGCTTTTGCTGAGACTGGATTTGAACTCTCGATCCCCTGACTCAGCCTCCCACACCCCTGGGATTACAGATGTGCACCACCATGCCCAGCTGAATATTACTTTTATTAAATCTCCACTTGAGTCTCTTTTTGATATTCCATGACAAACAGGAAGGGAAGAATGAAGGAAGGACTTCCCCTATGCCGAAAGCACGAGTGTAACTGCTGGCACTGTAAACTGGACTAGCCACTGTTTTCCTGGAATACTTCTCCTGCCCCCAGATTAAGCATCTGGCAGATAGGTTAATGAAAAGAATGAAGTGAGCCCATCATTTTCAGGAAATCACTATTTGCTGCCAATAGTAAATGTGAACTTTAAAGCAAAAATCAGAATTTTGGAAACCATGTTATCTGCCACTCCGAGCCTGACAATTTCTTAGCACTTAACACTCTCCAGGTAAAACTGGTGTTAATATTAACTATGAATATTAACTATGGATCAGATGTAGTGGTGCATGCCTGGTAATTCCAAGAACTCAGGAAGCTGAAGCAGGAGGATAGTGAATTCAAAGCCAGCCTCAACAACTCAGTGAGACTCTAAGCAACTCAGTGAGACCCTGTCTGTAAAGAAAATATAAAAATGAGATGGGGATGTAATTCTGTGGTTAAGCTCTCCTAGGTTCAATCTGTGGTATCAATAAATAAATAATTAACTGCTATGATTCTTTAATATGGTTTGGTAAACTGATTCAACTTTTGGAAGATCTGTATCACTTGAACTCCTATTGTCCAAATGGTCAATTATAACGTTTTTTGGTTTTATTTCCCCTGCTCTCTCCCTTCCTCTCCCACCCCTCTGCCCTATCTAGAGTTCGTCTATTCCTCCTATGCTCAATTATGAAGTGGCTAAAAGGATCATTCAAAGCGCAAGGTAAATCAATAGATTTTAATATAATAGAATATACAAAGTTCACTGACATGACTTCAGATGGCACATTACAACTAACCTTCAAGATATGACTAAATGAGTTTTAGTGCTGAATCAAAGAATATCCACATTAAACCAAAAAGTTTATTGAAATAGTCCTCCCTTTCCTGTACATATCTATGGAAAACTTTGTTTTTACCACATACTTCAATCAAAACAATATCAGACTGAATTCAGAAGGATATCTGAAAAACCAATTGCCTTCTATAAACCCACACATTACAGAGATGTGCAGAAATGTAAAACAACACTACTCTTCTCACTAATTATTTTATTTTGGAAAATATTTTTCATAAAAGAACCTATGGAGGTGCTGGGATTGTGGCTAAGCGGTAGAGTGCTTGCTTGATGTGCAAGGTGCTGGTTTTGATCCTCAGCACCACATAAAAATAAATAAATAAAGGTACTGTGTCCAACTATAACTCCAAAAAAAAAAAAAAACCCAAAAAGAACCTATGGTAACAGTAATTCATTTTAAAATGAATATAATAATTTTTGTTTTGATTTTAAATATGATAAATATTGATATTTAACCCATATTAACAAAAGCTCTTTGGGATTCTCAATTTTTAAAAGCGTACAAGTGGGCTGGGGCTGTAGAACAGTGGCAGAGCACTTGCCTAACATGTGAGGCACTGGGTTCGATTCTTAACACAACATAAAAATAAATAAATAAAATAAAGGCATACTGTCCATCAGCAAATATCAAAAAATAAAAAAATTAAAATTAAAACTGAAAAAAGCATAGAGACCCTGAGATCAGAAAGTTTGAAGACTGCGAATCCAAAGAAGTTATTATGATTCCTATTTTTGAAGTGAAGATGCTAAGGACCGTAAAGATGAAACAACTAACTTGGTCAGCAAATAGGGAGCAGAAATGAATTCACACATTTTGTTTATCATGTAAAAATAGTCTTCCATGAGGGCAACTGTCCAGGAGAATAGCCTATATGGCACAGAAGTAATCTGGGTGACTGGATAAACTAATAGTAATAACAAAACACAGAAGAGACATTCTTTTCTCTGTTTCGCATAATGTCCCAGCTCCAAAGGTATCCCATCAATGTCACTTCACTTCAGAGATGTAATGAGGTGGGGTGGGGTACAGTGGAGGCAATACAGAATCAGTTTTAAAAATGAGATTTGGGGAGGGAGCATCCCCACAAGAAGGGTGTCTCAACCAAAGGTGATAGAAGGAATCAATTTCACTTGAAACAGACTGGAAGAAACAAAGGACTGGTACTTTTCTATGTAGCAAAGGTGCCTCCCTCTTACCTACCATGGGAAACTAACATGTTCCTAAGGCAAGAACCGGGAGAGTCTAATTTGGATGTGTCCTCTAGAAACCTGGCGATACAACTCTGAGCTCCCCATGAAACTGAA